ATATTTTTCAACATTTTTTTATAGCACAGTTTTGCAAACACTTTATGCACAACTGGATCCTTAATGTAAACGCAACATTTGGATTGTTGAATATGTTTTAAAGCCGCGCTTGCAGACACATTCAAGTGATGGAAAACAATTATCATTGGCCGGGCATCGATTTCAATTACATAACACCACAAATTGGTCTGGAACAGCGATCGTGCCGCTTGAGTTATCAGTCGCCGCTGCAATGGAGCACTCCCACCGCTCAGCTGGCGCATTAAATGGCGCCTTCGCCTTAAATAAGTCACAATTGTCGGCAATTAATTTGAATTGCGCACACTGTGTTGCGATTTTTCGTGCATCGACAGCCCAAGACCCAAAGCCAATTACACCGGCCCGGCCCAGCGGTTGACATCTTCAGTTATCTCCCCATATACGAGTATGCCCCATATAAATATGGTGTCTGAAATGCACTAGCAATTGTGATTGCCTTTAATTTATTGGCGTCCTCTCTCACTTTCCCTTTAATTGCATTAAGCTTTTAGTGCGATTTGTGGGTGAACGGGAGAAATGATTTCTGGATTAGGAGTGGGTTATTAAGCCATTATCTCATATCTTATCTTGAACTTTCAGAAAACCTTATCAGTTCTTAACACTTTCTTAAAAACAGAATTTGCTTATAAAGATAATAGTAAAGACTCTTCATTAATGTTAACTAAGATTTCTTTAAAAGGACAGAAATGATTAAAATAAACTGAAGAACCACTCTGATTTGAAACCACGTAATACAAAACGTACTCCCTCCGATTTTCTTGAACTCTGATCTTTGGTACAGTCATGCCCGAAAAAATCTCATGTAAATGATGGCAAATTCATAAGGCAGAAGAAACCAAAATGCATAAACCAATTTGAGTCCACGTTTGTGATCGTCGCTCTTCGTCTGGGTCAGATGTCAGATACAAATACGAGTACGAGTACGGGTACGGGTACGTCTCATATCCGTCCCCCTTCGAGTGAATATCATGTAAAGGGGGTAGACTACGAAGAAGAAGAGCAGTAAGTACCAGGCAAGTGTGGACCCCAAAGTGCCATGGAGAATTAACGAACCAAAAATGGGGAAAAAACTATACATCTTTGTCATGCCAGATACTGGGTTTTCTGGCTAGGGCAAAAGCCCGGCTGCTGGTCGACTTTCAGACTTTGTCTCGTGGACAGTAGATTTCGAAATGTACACTGAAAACATAACTTTTCAGGATTTATAAGAAAGTTAACTGGTATAGAAATAGAAACAATTAGAAATTAAACAATTAGGAAGATAGAACTTTTTAAATTTAATTTAAAGACATTTTTTTAGAAAGTAATAATGAAAGCTTAAATACAATTACTAATATTTCAGTGTATTCACGTTCAAAAGTCGAGGTTTTTCCTTCTTTCATCGCTTGTTTTTTGTTTCTGCTGAACGCTGAGAGCAAGAACGAATAGCGACAGCCGAGTCAGAAGTGAAACTAAAATACAAAAACTATTTGATATTTTATGCGGGATTTAAATTGATCTTAACGAAGCTTAATTGGACGCACAAGTATGGGTGAGCGGTGCTCTGGACTCTGACACAAGTAGTTCGCTGGTGTGTGTGCTTGTGTCCGTGTGAGCGGGACTTGGAATCGCCATATTGGAATTTCGTTGTGCGAACTGATCACAATCGCCGAACCAAGTAAGCCTGAATGGGAATGGGCGAATTGTGTATGGATCCATAGGTGGATCCTCCAAGCCCCCATTTGAGTTCCCTAAAAAGGAATTGTTCCAAAAATACATCTCACAAATTCAGGATTCTTAATTATAAGTTTAATTTAGTGGCTCTTTGAAGATTTGTTTGCGGTGGAATTTACAGATTCAATTTATCCAAATGGTAAAGTAGTTTTAACCCCTCTAAAACAATACGGCTCCACCCATGGACACATTGCGCACTGAATCGTTTCAACATATAGTAGATATACATATGTGGAAAGGCATAACAAAATGTCGTTGCTGTCTCCGCTTATATCGTAATACAATGTGATAATGCCGCTGTCAGCGAGGATGAGAGAATGTCGGTGATGGTACTACACCGAAAAAAGTCAGGACCTAATATTTTAGTCTATATACCTAGCATTATTTCACTTGATATGGCCAATAGCCAATATTTTTGATTGAAAAGATCAACTGATCGCATCCAAAGTTGTTTTTATTTGGTTTTTTTATTGTCCTCTAAGATGCTATATTTTTATTAACTTAAAAATAAGATCAACATTACTTATCAATGTTAGTTACCTTGTATAATTTTTTAGAGTGTTGCTGCTTTTGGTGTTCATAATGCTTCTGAGGATGGACTGTCATCTCGGTGGGACAAGTGTAGATGCGATGATGATGATGACGATGGTGGCGATGGGCTTGAGTATCTGTCTACCCATCAGTCGGTGTTTTTGTCTGTCTGTCTGTCTTTTCGTCTGCCAGTGTGTGTATCTTAATGGTTATGGAAAAAATATGAAAAATATTCAACAAAAGCGCCTAAGCTTACTTTGCTGAGCAGCGACAACTGTACCAACTACTTTTTATAAATGCGACTCTAAGCAAACTCAGCTTAAAAATATAACGTAGTAGGAAATATGGGAAACACTGGCCCAAACAATGTATTATAATTATAATATTATTATAATATTAATTTAATTTATAGAAACATTAAGAAACGATCACATTTTAAACCTAAATTATTATTAAAGTCTTTAAAACCCATCTTCAGTACCATCTCTCAACATAATCCTAATCGTAATTAATTAACTCCTTTTGCTGGTTAATTAAGATGGCATCAACTGTCTGCGATTTAACCCCGCTTTTTTATCTTCTACCATGTCTGAAATTCCTTTGATTACCTTCTTAAGTTCAAGGATCATACGTAATTAACTTTTGATCTTACAAGAGATGCTATCATTTCTTGATTTTTCTCCCTGACTGTTTCCTTGTGTTTTTCCAATTTCCCCTTTTCGAGTCCTTGATCCCAAGCCCACATAATTGGCGCATTGGCTAATGCAAAATATTGTCTGATTATTCACACGCAAAAATACCCCGACTCCTTGCCCTCAGAGTCCATCCCTCCCATTATTTAGTAAGTCGCGACCCAGTACCCACAGTATGGGGTGTATTTATTTGTTTTCATCTTTCGGTTCTGATCGCGTGCCCCGCGAACATTTTCAGAGACCTCGATTCCGATTCCGTTTGCCCGCATTTCGGATCCTGCAAAGCCGAAAAGTATCGAATTGTCCGGTTCTGCTGTGTGAAAGAGATTTTTATATAGTTTCCGTGTGGAATTCGATGGGTTTCCTTCTTCTGGTGGCTATTTATGGTGGGAAAACTGTTGACGTTTCGTGGGTTCTTGGGAAGTTTCTTTGGTTACTTTCTGAAACAATCAATGCGGGTTGATGTTTACCAGCTGAACTTTGCACTTTAATTGGGTGGCGATTTTTACATAATTTTTTTACTATTTTTCTTTTATTTTTACTTAAATTTTAAGTAGATTTTGTAGATTTTTTCAGCACATTTAAAGGCAAAGAAACTAAAAACTTTTGCATTCTTTTTTAAGAAACCTCCTTTGCAAATCTAAGAATTGCTGAAACTATCCTACCTTTATGCGATATTATTTTAACAACTACAATTTTTTATAAATTATATAAAAAGTATTTTTTTTTAATCATCTCATTGTCATTCATTATTTTTCTTCCAAGATCTCTGATCTCAACCTTAATAACCTCTATGTATCACTTTACCCACTTTCACCCTCTTTGACGTCATCGGCCCACATGATTCTGCGATCCTTCTTCCCAGTTCCAACGCCCCGTGAAATCTTCGTATCCATCCAAATGAGCCATAACTTAGCCCCTGACTAAGTGCCAACCTCTCGGCGATCGAAGTACCAGCATCTGGCCAAAAGGTCACACGCAACTCCGGAGCGGAGTATGGATATGCCAATCCTTCAGAGGGTGACACGCGCCGTGGGAAGAACACGAGCAAGGGAGTGGGAACAGCCCGAAGTGGAAGAAGAAGGTCGCAAGCGTGCCACGTCGGTCCCTTACAGGGGTTGCAAGTTCGGATCGAATCACCCTCATGACTCCAATTGGAACCCCGATCGCGGTTCCAACTAGCGACATTCCTGTGCATTCGCTGCGAGTCGAAAGTTAATTATCAGTCCGACATGTGTGACGATGAAGGTGGATTGTTCGGGATGACCATACGCGGATGAGGTGGTCAAGGAATAGAGGGGCACTGTCAACTTTAAAGCGGAAATGATCTGCAACAATGCTGTGCTAACGAGGATCCTTTTAGATGAATTTTAATATTTTGTTGTATTATTACTTTTTTGAGGTACAAAAACCTCTATTAAATACAAATGTTTTCACAGTGAAAATAAGAATTTTTATGAAATCTTAAAACAAATAAAGGGTGACCAATTTTTCAGAAAATTAAACTTTGTAGATACTTCTTCTACCAATAAAAAATTTAAAAACTGTAGCTTGAGGCCTTCAGCTTTGGATATCGAATCTCTAAAAGTTCTTTAAGTCAATTTATGAACTCCCATTTGAACCCCATAAGATCCTTAAGGTTTTAATCATAAACTGCAAACCCGGAGAATTAAGTGTCCTGTTCCCAGGACCTGAGATCTCCTTGCATTTTCCCGTTCCCAGAGCACCGGGATCCCGCATCTGAAGCCCAAACAAAAACTGGACGCAGGCAGCTAAACCCAGTAGGAGAAAAACAAAAATCGGAGGGGAAACCACGCCCCGAATCGCAAGGGAAGCGGAAAAGTCACACGCGCCCGCATGAGATGCATGGAGCAGAGGGCCGTCGTGCCATCTCGCTCACTCCGCGGCAATGGCCGCCGTCGGAGGGCTGCGATTGGTCGCTGCCGACGCTGCTGCTGCGCTGCCGCCTGCGCCGGTATAAAAGGACAATCATCGCCAGTAGCCGAGTCAATTAAGACCAACGAGTCGAGCGGTGAGCAGGCTGGCCATTCCATCAAAGTGCGAAGGGAAATAAGCAACAGTAACAATAGTTAACCAGTAATGCTTCTGCCAAATGCAATTAACTGATTTGCAAAAGCAAATTGAAAACTCAGCCGTGAAACGAAAGCAAAGCTAATTAAATCAAAATCACATACAATCAATGGATTAAAAAGGCTCTGGCCAAAAGTTTAGCTAGTGTTTACTTGTGCGTAGTGTTTCGTGTGGTGTGCTGCTAAGGATAAAGATCTCCAGATCTAGTTTTTAGATTCAAGAAGATGGAGCACGATAGCTTCGATGATCCGCTTTTCGGGGAGTTCGGCGGCGGTCCGCTGAATCCTTTGGGCGCCAAGCCATTGATGCCCACCTCGACGGCCATGCATCCCGTGATGCTGGGCAGTGTCCACGAGTTGTGCAGCCAACAGCAGCAGCAGCAGCAACAACAACGACTGCCCGATTGCAACACCATCCTGCCGAACGGAGGAGGATCCGGCGCTGGAGGATCGCCCAACTATGTGACCAAGTTGGATTTCGTCAACAAGATTGGCTGCTATTCGCCCAGTCAGAAGTACGAGTACATCAGTGCTCCCCAGAAGTTGGTGGAACAGCAGCAGCATCATCAGCACCATCAGCACTACACGGCCACGCCCCCGCCCAGTCACAATGGCATCCTGCTGCACAAGCAGTCCTCCCAGCAGCAGCAGCAGCAACAGCAACAACAGCAGTTGGTGGGCATCCTGGACTACCATCCGCTGAATGGCAAGCTGGACTACTCGTCCTCGCCGAAGGATCAATACGAGCCGCAGCAACAGCAATTGCAGCATTTGTACGGCGGAAGTCCGCATCATTTGGATCACCTGGATCACGGAAGCGATGGCCTGCTGCAGGACTCCTCGCCCGTGATGATCAACGGAGGATCCTCGGGGGCAAACTGAAGAAACCCGATGAGATGTGCTCGCAAATGGAGGCTGGAGTCACTACACCCACTAGTTCCTCGGTGGTGGTCAACGGAGTGGCAGGAACGACCAATGGCACCACCATCAACTCGTCCTCCTCTTCGTCCGCCGTCGGCGGTCAGGGGGCGGTGGCGGTTGCAGCGGGAGGCGTGGCAGCGCCTGCGCCGAAAAAGGACAGCAACAGCAGCAAGAAGAAGGGCGATCCCAATGGCATCAAGAAGAAGAAAACGAGGTAAGCAGTCGACTAACATAATGTTTATCCTCTGCCAATTAATTTAACGACGGGAAATCAATGAAATTATGAGGCACAAGACGATAATTCTTGCTATTTATGGTTGCAGCCACGGGGCGTATGAGTAATTTCCAGCAAGGATATCGCAAAAGCTCAAGGGGAAGCCCATGCAATCTGGGGGGTTAATTATTTGTTAATGACGCTCGTCTGCCGAGGTAGATAATGAGGGCAATCTCTATGGTAGTTGTATCCCATCAAGTTGTTTTTATGCATTCTTATGACAGAGGATTTTTATTAAAATGCTGTCATAGAAAGCACAGTTTTTAAAAGAATTTTATTAGGCCGATTTGTATAGTAATACAAAATTTAACTACTTTTAAATGGTTTTTACTCTTGTTTATTAAATAATCAAAAGCTGTATCTATTTCCTATCTTAATAATATTTTGAAACTTTACCTCAGGGCTTTAAATGACTGTTGTTTCCATTAAAGGAAAAAAAGGTTGAACTAGAAAACTTTAATTTTAAATGTATTATTTTATTCGTGGTCTTCGGTAGTTCTAAGAAAGTTTAAAAGCGAAAATTTATAAATTCATCTCCTCATCCTCATTATTTCGCATCTTATTGCAGAACCACGTTTACGGCTTACCAATTGGAGGAGTTGGAGCGGGCTTTCGAACGCGCCCCGTATCCGGATGTGTTCGCCCGCGAGGAGCTGGCCATCAAGCTGAACCTGAGCGAGTCGCGGGTGCAGGTGTGGTTCCAGAACCGACGGGCCAAGTGGCGCAAGCACGAGCCGCCCCGCAAGACGGGCTACATCAAGACGAGCACTCCGCCGACGGCGACACTCAATCCGGGCACCCTGGCCCCGCCGTTCACCAGTTATCCGCAGACGACGACGGTCACGCCGCCGGGCAGCATGGACAGCTGGACCAGCTACCAGACGCCCTACGAGCTGACGCCCCAGTTCAGCCTGCTTTCGCCGGCGGCCAGTCCGTATGGCACCTATTCCGGCCAGTACGGTGCCTATGTCCACGAGAGCCAGCTGTTCCCGATGCGGCACTACGAGTACGGCAGTCCGACGCGCATGGAAATGGGCGCCACTTCCGGTTCGGTCACCGGAAACGGAGAGGAGGCGGTGGCCAATGGCGGCAGCTATCAGCCGGCGGAGCTGCAGACCGCCCAGCAGCAGCAGCTGGCCGACGGCACTCTGGTCACGGTCCATGCCCACCAGCAGCAGCAACAGCAACAACAACAACAGCAGCAGCAGCAACAGCAACTGAATGGCAAGTACCTGACCACCGAGGAGGCCAAATACGTGCATCTGCAGTGCCATCAAAGTGGTGCTGGACTGGAGCTGAGTCCCGGGGCCAGTTGCCACCTGGTGGAGACCCAGGCGCAGCACTATGTGACCACGGCGACGGGCGGCGGAGCCGGCGGAGGAAGCGGAGGCGGTACGAGTAGCGATGACAACGACAGCGGCAGCATGCAGACTGTGATCAAGAGCGAGGAGTCCGCCCAGCAGCAGCAGGCGCAGAGCTACGTCCTGCCGCCTTTTTTGCACTAAGGGAAATGCTCACACACCGGCGGCAGCAACAACAACAGCGCCGCTGGGCCACGCCCCCATTCATGCCGAGCGCCCGCTTCCGGCGGCCATTTTGAAAAATGGGGCGTGGAGTGTGAAGCATTTCGAGCTGTGTGTGTGTTTCTCCGACTGAAAGTGGGGCTCCAGAAGATCAGAAATAGAAAGAAAAAGCCTCTAAATTAGAACAATTTCACATCAGAAGAAGTAGAACAAATTGAAAGAGAACTACATTTTGAAATCATTAAGTTTTAAGTCTTTCGGTTGAAAAACTGCCAGCCTGTAAGTATATAATTCGGAAAGAACAAAGTTAAAACTTTTTTTTTAGTTTTTCTGGCCAGTCCCACACAGTCCTTGGCCACTAATTTCATTTTGCCATAGGTTCCTTTTAGGTTTAATTACGCAAGTTGCAACAACAACAGAATCAACAAGTCTTGCCAAAACTTAACGCGGTTTTTGTTCAGTCTAAGTCTAGGTTAATAAAGGATGGAGTTCTTCCAAAGCGAAATCTCCACCCCCAGAATGCATTCCAAATGTGCCTTACCAAACGGGGGAGATGAGGCTTCCCAGTTGGGAGCTCTTTCCCCCAACAAATCTAGTTATAGTTACCCATACTTTAAGTTAAACCCCATTTACTGTTGTGTAGTTAGACAATAAAATGATTTTTATATTGTATATTAGCTCATTTGGCTTTACAAAGTTATTACTTACTAATACTATTTTGTATATCGGTTTGAAAATTCTGTTGTAAACTAGCTTAATTAATAATTGTAAGCAATACTTTAGGACATTTCGCAAATGTATATAATAGACATATAAATAAATTGTATTTTGTACCAATAACTGATCATGTTAATTATAAATTATGTAATCAAAAAAACAATACAAAGAGCTAAAAACAAAAACAATGGGCAACCCCTCGACTATAATGAAATATTTTAAAACAACTGAAGATTCAAAACGAAACAGGATTCGACATAATGCCAAACAGGAAACATCAATAAATGAATCACGAAAGATTACCTCTTTCAGGTACGAAGTGCAAGGGAAAAATAAAATGCTTTATAGACCGAAGAGATTCACTGGCAAAATATAACTTTAAATCAAAGCAAATAGTGCTAATTTTCACGAGATTACAGTTCCCTGTTCCAAAACCGCCTGCCAATCGATTCCCTTGAAAAAAGCATGCGCCTGTAATTGATCGTAATCCAATCGAAGTTCGGGCGTCAGTTGGAGAAGCTGCTCCAACAGGTCCTTGGCATGATCGGATATTTCCAAAGACTCACTAGGGTACTGGACACAACCATAAAGTTCCAGTTGTCCCGGATGTGTGGACTTATAAGGCTGAAAATAACACCAAGAATTATAATAAATAGGGTCTTTTTAAAGGAACTTTTAACTCACCACTCCTAAAAGCAGCTGATAGAGAATGACGCCATAGCTCCACCAGTCAGAGCGAAAGGTGAGCGGCCTCTCTGGGGCCACAAAGTGATTGGCCAACGCCTCGAAGCTGAGTGCCTTGTGCACGTAGTTGTCGTCCGAGCTTAGACCTTCGTTCTGATAGAAATATGTGAGCAACAGCTGTCCTTTGGCTCCCAGCAGAACGTTGGCCATGTGCAAGTCGCGCAGGATCACTCCCTTTCCGTGCAGACTATGTATAGCGATGGCCAGTTCACAGGCCCACTGACGCAGACACTGCTCCGGAATGGGTTTACTGCGGATACGGTTTGCATCCGCCTTCTGTTTTTTTGGCGTAGCAACTCCCGCCTGCAGATTGCTCAGCGTATTTGTAACAGACTTGAGTAACTGCTGCGAGCTGCGTACTAGATCGCTGACCTCGCTGTCCGCGGTGAGAGGCTGCTCCTCCACTTCCTTCTGCTTCTGCTCCTGCTCCTCGTCCGAGGGAAACAGCTCCCCGTAATTGACACTCTTGCTGCCCGTGGGCGTGTAGCTCTGCAAGTAATCGTACAGCCTGCCGCCCTCCGCTTGTCGCAGTAGCAGAAAGATCTTCTGCTCCGACTGAAAGTAGGCCAACAGCTGGACCATGTATGGCACCTGTTGGGGCAGAAAGATGCTCTGGGTGAGCGAGTGGCTCGCTGGCTTTTCAATGCCCTTCATAATCGCCGCCGGCTGTTGGGACTTCGTAACGCACTGCACCTGCATCACCCGCTCCTGGAGCACTTGCAGCACCTTGTAGCGGGCCAACTGATTCCAGGGGCACTCCAACTGGGCCACATTTCCGCCGTCTGTCATGTCCAGCGAGAGCTGGAACTGCAGCTTCTTCGTGGGGCAATCATTGGCCAAGAAGTTGGCATGTATCTCCTCCGCCCGGGCCAAATACTTGGCTATCTTGGCCTTGGCTATAAACTTGCGCTCTTCGTTGGCATCCTGCTTGGCTCCATTGAGTAGCAAATCCACGCCATGCTTGTAACGCTCGTGGGCTTCGGCGTACTCCAGATTGACCTCCGCCTGGACGGCGTGACTGAATTCCAGGGCAGCCTCATAGATGTAGTCGCTATCATCGCTTTCAATGGATGCCATTGGTGTGAGAAGGCGCAAATAATCTCGTTTGGCAGAGGCCTCATCCGGCTTAGATTCCGGTTGCGTTTCTTCTTCGGCTTCGGTTTCCTTGGCCTGGTACTCATAGTTGTTCGATGGCTCCTTATCGCAGCGCGGATCTAGAGGTGTAATGCCCCCAGCATCGTGTGGATCATAGGGTAGATCGAGTTTATCGCAAATGTCGGCGATGGCACCTGGTCCCGCCACCGCTCCTTTTGCTCCTCCCAAATCACCACCACTGCAACCAGTCTCCGTTGTGTTCAACCGCAAAGAACGCTCCACGTAAAGCTTCTTTAGAGGCGATCCATTTGGAGAGGGCGTCTCCTGGAAGAACTGAGTGAAGGTTGAGCACTTGTAAAGCGCCGGATGTTGGGCAGCAAAGTCCAGAAGCTGCAGGATGTACTCCTTGCGCCGTTGGATCACCGCCGCATCGAACCGTTTGAAGTAGGAGCTGTCGGTCGGCACGGGCAACTTGCCGGGCAGCTGGAGACTCTTGTGCCGACGACTCAGCTCGCGATGTAGCCTCTTCACGTCATGGAACCGCTTCCATACGACCAGGCAAGTCAAAGCCTGGGGCACCGACCTCGGGAAGACCTAAAAGTGGCGTGGGAATTAAGATTTGGCACAGTTTCTTTGCCCCCCGAAAATCGAACTCACTATCGAGGTGATTTTGTAGATCGTATAGCCCCCCTTGTGCTCCTGCGTGTCCGTCACGGTGAAGCTGTGGATCCAGCCCCCCAGATTGAGACTCATTTCGGAAGCTTTTGCGGGCCAAGGCGGCTTAATTGACAAACATATTCTCCATATCAAATGTCGTTTTCCCCAATTTTTTCGCAAAATTAGTTTTAGTGTTACCGTAATCGAGGTTGATGTTTTTGGTAACATATGAGAATGTCTTCGCTAAGTTAGGAGAGAAAATTAGATAGCATAGAAAGAAGAACTCGCTAAGTTTGGAGAGTGTATTCGCTAAATTAGGAGGGTGTACCGGCTAGATTACCCATACTACGCATTTCTGTGAGGAACCGATGCGCTGAACCGTGTTGGAAAAACCCGGAAACCGGTGGCACACACCCGAGTATTTGGAAAAACATCGGCGGCCAGACATCGAATGCGATGCCAAAACATCGAATTCCAAACATCGATACTGCCGTTCGTGAGACCGATGTTTTTGCAGCTCTGCCCACACGGTCACACCGCTCGAGAAGTAGAGAAAAAAAGAAGGCGACGAATCAAAAGCAGCAAGCAAAATCGACGCCGCACGTACCGGGAGCATTTAAATAATTTTTTCTGTGGATTAATTTAACCGAAAAGGCTTCAACACAATGACTGAGCGCGAGAATAATGTGTACAAGGCAAAGCTGGCCGAACAGGCCGAGCGCTACGACGGTGAGTAGTCCCCAGAATCAAAAAGAAAAAAATGGTAGAAGAAAAAACGAGTAGGAAAAATTTTCTCGCCAGAGGAGCGCCACCGTTTTGGGGAGGGGTCCGAGATTTGATCCGTTGCGTCGTCGCGTGGTCGCTAAAAAGTCAGCATCGCTGCTTTTTGTCCGAATTCGTTAATTAAAAAATTTGCTGAAAATTCTTGCCGACGGAAAATCATGGAAATTTTCAATTTTCATAAGTATAGGTGCAGCCGAAGCGACGCAGCGTCGCGATGAGTAGTATTTCTGCGAAAACGAAAGAAGGGAGGAGGAGGAACCTCAAAGAAGAAGAAGCAGAGCGTCGGAAGAACGAAGAGGCAGAGAAAAGAGAGATGAAAAGTGTAAAACCTGATTTTTACCGGCAAAAATTCGCGTGGTTTTCGCAAAAAGAGAAAGAAACGGAATTGCGTATTATAATTTACAGCAAATAGTTGGGTTTCTTTTTCGGAAATTATAGTATTAGTGGTTTAGAGGGGGGAAATTTTGTGTATTTAGCGTTACGAACGAGGGCTGCGCGACGGCGGCCAACATTTCATTTTCTTCCTTGGTTGCTAAGGGCTGTTTGTAGTTGTTTCTAGGCTTTTTTAGTAGCAGTTGTCAAGGCGTAACTTTCTAGAAGCGGAAGCGGCACAGTTTTTTCGTTTATTAAATATATTTCTTCCACACCCAAAATCAATGATTTGCGGAGAGGGGCTTGTACCCCCTCTCTCTTTCAGCCCCCGTTTTTCTCGAAATGTGCTTTTCATGCGCAGCAGCGGCGTCTCGTCATCATCGTGCCGTTGCTGCGAAAAATCGATGAATGAATCGATTGTGTCGCAGAGTTGTCGCCGGCCGCCTTCTTGTTCTTTATTCTACCCCTTTTCCTTCCTGTCTATGGCATTGTTTAATTCTTTATTTATGCAAATTAGTTTCGGCTAGTTGCAATCAGTTCTCCAGCCACTTGGCAACCCTGTCTGATAGTGCAAAAAAAATATATAAATTTTTTCTGCTGCTCTCGCATTACTCATGCTTATGCGCATATATGTGTGTATGTCAGAGTATGCGTGTTTGGATGAGTCTTTGCCGGGCGGGTTTTTTTTTTGTTTTGTTGTTGTTGCTTATATTTAATTAAAAATACTCCAATTAATTAGAAGGCAGCTAAAAATGCAAAGATAGGCGAGGAGGAAGGGGTCTGCAAATTCGGCTTTTGCAAAAAGCGCGCGCTTAAACAGTTGTCATAGTCTTTGCGTGCGTTAAAACGAGATAACTAGTGTGTTTAGCTCTCGGCGACGCTGCGACAGTGGCTGTAAAAAGTTAACAAACATTCTTTCTTGTTTTTGTTGCTGTACATGGCTGCAGCAATAATTGCAACAGTACTCTACTACTAATTGCCTGCAAAACTGACAACATTAACGGGCGGCGGCTGCAAAGAAGTCAATCAACTATTAGCAGCTACTGCTGCTGCGGCACAAAAATATACATACACTGGGATATTTGTGTCTGTATCACATGTTTGTCTTCTTATTTTCGCCTGCGTGTGATGGCTCTCTGCATGTCGGTGTGTTAGTTTGGAGCACTTGGCGTTGGCCTTGTCGCACTTGGTCATTTGCGGTGGGGCTTTGCTGGAGCACCAATACCAGTGTACACCAGAGAGCGGAGCCGCCAGCCGGCAATGTCTGCGCCCCCAATCTGAACTTGCCTCGCCCTCCGCCCTCTTCCTCTGCCCATTTATACACACATTAACGTCAGCCTTAAAGTGTGCTTTCTCAGGTGCTCCCCCCTCTCCTCGCACCAGCTCTCTCCCTTACTCGCTCTCCGGGTTCTATCTACATTTTTTTCGAGGTCGCGCGCTGCTTTTTCCGTTGATGTTCGTTCTCGTCAATGTCGTCAATATGCGAAAAAGCATACATAAAGTTGATTGATGGATAGTGGGCAGAGAGGAGGGGGGCAGAAGAGTTGACGGTATCGGGAGGTGTGTTTTGTTTGTTGCTCGCCTTTTTGTTTAAATTGCACCATTTAGGCGGTCCTCTGGGTCTGTTGTTGGTACTTCCTTTGTCTAATTACAAATTCTGTGTTCGCTGTAACGGTATGTGCGCATGTTTTTTCAGCTGCTGCGCCCTTATGACACACACCAGCGCAAGACACACCCTCACACCTACGGCTGATAAGGGGGAGGGCGGATCTGAATGTTGGAGAGCGGGTGGATAGGAGAAAACTCCATTCGTCTCCTTTTGATCCCTATTTCGGTTTAGTTTTGTGTTCTAGCTCGCGTGACATTTTTTTATTTGGGTTGTGCGTCAGTGGGTGGGTGGTGGTGGGTTTGCTTTCTTGGCTCCCACCCTTTTGGTTATATTTATTGAATTAAATTTTTAATAGATATTCTTATTATGTTTTAATACTATACAAAATAGTCTTTTTTTTATTTCTATGCAACTTGCTTTATTTCAAGAATGAATTATTTTGACGTTCTAACCATCTGAAATAAATTCCTTTTTTTTAATATCCAGTCTTGCTTAAATTTTTATAGATTTTCCTGATAGGGGAAAAAACATCGAGAAGTTTCGATTTTTGTATAATTTTTTGTCTTCACAAATGATTGTCATGCTCGCGGGACATGGTTTTTATTTTTGGGCCGCATTTATTGATTTTCGTTTTCTATATGTATAATATTTAGTGAGTGGGCTGACGCGCATGTCTCATAATTGGTAGTGGATTACTACTAAGCAACATGTGCTGTACACTTTTAAAGCTGGGAGGATCCCTAATCCCGACCTCACACCACCCAGCTACCCCTGCCTTCGTATCCTCTCAAGTTCATTTTGCTGTTTGTCTGTGTGTGTGCGTGACAAAGCCGTGCCGTCAGTGTTGAAAAATGCGTGTGCACTTGCATGTACGAGTCAAATTTGTTTCGTACAATTAGCCAATGCAAGCAACAATTTTTGAAGTTCAATCCAAACCGCAAAAATTCGTGAATCATACTACTTTATTGGCAATTTTTCACAAATACGTGCTACAACAACAACCAGACAGTCGGCGAATGTCCCGCTGCGTCTGTGTGAGCGCAAATGGTGCGGGTGTTTGAGTGCGAAATACGTCAGCAGCTGACTGGGGCAACGTGTGCGAGCGAGAGGGCGGTAATTGCAAGTCAGCAAAGGAAATAAAAAGCGAGCGCTACAATTACAATATGTGTAAAGCACTGCTTTATATTGTTATCAACCAAATTCATCCGAGCTGATGTTAGAAGACCTGAATCTGATTTTCACCAGACGACTGCACAGAAAACAAAATGAATAGCGTTCTGTTATCAATTTCGAAAAAAAAATCAAAGAACATTTTAATATACAAAACAACATGACAATTGTAAAATATCTTCGCTTGAATTTAATATCTGTCCAACTAATTTAAAATATTTATCTTATTTTACTCGCATAACAAAAGCCGATTAAGTTTATTATTTGGACTATGTACTTTTATTTGATATCAAGTTGCTTTTTTGTTGTTGTGGGGTTTTGAGCATGTGATTCATGACGCAGTTTTCGGATGGTGATGCAGAAAGAGATAGAGATGATTCCCTACGGCTCAGTAAGGGGAGTGCAACATTGTAGCGGAAACCGTTATCACCGGCTGATTGGGTGGGCCTGTAGTAGTATGACAGAATCGTTTAAATCGGGCGTAGACGCAACGCTAAGTTATGCATAAATATATGTGCATGACTTATATATCATTATGGATTGGGCGTGTCGCTGATAAGAAAAAGGTAAACTAAACGCGTCGTACCAAGGACAAAGGGAAATACTTACCTGAAACCATGTTCATGTAACCTCGGCTAAACTTTTTTAGTTTTTTAATTTTTATACATATAACTTATTGTATAATCCGAGCAATTTGATTATAGTATACTATAACCCATTTCTCCAACTTTTTTTTGTTCCTTACAGAAATGGTGGAGGCCATGAAGAAGGTCGCCTCCATGGACGTCGAGCTGACTGTCGAGGAGCGCAATCTGCTGTCGGTGGCGTACAAGAATGTGATCGGGGCACGCCGAGCCTCGTGGCGCATCATTACCTCGATCGAACAGAAGGAGGAGAACAAGGGCGCCGAGGAGAAACTGGAGATGATCAAAACCTACCGGGGACAGGTGGAGAAGGAGCTGCGCGACATCTGCTCGGATATACTGAACGTGCTCGAGAAGCATCTCATTCCATGCGCCACATCCGGCGAAAGCAAAGTATTCTACTATAAGATGAAGGGCGACTACCATCGCTACCTGGCCGAGTTCGCTACCGGTTCAGACCGTAAGGATGCGGCGGAGAACTCGCTGATTGCCTACAAGGCAGCCAGCGATATTGCCATGAACGATCTGCCCCCAACACACCCCATCCGTTTGGGCTTGGCATTGAACTTCTCGGTAAGATTGTGTAACTCCTAAACGCCCAGGATGATGACCACTAAATATGATGACTATCACAGGTGTTCTACTATGAGATACTCAACTCGCCGGACCGCGCTTGCCGATTGGCGAAAGCCGCTTTCGATGATGCCATTGCCGAGTTGGATACGCTGAGTGAAGAGAGCTACAAAGACTCGACACTCATCATGCAGCTGCTGCGGGACAACCTCACATTATGGACGTCTGATATGCAGGCAGAAGGTAAGCCATAATACTCCCACTTGTTCACCTCCGTTATTAAGTTCTATATATTATACTAAGAAGTAGACCCCAACGCAGGTGATGGCGAGCCCAAAGAACCAATCCAGGATGTTGACGATCAGGATGTGTCGTAATTTAAGTAAACCCCCGCCCTTCCATTTAAAACACATTATATACCTTCTAAAGTAAATATAATACCATATAATATATATGCATACAACAACAACAAGAACACGACAGCAACATCAACAGCAAGGAACCAACACGGCAACAACAACATCAGCAATCAACGAACGACAACAATAGCGACGAGAGGATACAAGTAGCAGCAGCAGCATCATAAACAACAAGCAAACCAGCAAGCAACAATATTTCATCAACAATAAACAACATGGAAAACAACAGCACAAAAACAGAAAACAAAACCAAACAAAATGTTTGAAAATTGGGCGGCCTGGTGGGCGAGGCGTGGCTGTTGCTGCGGCAAGAATAGAATCATGAATAATTCGCGGCACTATTATTTGTCGTCGTCGCGCGCTGTGGCTCCTCCACGTTAGAAAACTGCAACATCAACTCTACTACATTTGAAATTTTTGCATTCGAGAAACAAAGCATTATATTATATTTAAATAAATATTATATTTAATTATCAGAAGCAAAAACAAAAAATAAACTTCATTTAAACCACAAAATAAAAACAAACACGAGAAGAACGAAAGTCACACACTTAACGAAAAATTGATCACACGAGTAAATCACAAAGCAAATTTCATCGAGTTGGCATGCATTAATTTTTAAACTTAAAAACAACAGCAACACGTAAAATACAACTTTAATTTTAAGCCAATAATAAACGTGAGAACGAGGAAATAAAAACGAAAACGATTTAATAAGCGCAAACGTAAAGGTAAAACAAAAAGTCGAAAATGTAAGGAAAAAAGTACAGCAATTAATTTAAATTTAATACAAGAATAAAACATAAAAGGAGTAAACGAAACGAAATGAGCAAACAGAATGAAAGATGCAAATAAAGCTAAAAACTATATTAAATGAGAAAAAGGAATGTTAGTTAAGCGAAATTCAAAACGAATTCTTAAGCTTAAATTTGTATGTATGTAAGTGTACTGTTCAAACACCGACACACCCACTCACACATGAACACTCTCACCCACACGCACACAGACACCCATATTACGCATACGAACCGTTTGTTTTCTCTTAACGTTTCCTTGCTCTCTCTCACTCAGACAACCATTTTTTGGTCGTTTTGCACGGTCAAATCAAAAAAAAAAAACTGAACGGGAAATTGGTTAATTTCTGTTTTTCGTTTTGTGTTTCTCCATCGCAGTCGCAACAATTTTTCTCATCATCTCTTACCTTGCGCAACAAAGAAAACATATTAATAATATAGAAAAGTATTTGTAGTTGCTAAATACAAGAAACAAAAAAACAACGGTACATATATATATTGTATACATATATACTTGTATATTTTCTATGCCTACCACTTATGTAATTTGTAGAGATTTCGAACTTTCCCCCGAAACTAACCCTTAAAAAAACCCCAGTTTCCAAAAATTCCCACGCATTTAAACAGAAATCCCAATCCCTGGACAGAAACCGAACCCGCAACAGACAAGGTATCATTTGATTTTAGCTTAAATCGACTAAAATGAAATCCCCACAAGAACAACATCAACCGGCAGCAATATCTGTAGCGTGTTTGCGTGATTAGCGAAAGAATATATAATGACATTATGAGCAGCTACAGGAAAATTTTCGCACGAGCTTTTTCACGGCTCTCTTTTTTTTGATAAATGAGGCGGTCGAAAAGGCAGGCAGACTAATATTTTGCAGTCTCTAAAAAGAAAAGGCCCGTGCAGAAAGTTAATTAAGCATAAATCAGCCGCAGCAACAACAACCGCAACATTCTTGAACGGAACAACAACAGCAATACAAGAAACCAGCAGCTAAAACTGACATTCGTATTCATTTCAAATAAAAATCATAAAAAAAACAACAATTGAGTATCACAATTTATTCTTAATTGGATTTCGGGCTTGTGTGTTTATGGGGTTGTGAAATGGGAGCCAATCAGCGCGAGATATTCAAAATAGCGGAATTATTGCTTTATCGACCCTGGCAATAGTCTTTAATAAAAAGTCTGACGAGGATCGAATTCATATCTATAAACAAAAATAAAGCAACCGTAAATGTATAGGGTTTTTAATAAACCTAACTATATTTTATTTTTAAAACACTGAAATTGGATCATATCATTTAGAGATCAAGTTTATGTCAAGATTAAATAGCTATTACTTCACATTTTGAGTGGTATTGACCCAGTATTAATTAGCGCACAGTAAAGAGACACTATCTTATATAAAGATTTCAACTTTTGTATTGATGCATCCAAAAGATGTAAACTCGGAAAGCGCACTACTTCTGCTCTGAAACAATATGCACCAAACTATAGTAAACCGCCAGCCTTTACTCAGCAAAAAAGCTCACTACGTTTCTGCGTCAAATCAGAAGTGTCCACTTAAGCTCAATGTCATTTGGCCAACACTTTCGCTGGGCCAGAAGCAACAAGAAAAGTGGGTCTAGTGGCGCTATTGTTTTTGGCCTGCTGTTCGGCACAATGGAAAACCCATATATATATATACAAAGGCGTAGATATCTATATTTGAAAATCTGGACAGCAACTGGAAAAGGCAACGGCAGAGAAAAAAGCAAAGGGCCCAAAAGCGGTTTAGTTGCAAAACGTTGCTCGAGACTCGGAGATGGCACTGCAATTGCAAATCGAGAAGCTTAAGGGTTTGGACAACTACAAAGCCTGGTCGATGACGGTGCGGGCGTATCTGGAGTCCGAGGAACTCTGGACCGTCGTCGAAAATGGTCCCGAGAACAACGAGGAGGTGAGTGGCTTTATGAACGGGTAAAACAAAACGTTTTCCCCAAGCTGAATGCTCTTTTCAGTCACTGCTGAAGGACAAGCGTGCCAAGTTCTTGATCCTCTGCCTCATCGAGACCAAGTTGTGCCAATTCATGGTCAGTATCCGCACAGCCAGGGATCTGTGGAACTATTTGCGAACCCAACACTCGTTGCGCTAAAATCAAATATATCATTTCAGTCCATTGTATTACAAGTATATATGAATATGATTTACAGAAATTATGCTCTAAGAGGTGTTCTCTATGCCTTCTGGAAGTTCTATAACTACGGGCTGGTCCTCGGGGTCTTCGTCGAGGAGGCCATCAAAGACCCATCCTAGTTTTTTCTCCAACCGCTTGCTCAACCGTTCGGCACTCACACTTAACCCGCCCGCATGCAGGTTGACCAACAGTTCGCGCACATCTTTGTACACAGTGTTGAAGGGACCAGGCACCATTAGTTCTTCGGGCAAATGAGGAAGTTGGTGGGCTAGCACCTCGCTGTACTTCATGTAAATTAGTTTGTGTTTGGTCACCGCAGTTTCCGAATGTGCCAGCAAGCCGAGGAGCTTACGCCAGTGGGCAAGTGATTCCACAGAGTAGCCGACAAGGAAAAATACGTATGACAGCTGCAATTCTTCTATAAGTCCATCGGCAGAATCAAAGCTTTCAAGCAACTTGTCTACAGCTTCTATGCAGTCCATGGCATGTCGAGAAACATCGGCGGGCGGGGCATCCTGTGGAACACGAAGGGGTATAGAACAAAAGCGTGGAGCTGTTCCTTCCACGGGTTTTAAGTCCGGTAGAAGCTCGCTTTCATCTAATAGCAACCGGGCAGCAGCATTCCGCCGGCTAGTACTGCTGGAGCCAGCTCCTCCTCTCGGACGCTCTGCATCCGGGCACGATTGCAGTTCGATGTTGGTGCGTATCGTTCCTTCGGACGGTCGACAGCGCTCCATGCAAGACTGTGTTACGCTGCCAGTGAGCTCCTTCCATTGGACCACATAGCGGTAATCATAGGGCGCGAGCACCTTTTCCAATTGGGCCAGGTTCTTCCGAATGCGGTCGCGTTCCACCTCCGGCTCTGCAATCCGTCGCGGGCGTAGCTCCTCTAGTTCATGGTCCCACTCGCGAACGACGATCTCATTGGGGTGAAAGAAGTGCACGAAGCCTACGCGAGGAGCTGCATCACCATAGGGACCACGGGATGAGCACCAAACGTAGTGGACTCCCGGCGGAATCATCTTTACGCCACGAAAATCCGGACCAATGGTGTAGGCGCACAAATCAATGCCGAATTCCGTGCCCTCTGGGACACCGGCGATCGCCAGGACTCCGCCGTCGGCCAGAAGGCGCAGGGCCAGCTGGGGATCCATCTTCATGCTGGAATTGTCCTTGTTCATTATTATATTTATTTTTAATAAGCCGGGAAAGAAATGAAAACATTTGCATTTGCGGCTGTTTTAGATGGTCCCCACATAATGTGACTTATCGATAATATATCTGTGCATCGTTTTAAACAGTACGGCAACCTTGAGCAAGTCATCAGCAATACGTTATGGGGATTAATTCAAACATTGAAAACAAAGAGTTTAACTTTCTTGATTTTATTTTTAATCCAGAATATTATTGTATTCCTATTCTATAGTTATTCATAGTGATTAGTATTGCAAGCTGCGTTTAGTGCCGATATCGTCTAGTATTTGGCGCAGCTCCTCATCTTCGAAACGACCTTCCAGTGAGGGAATTAGGGCTTTTGCCTCTTCAGGCGCCTCCGGACACAGATTACCCAGGGCAGCCAGCTCGAATTTATGCAGTTTTTTCTGCATCAGCAAGCTTTAAGTGTTCAAAACAAATTTTAGTATCTAAATGAGAATTGGAAAATAAATATAAAGTACCTTCGCACAGACATGATGGTCTCCTTGTTTTTAAACTTTCGAAAACTGTCCGTGTAGGCGTAAGTTTTCATGAAGACCTCAGAAAACTCCTGCTCCTCGTCGGCGGATTCGTTTTGGCGTTTTCTATGATCAAGAAGCATGTGCACCTCCGATATCAGCAGCGTCTCGGCATTCTCAAACTCTGAAACAAACACCAAGCGAATAATCGTTAGTAACTGATAGAAAAAAAACGTGAACAATTTACAAGTGAAACATTGGAGAAAATCTAAGGACTATCCGTTTGACGGTGGCCTGCTAATGTGGCCGTGCTCCAAAAGGAAATCGTATATCTGTCGTGTTTTGTTCACATCTATTTTGATCAGACGACGAGCATCAGCTAGTCTCAAGTATCCGAGCTTGGCGTGTTCTGAAACAAGTTGGTTTTTGAAATCCAAATACGACTGTGGAAACAGCCGAGCTACGCTGCATAGTTTTCGCTCGCCCGCGTCCAGTTTGGAGTAACCAGGCAGATCTGCAAGACAAAAAAAAAAACGTTTAATGTGGTTTTTTACAACGGTTTTAGAGCTTATCACCTCCAATCTCCATGGGACTGGCTTTACGGCGGGTGCTCAGAGCATTGAACTTCGGACTGATGCCAAGGGGTAGCTGTTCTCCGTTCTTGTTGCTTTCGTAGTGCTGCACTATATGCTGCCAATCGTAGGCATCAATATGCTTTTGCCTGCTGTAGTCCCGCTGAGCTTCCTGACGCTCCTTGTACAGACGAGCGTATAACTTGGCCGCAGAATGAGTGCGCACGCCCTGCTGTCGTAGATCGTAAAGCTTTTGCAGCCGCGTATGCAGCTCGCGACAGTAACGCAGGGACTCCAAAAGCATGTCAAATTTGATTGGATCCGGGCATATCTGCATGAAGGCCAAAAAACGCATGCAACTAGCATCGCTGGTAAAAGCGTGCACAAACTTGGATATCCAGCTGACAGTCCGACTTGGCATGATGAGGCCGTGCTGTCGCATAATTTTATACCGACGTTGACGCTCTCTGTTAATTATAGTTGACCATTAGAAATAGAAATCTGAGCAAGGAGGTAGTAATTCTTACCTTAGTCGATTGTTGTATGCCCGCACCAGCCCTAGCTGCAGTTCCTCGGTTATATTGCGCTCTTCTTCGCTTTGCGCGGTGTCTTCATCCTCATCCCTGCCTCTGTTATCGACCATTATAGAGAGAAGGCTCTCAGCAGAAGTGTCATAAGGAGTATCGAAATCGCCTCTTGCACAGCGATAGCCTGCACTTAGTTTAAACTGCATTGAGGTAATGTCATCATGGCGTGGTGGATCCAGACTCCTCATTTTAAAGACGTAAGGCATTCGCTCGGGAAGGTAACTGTGCTGCGAATGTTGCAGTTTCAGAAGTCGCTCAAAGATGCCGCCAAAGTAGCAATCGTGATAATGTCGTCGCACTTCTGAAGTATCATGCCTCTGATCGAGAGCCTGGGATACAGCTTCCCAGTTGCCGTATCCTTGGGTGCGTAGGGTACGCAGCAGGATGCGCTCGTCCCGGGCCGTCCAATGTGGCTCCTCGGCGAAAACTTGGATGTTGTCGCGGACTATTATGTATGCGTGGTTATTGCGATGCGAGGAGGCTTCTCTTCCACGCGAGAAACATTGGAGGCAAAGAAGGATGTCCAGGCACTCGGAGCATTTTATGTAGGGTTCCACAAGGTTTCCGCGACACGTGGCACAACGATTGGAGTCTTTTGAAGCCACTGGAACGTTGCTAATCCTCTCATCTTTCGCCCTTTCCTCCAATTGATCCAGCTGCCGGTGCAATGAGTAGGGTCTGTAAAAGATGGTAGTGCTCCTGGTGTTTCCATCTGGTCGGGCATGTAAAAACCGCTTGAATTTTTTTTCCTCGAGGCTCAACTGCAAATATGCAATATAATGTGATAAACATGTGGAGCGCCGCTTTTGGCGCTCTAGAAGTCGAAGATTTTCATCCAGTTTCACTTGTGTTAGGATTCGTTTAAAGGGGAACCTTATTTTACCTTTTGGGAACTGCAGGTCAGCGGCGTCCTCATCCACCATGTCCACGGGGTTCATGAATGACATATTTAAAAGCTTTTACTGTACTTTTTAATAAAAAAATTTGTTTTTTATGTGGTTTACAAAATAAATGCCGCTGGTTTAAGAGATGGACTGAACAGAGCGATAGCTATCCAACAGATTATCGATAGACGGACCACAGTGTGTTAAATAACGGCGGTCACACTGACCGCATGCATTGTTTTGTATTCCTCTGCGTGTTTTGATCAGAGAATAGAATAGAGAACACTTTAAATTTGTACAAGAAAGTAATGTCCGTGGAGCAAACAGTCGTTGCCAAAGAGACCCCTGAATACTGCCACTTCTTTAAAACTTTGTTGGTAGAAGAGCTCCAGCTAGAAACAGACTATCAGAAATTGCACTACGGCCAGTGCGCTGTAATTGGTCGACTGGCGCTAAAGACGGATCACTTTCGGTTAGAAAACGTGCGTGTGAAAAGTCTTCCAAAGTAAGTATAGTTTTACTGAAGTTTAACTAGATCGTATTAAGCAATTCTTGCCGTTTCAGAAACTACCAATTGCCTGAGGGTGCTATATCCTTGCTTCTTTTGGGCCTCACCATCGACAAGGCCTGCGATCAGCGAGTTGCCGCCGGTTGCTATTGCATTGTACGTGGCGAAGTTGTCCTGTGCAATGTCCTGCGTCCCAACGATCCGAAGCTGACTGCAAGAGGAGTCCAACAGCAGGTTGCCAATCTGTCCCATGATCCAAAAGCACAAGAACGGTACCTCAGCCAAATACAGCTTAGTCACAAACCGGCCATTGACTTGTGGTTCATCCAGTCCATCGACAGAGCCGAGGATCTGCTGACTCGAAGGCTGAAAATCAGGGAACTAACCGTGAGATGAACACACACTACCTCACCACTTCGAGAACCAATCCCCAGTTCTATATATTCAGTCAACTTTTTGGCGACGAGTTCGATTGCAGCACATGCAATTGGGAGGAGATTCAAAACGCTTCTTGGCAGGAATTCTGGCAGCGGGAGGGGCACGAGCTACTTGACCAAAAGTGGCACAAGCGCTTTCCTGAATACAAAGATCTTATTGCGGTGGTCACGACGGAGGAACAAGAACTTTGGCAGGAGCTTTGGGAGAAACACGCCAGTGAATCGAGTTCTAAGTTTTGGCACATATTTAGCTGTGCCTTTGAGAATTACCAAAACAATTTGGCCAAATCTTACGAATTTAATGGAGTTCCAGAGGACCTCGAACAGGGCTTGCAAATTTTAAGCCTCTCCAATAAGCGTAGAAAGTCGAGAAAGAAGCAGCGTAATCCCACAGAGAGTGACGAGGACGAATCCTACCTTACTGCCAACGACGATCCCAAAGATTTAGACGAGGAACAACAGCTACTACTTTTAGGACTGCCGACGTCTTTTGCCTCCAAAGCAAAGCACACAAATCAAAAGCAAAGAAAGCTAGTAATTGAAACTTTTAGCAGTGATACTGAGGATAGCGAAGATCTCTTAATTATGGAAAGCAATGAAACCCAAACTATCCATGGTGTTCAGAGTGGATTCGTCAAAAAGAACAAGCGAAGGCAAAGGAAAGCCGACAAACTCAAGGCCAGGATGCCCGAGTTTATGCTGGAAGAGAACAGTCCCATGGTCAAGTACTGGTTTAAGCGCTTCTCATTGTTTTCTCGCTTTGATCAGGGCATCCGGCTGGATAGGGAGAGCTGGTTCTCTGTGACGCCTGAGAAGATTGCCAAGCAGACGGCTCGAAGGCTGGCCTGTGATGTAATCGTGGATGGCTTTTGTGGATGCGGTGGTAATGCCATCCAGTTTGCTAACACCTGTGGGCGGGTGATTGCTGTGGATATTGATGCGGAGAAACTGGCCATGGCTAAGCATAATGCCAACATTTATGGCGTGGCCCACAAGATTGAGTTCATTCAAGCCGATTTTCTGCAGTTTGCGGCCAGTACTAGGATTCGTCCGAATATAGTTTTCCTAAGCCCTCCTTGGGGTGGACCGAATTACCAAAAACAAGCTACCTTCGATATAGAGAAGAATCTGCTGCCCGTTGGCGCCAGTCAATTAATGCAGCTATCCCGCCGCCTAGCGCCTGATGTTTCCTTCTTTCTACCTCGCAATGCCAATATGAGTCAGGTAGTCGCCTTAAGTGGAGCCGGTCAGAAGTGTGAGGTGGAGCACAATTATTTGGACACCCGAATGGTGGCACTGACTGCCTATTACGGAGATGGAATTATTAAGAGTCCGTCGAGCGGAGAGCAGTAATAATTTCTAAGTTAATTTATATCTGCTAAAAAGAAAATAAGAAAAACACTTTTTTAATGAATTACAAATTTAATTTATTATAAAAAAGGAATCTGCTTTTATTTAAACTCGTTGTTAACTCTATAGAAATTCAGTTATAGAACGGCGTAAGTCCGTGTAATTGTGCATCAAAGAATAAAACAAGCAAACGTTTTTCCATAACATTTTTGGTTTCGTGTTTATCCCACTCAGTTTTAGTCTCTCCTTCCACAAAGGAAAAAAGTTGTCTAATGAGTAAAGTCGCCTGCTATGTTACACATCGGCAAAGTCTTTTTTGCCCAACCCACCAATCTAGCCGCCCGATTGTTGCCAAGTGACCGACAATGCCAAAGAGTCCAAGCTCTTTAGCCAATTTAGACAGCTTAACAAAGCTCAACTGACCAATGGTCAATGGCCATAACCATAACGTTCCCCAATCCGTTCTTGTAACTCGCTCTGGGTTTTTAATTAAAAAGCAAAGGAAACAGAGAGTGCGTCAATTTTTAAGAACTTTGTGGACCAACTTGTTACTTTTGCGAATGTTGGAAAGGGAAACGGATCCCAAAACGAATCCTGGCAACGTCGGGCGGAGGCAATTAACATGTTCGTGTCACAGCAGAGGCAGCAGTTTCTCCGGAATTCCAAAGCAGACAACGAGCCACCGGAAACAACAACCCTTTTAATGGCTTACAGCATACTTAGGGCTTTTGGACGGGGTGCGTTGGGTTAAACGAGTTGCGGTGGGGGCGGGGCATGTGCGGAATTTATAGCTGCCAAATGGCAACGGAGATATTTTCCCCATCTTTCCCCGAATGCGGCGAGTGCTCTCCTCCTCAGCAGTTAGTTTGATTAACTTATTAGTGTGCGTAGGAAGAACTTAAGCGAACTTTACAGCATACTTCTGAGCTCTGATTTGTGGGAAGCCCCGCGAACTGTGGATAATATCGGGTCTGGACAAATTGTACTAAGTCGCTAATAGTTGTAAATTCTATATAATTAATTGGAATAAATCATTATTTTGTTATGGATGTAATAAGTACAGCTCAAGTAAATATTAACACAGTGAACAAATACTGGATACTTTTCAAATTAAAAACTTACTAACAGTCAACTTGAAAAGAAATATAAAAAATAATAAAATGTATTCTGATCACTAATAAACTGATAAAACGACGCAAAACTAATAATACAAGACTGCATGTACTTGTTATACACTCCTTTAGAAGGAATCTTTACTGTCGGTGATTAAAAGCTGACTTTTATTGTTTAAATTGCTATTCAAATACCATGGAATTGCCCGTCACGCGTCAACATCGGTATTATCAGCTACTTAAATCTAAGCTCCCCTTCCGGATCTGGTTTTCGGTCTCTGGTTTCGAGCCTTTGGCTTCGTTATCCTTTATTAGATACACGTAATTGTCGTTTTAACTGTCGCAGACGCGGGGTTGACAATGCCAACAATTTCAATATCCTGGCCCGGCGGCCTATAAAAGGCATCTCTCAAAAAATATATATAAATATATTTTATTGAAAAGCAAACACGTGTTCACAGCTCATCTCTTCGTGCGGCAAGTGGCTGCGTTCGCCGTTCGGACAAAAAACAAATTAAGTCACCCTTTTATTACGCTATTTAATTTCCAGCGTAATGTTGTCAACCTTCTTGACAAATGGTCACCCAAAACAACGAGGCCTTTCCCTCCACTTTCACCCCTCGAATGACTGCCTGTTTGATCTGTAATTTGCGACACTTGATGATGGTTTTAGCCGGGGAATCCAGACTCGAATCCTGGAATCGCTAAGCGGCGGGGTGGTTTATTTGTGCCGCAACTTGTGACAATGCCGAAATGCGATTACGGCGTGCAGTCCATGGGAACTGTGGAAAATGCGATTGTTCGGCTCCGGGTGCAGGTGCAGATGCTTCATGGGCGCATCTAATTAAGCAGGAGAGGGGTTGTAATAATTGCCTCCTGATTTATGTCAGATCCTTGGACCTGCTTTCACTTCCTTTCCGACATTTTTGCCAAAATGGTGGTATTCCACTTATTGATTAACCGTTATTCATTTGGTGGCAGCCATTAAAATTAATAAACGTTACAAGGGCAACACAACAAGCACGGCAATAACAACAACCAGGAAAACCAGCTACCAGCATCAATTATATACACCAGTGTCATAAAGATGAAGAAAAAGCGTGAGGGGATAAGCAGAGGGTGAGAGGCAGAACAGTTATCCACCCACTGCCATTGATGGCCAATAAAAAAAGTCAAGTAGAGCGCAAAACAAGAGCAATAATATTTAATAAATGTGCACAGGGCCGAGTAAAATGTGTGTGTGTATGTATATGAACGAAATTGCTTTTATTGTTGTTTTTGGTGGTTGAATGCGAAAAAACCATAAATAAATAAACGAACTTACGCACACTCACGTAAGATTACGTATTCGCCCATAGCCACACTAGGCCAAATAAAGGTAAGAATAATAAATAAAGAAAAATGTATATTAATTTATCTTAAAATATTTTTAATATCAAATTACATTTTTAGTTATCTATTTAGGTATTCAAAATAAGTCGCATAAAAAATTCGAAATTCAATTGATGTTCAGTGTAGTAATCCTCTTCCTCCTTCTCTTTGCAATCTCCCATCGTATAGGTAGGCAGACTCTATGTAGGTGCATGCATGTGTGTGTGTGCCATGCATTTTTGGTTGAATGCTTGAGAGCAACAGAGGCCCCAACAACAACATCGCAGTGAGAGAGCCGCTCACTTACAGGCAATCCGCCCACCCGTCCCCCTCTCTCATCCTTCCACGCAACATCATTCTTCATGGCATTTCGGTGAAAAAGAATGCTTTTGATCTTCACAAGCGAATGATTTTTAATATGACTTTTTTTGTTGTTGCCGCCGGCAGGGGATGGTTTTTTAGGAGGGAAAGGCAGCGGTGGCAACGTCTGTGGGCTGCGGAAATATGTTTAAGCCACGGGAAAGTAAAGTGCGCTGGCAGTCAATCAAAAGCTGCAGCACATTTATTATACGTTTTTTCTGTTGTGTACATACACATAATGGTTGTGATAATTAATTAGCTTAATTAAATACCAATGCAAGTGCACACATACACACACATACAATGTTGGTCAACCGCATCGCCTAAAATTAGGCAACGTTTGAATTTAGCGAAGTTGAACCGAAGAAAGGAAGAGAAAGGGAGCACTGGCATAATGATGGTAATTTGTTGGTTTCGGCAAAAGAGCAAACGGCATCCTTGGAATTTCAATTAATTTCCATAATTTCCAACGCTTTATGAGCGAAGAAGCTAAGCCCCAAGCAGGATAGACAGAGATGGCGACTGAAAAGAGCGAGCGCGAGTTTACCCATCGAAGGGGATGATTTTTCCTTTCCTGGGGTCTCATTGTGTGTGTCCTTTGACTGTGGGTGGTTTTGCTTACCCGACCCTCCGTTTCAGCTTTTGGGACCTCCATTAAACGCTAAATGATAAGAAAAGTGCTAAAGAATCGCGATGAGGCTCAGGTAAAAGGTATCTAGGCCTAACATTCTGCGGGTATTGCTCAAAGTATATCGCAGCAGCGGAGTGTCAAAGTAGCCTTTATTTTATATGTTGTTTATTTTTTTAAATATATTCTTTGGGCTTTATTGAGCTCTGTAAAAATAACATCAAATGTTTATAGCTTAATGCTTATTCTCAATTTACCACATTGTTTACATTTATTTACCAATTTAAATTTTTTTATCTGAAACTATTTGTAGTTATAAGGCAAATACTTTAAATGGCATGAGAAAGTTTTGGCCTCATATTACCTAAAAATGTGCATTGCCATGGAAGCAGGGCACAGATTTTAATTAAAACCCAAAATCCCTCTACCCGCTACTGCAAACAATATGCAATTAAAAACGCAGTTATTAGAGCTGGGAACATAACCAAATAAATTTTCAATTAAAACAATGACAGGCCACCGTGAAATCTGTTTAGGTTTTGCATTATTTTTAGCATGGCGAAATGGAATCAAAAAATGGAAATTAATTTTTGGCGGGCGAAACACGGTTGAAAGGGGCCAAAAATATTTGTTTTGAGTGGCTCGCCATCAGCACAGAGTGCAGCATTTTAGCCAAAAACCAAACCAGGACCAAAACTCATTTTGAATATGGCCAAGAGCGGGTTGCATACACACTCAAGTGGCCGCAGTGGCAGAAAATGCGGCGGATGAGCCACCGGGAAAGCCGGATTTAATTAAAATCCCAAAATGGCTGCCCTTTCACCTGATTTGCTCGCCGTTTGTTGCTCGATTTTGAGGGCAATCGAAAAATTTCTAATTTGCCTCTCATTATAAGTTTTGATTTTGTAATTAGTTTTTGGATGGTCTTTGATTTAGCGATTTGAGTGGTCTCTAAAATTCAATAGCCATAAAGTTTAACACAACGATGTATTTCCCAATACGATGCCCTAAAAAAAGAGATTAACATTTTGTTTATTTGTACCCATAAAAGGAATTCTGGGCAAATACATCAAAAAGAAACGGATGGGGCGAAATGCGGAAAAAAATGAGAGGAAATAAAATTGGGGAAAAATCAACATTATAAACAACATTATTAAAAACATGCCGCAAATGTTTTGCTCTTCTCGCATTTTTGAGTCCATTTTGTTGGGAGCCAGTGGGCAAGGAACGGAAACAGGAGTAGCGGAAGGGGCGGCAGTTGATGGCCAAAAAGCTGAAGAGGCTGGGTGCTCAACCTCATGATGATGTTCTGCCCGGCAAATGAATGTTGCCATACGAGGGGTGAAGGCAAGTCAAGGAAGAGGGCTAATAAAATTAAGCTCTGCCAGGGGATACAGCCAAGAAACGGAAGGATGTGGGCGGCAGAGGATTAAGTTGGTGGAGAAACTTAGGCACTTTGCTCCTGCTTGAGTTTGTTGGTGGGTGTTTGTGCCACAACGTCCTGCGGCTCCATAATAATAAAAATATTTTCATTAAATGAGAAAGGATAGCAGGAAGCACACACAAACCTCAAAAAATGCTTAGCTATTAATCCTCAACCATTTTAAATTATCAACGAATAATTTACCACATATTTATAGTAGGCTTATGTATAAACGGGTGTTAAAGGGTCTTTACTAAGTACCAATTATTTATTATAACAACAAACACAGAAACAAAATTTTTGAAAATTTTATATTAAGCTATTTAAAAAGTTTAGAAGAGTTTTAAAAACTTTAAAGAAGCCAAAGTCAGTCATAGATTTCTAGCGGTATTTTGTTTTACTAAAACAATACTCATATTGTGCATCGCTCATTCGCACTGTTGGCACTCTATTCTACAGGTTGGAGGCGCACGCCGGAAAGTAGGCAACCCTTTTGCCCTAATGAAACCCGCAATGCAGCCCTGTGCCAGGACTAACTGTAATTTCATTTGGCAGTTTGCCCAGCCTGCCCTTCTCCCCCTTCCCTTTTAGATTTTCCGTCATCCTACTTCCTGGCACTTTCGCCATAATAATTCATAATGAAAAAAGTTTCCCTGCCGCTTGCTTGGGTTTTATTTATTAGATAACATTATAATGTTTGTGTGCGAGTGGCTTTTATTTAATAAAAATAAATAAATGTTATGGTTATAGCAACGCTCTATCCCTCTTCCTATCTTTTAGCTCCTTCACCGCCCCTAAAGCCTCAAAAAGGGACATCATCATCATTACGCCTCTCATCTCATTTTATTTCTCGTCCGCAGAGTAAAAACAACAATAACAACGACGACGAAGTTTATCAAAAGGCCAAAAGCACAACAACAATGGCGACGGCAGCTGCGAACCCCCTTCCACTTCGCTCTTCCCAGCGATTTCAGAGCATGCGCATTGCACACAAGTGTAGCACATTGTATGTGTATTGGTGGGGCCTTGCATTGTTTTTGTTGTTTGCACCTCAAAAAAATATTAAAATTGTGGTAAATAAATGAAAAATAAAATATGTATATATAAAAACTATGTATACCCAGGCGTTTCCTGGTAGTTTTAAAGAGATTTTATCTGGTGTCCTCTCTTTCCCCCCAACTCCCTTACGCTCTTCTGCGGCCGCCATTGCTAAACGACGTAGTCAACGCCGACGCCTGCGTCAACGTTGATGTCGACGTCGACGTCAGCGCCAAGTGGCTGGCCAATTCTTGTGGGTACATTAGCACTAATGATGATTGAAACGACAAACGTGACGCCGAAGCACCCGAAAGGATCCTCTCCATCCCCACCATTTGCCTTCCTCTCTTCCTTTTTGGCTAAAAATTCCTGGCTTTGATTTTTGAATTTGTCTCTCTTTTGGTTTTTGAAAGGAGACGGAAACGTGTAGATGTCGAGAAAATGTACATCGGGAAAAGAAGAAAGGTGTTGTTTGGTTTAAGTTTTTTCAGTATCTTGGCTACCCATTTTATTTCAATTAAAAGGTGACATGTAAAATAATTAGCCCTTAACATAACGTGTATTTTGGATGAAAACCAATGATAATTATTTTATTAGGATATTTGTAAATTTGATAATTTAGTATTCTTTTAGTATTTGCTATATGCCGCAATTGTATTCTAAGGTATAATTCTCTCTGTGTACACTCGCCATCAGCCATTTGCTTTGTTCTTTTTTTTTTTTTTTTGGATTTTCCTCTCGTTCTCTTGCATTGATTTACTTTGATGGGCCGCTAATTGGGGCCTCCTTCGTCTTCCTGTGTCCGCTATTTCCATTGGCCCGTAATGATCGTTGGCATTCCGTGTAGTTTATCAAACGGTAAATTGAAGCTCGAACTTGTGGGAAAAGGGGTGAAGAGGCGGGGCAGCTAATTGGGGTTTAGTTTGGGGTTCGGCTGCGGCCTAAGATAGTTTAAGCTGCCAGTTTACTTGCAGGCTGAGAATGAGATAGGATAGAAGATAACCAGGTTTGCCTTATTTATAAAATTTAATATTACAAACATTTTTGTTAGTAACTTAATTACTAAAAGACATGGAAAACAATAACTAGTTGTTAAACTAGGAAGATTTTCCGTTCAAATTAACATATTTTTTTCTTGACTTTTTTTTTACATAGGTATTTACTTATTTGGTATCCCTGATGTACATATTTTCATCGCTTATTGCTTCATTAATTATCTCTGACCCCACATCGCAGCATTATACCCCAGTGACTTTTCCACTTATTCACAAAATATTATTAATCCAGCGACGCCATATTGTTTTGCATTTATTATTACGATGTCTTCGGTTCCGCCCATTTTTACCAAGAGCAAGGGAGACGGAGCAAGTAAGCCAATTATCCATTTATATCATAATTTCAATAACTTTTCATACACTCGCCCTCGAAACGGGGGTTTACCGGATGGGAGTGGGTAAGGTTGTTCTGATAGGTGGGTGGATCGGGTGGTGGTTCGTGGGCTGGTCGATGGGTTAATCGCTTTGGTGGGTGATTCCTTTTTATGTAACTGCCTGGTGGTTGCTCCTGAATAATGACGATGATGATGATGTTGAGGCCTCTATTGACGAAGTTGTTATTCTTCTTTCGTTCGCTCGACTCTAAGGTACGAGCAGGGTTGTCAGATATTATCATTCAAAAAAAGTAATCTCTATTGTTATATATCTATGGATAGGGTAATACATAATACATGTATTTAAAAAAAGAAAATTAAGATGTAATATTTTTTTAAAAAGATTTAAATATCTAAACATCGGTTTAAAGCCATTGTGTTTTTAAGTATATTTTTTAAAAATTAACGTAAAAAAAGGTTAATATCGAGACTTATTTTGACCAGTTTCGACAACCCTAGGAAAGAGCAAAAACGGTAGAGGAAAAGCAGCAGGAAAAATCACAACGGCAACAACTCACACACACCCACAAAAAGAATCGCTCACTCGCGCACACACAGTCAGGGCAGCGCTGCTAACGCCAGCGTCGCTGCCAGCTTCGGCTGCTGCCAATATTGTAAAAATTTTACGGCCACGAACTTTTGAGTTCAGTTCAGTTTGCAACACGTTCGCGCTCGCATGCGTTTCCGGTAGTAAAAGTTTCCACCGATTTCAACTCCGGTTTCCAGTGCGATTTCCGTTACTGCCGACTGCGGGACGCAGAACTGTAGGCAACACTTTTTGATGTGCCGTCGGTAGATCGGATTTTACGGAACTAAGTGAGGATTTTAGAAAAAACATTAAAATCCTACAGTGCAACTATTGACTTACTTTGATTATCATAGACCACATATGATATTGGACTCAATGTACTAAAATTTCTATTGCTAAAAAAGGTGTGTGTGCTGTAATAAAACCCTATTTGTGTCTATGCCAAAGACCGACGGAGTTGTAACTTAGTCAAATTTAAAGCCAATATCTATATTGTCAGTTAATATCTTAAGTTACATCTACGTAAATATCTTTATATTGTCATTTAATATCTTAAGTTACATCTACGTAAATATCTTTAGAAACAATAAATCCATAATTATTTGTTATGCCGACGACATCAAAAACTTAAATTTACTGTGGAGCGTGGATGTTTTAAATAAAAAATATACAATAAAAAAAGGAAATAAAATTATACTTAGTTCCAGCGATAAAATGTATAATTTATACAGTTTATAAATTACACGATCTTTCAAAATAACAGCAAAAATTTTAGTTTGTAAACAGCATTCAAAAATCAAAGAACTTTTTTAAATAACAAAGGAAAATATCTTCAATGTTAGTATATAGAAATTACTAACATTATAGACAATTTTTGAAGGCTTTTATTAAGTTTTTTTTTAATTTTTATTGAATTTTCAAAATTTTTTAATAGTTACAAAAAACAACAAATTTATTTGTTACCGAGTAAGAGGCCCTGTTATTTTTTCAATCTAATAGCATTTCTCATAATAAAAGGTATTTTATGGTATTGGTTTTTTAAAAATGAAGTGATTTTTCGTAGAAAGAGGACCATGAACATTGAGTTTTTAAAGTTGGTTTAAACCTCTTATAAGGTGAAATTCAATTAATAGCTTAATAAACACACGCACTCCAGGAACTCCACAATTATTTCGTCTTCGTTGTGACCCTAGACATTTCCCTCAAAAATGTTGTTGAAATCCACTTGTTACACCAAATATTCTTCTAATGAAGCTCATTTGCATTGCACACGACGTTAGCTTCAGCTGCTTAGTTAAATCAGCTTAAATGCAGCTTGAGACATTCACATATTTGGCCAACAGGGCAAACAAAGGGGGCTACACAGTTGATGGCTGGGACTTGGGATGGTTTACGCACCTGGGAGAGCAACTACTGCGGCATTTGCGGCAGCCACAATGAAGCAGCAAACTGTGACAAAGTCTCAATTAGGCTATCGCATTGCCAGAGCTTCAGGGGAAGAGGACTTGCAATTAAGCAAATGAATGCATCGCTGAGAGTGCGAACCGGTGCACTGAAACAAATTTATGCGTTACTACACCCATAATACTACATCTATCCAGAAAAATATTTACAAGATGCGTTGAAGATGAGAAGTCACCAAATGTTACATTAAACTAAACAAAAAATAATGGGAGAAAGCATGTTAAAATTGGTGTCTTTACATTTATTATTATTGATGCCTAATTATCAACTCATCGAGTATAACTAATTGCTAACTTAGGAAACGAACAAATAGGCTTGAAAAAATATAATATTGATTGAAATTTTAGTGTTCATAAAACCTAAAAAAGTTTGAGATTGAGATTTATAGATATTATTTATTTAGCTATATGTATATGACAATTATCAAAATGTAGTCTGGTTTCTTTATGGTTAGTCCTAACCAGTTGTAGTTCCATTGTTTCTTTTGAGACCACTGCTGACCACGCACTTCATGGTAGAGCAACTTTCCAAGCAGGGATCACATTTCACTTAATTGTGGATTTAATCTGGGAGTCGTTGACACCTGGCCGTCGCAGCAACGAAGCAACAATTAATCTGAGGCATTTCTCCCATTTGCAGAGACCGAAGACCAAAGACCGAGGACCGGAGGCCATTCAACAGTCGGCAACTTGGAGACAGTGGCAAATACCTAAGCATGCTGCAGAATCCTTCCAAATATCACGCAAATCCCTTGTCGCACTTCCTGGCATTACATAACACACAAGCCAGTGGCGGCGGTGGAGGGACAGCCGGATTAGGGAGTTTGGGAGGGGGCATCCCGGCACATGGTCAACCGCACCATGCGCTGCCCACAGCGGCGCTGGCAGCGGCTGCAGCAGCGGCGGCCGCCGTCTCGGCGGGTCAGAGTTCATACCAAATGGAGCACCAGCAGCAACACCAGCAGCATCATCAGCTGCAGCAGCAACATCATCATCATCTGCAACAGCAACAGCAACATCATCACCAGCAGCTCCAGCACACCCACCACCAGGATGGCCACCACCCACCGACGGCTGGGAGCAACAGCAACACCACCAGCAACAGCAACAGTAGCAGCAACAACAGCTGCCACAGCAGCAACAGCAACCACCGGGAACAGTTGGCGGCGGCTGCCACTGCGACGTCGCACGCGCAGCTCATCGAGGCGGCAGCGGCGCATTCCTCCCTCGACGTGGGCAAGTCCTTTACCATCGCCGCCATTTTGGGCCTTCAGAGCCAGCGAAAGGACTACAACAATGCCATTAACTTGTCCCTGCACGACAACAACAACAGTGAGAGCAACAACAAGTGCTATACAAGCAGCAACAACAACAACAGCAGCACCAGCAACAACAACAACAGCCAAAGTGTAAACAACTTTAATTGTGATAATAGTTCCGGCAGTGGACGTTACTTGCACGGCGGCCACCAGCATCCGCATCCTCATCAGTCCGGATTTGCTGCCGTGGCCGCGGCGGTGGGAGCCGCTCCATCCGCCCTGCAGAGCCTGCAACAGCTCCACCAGCAACACCACGCCCAGCAACAGGCCACGTTGAGCTTTCAGCGCGAGAAACTCAAGTCGGGTAAGCAATACTCATAGTCTTTACATATTTATTCTTTTTTAAAAGGTTAAACCGTTTATGTACAGATGTTTGCATAGTATTCAAAGCTTCTTTTAATTTGAATTACCTTCTCAATTTTATTATGGTTATTGGCTTAGTTTAAAAAGAGTTATATTATATTCTTTATATATTTTAATAGGAATAATAAAATATTATTACCTTTTTTTCCCAGACTCCCACAAGAAGAGCGCCCTAAAGAACAAACGCGTTCGGACAATCTTCACGCCGGAGCAGTTGGAGTGCCTGGAGGCGGAATTCGAGCGACAGCAGTACATGGTTGGGCCGGAGCGCCTTTACCTGGCCCACACGCTCAAGCTGACGGAGGCGCAGGTGAAGGTTTGGTTCCAGAACCGCCGGATCAAGTGGCGCAAACACCATCTCGAGCTCACGCAACAGCGGCTCGCCTTGATAAGGCAAACTCAGCTGCCGGGCACGTCGATCCTAGGCAATCAGGTGTCCTCGGCTACTAACGCAACCCACTCTGCGTCCACGGATCTCACAACTGGATGCAGTGCAGCATCGCCCAGTCTGCAGGAGGAGGACAACGAGGACAGCAAGCATTCGCTATCGCTTTCCGGCGCCATGCCACCTTTAAGTCGAGCGCAATCTGAATCAGATCTGTCCATCTGCAACGACTCCCTGGATGGCGACAGTCTCATGGACGGCAGCGAAGAGGCCTAAAATCTGGGCTAGGGCAAAGCAAATTTCCTGTAAATATAGCCAAATAAACATGTACAATATGGGTTTTCTTTACCCCTGCTTGTGTTTTATGTTCTTGTTGCTCTTGAGGACAACTTTTTATTTTAAAGTGTAATATATCTATTTAGGAGAAAGTCCTTAGTTTACATAAATATAATACAAACACAAAGTTATTTTTCTTCAGTTAAATCTGTCAAAGTATTATTTAAAAAACATAAGCTATACAAAGGAAATCAATTATATACCTAGTTACATTTAATTCGCACATTACACTTTGATCAGTTATCACAATAGAGTATTCAACTTATTGCTGAGCAGCCGCCCTGGCGATTCGATCGTGGCAGGAAAGGTGCACGATCTGTCCGTTTGGGTAGCGCACAAAGGCTGGCTGGCTGGGGAAGCGTTTCTTGCACTCGGGACACACACTGAACTCGTTTAATTCAAAACTTATTTCTCTCTGAGCCTCCACAGCCCGCTCTAAACGATTGGCCTCCGCCTCCAGCAAACCGACCATCATTTGCATTTGGTGCTTGTCCGCCATCTTCTTGCGTATCGACTTCTCCAGGTACTTCTCTAGCCGAGGCATTGGCAGATCATCGGGAAGGTGCTAAGGATGTGAAAATATTTAGACTTTACAACTAATAAGAAGTGTATGCAGAAATCACCTCGAAGATCTGGAAAGGATCGATTTTTGTGGCATATTTGTTGAGCAAGTCCAGGGCCACCTCTTGATTGACTTCGACGAAATCTGGATGCAATGGCACACCTTCATAGGGCGGCTGAGTGGGTGGTATCAGAATACACTTAATAAGCGAATGGAATATGTTTTCATCATCCTTAAAGTTGGCCTCCGCATAGGCAGTTGCCTTGGCGACATCGCCCAGAACTTGGATATAGATTGACAGCACTTTATCGTGCTTTTTAAGTCTACCCAAAATGAGTGCTCGCTCTTCCAGCAGCATGTTGGTGGGGAATTCTTCTAGGACACGATCTGGCGAATAGTCATTAGACTCCTCCAGCATGTTGTAAAGTTTTTGCCTTGTTGGAATTAGTTCGGAAACTTCCTCTCTAGGAAAAAGATATGTTAACATTGTTTAACAAGCGTAACTACAAATTTCTTACCCTTTTTCCTGCTTGGCAAGGAGACGCTGCACCTGCTCGCGATATTGCTTAAGGAGAACATTGTGGAGGAGAGTGTTGCTGTCCTTCCACACTGTAATCACGTGTTCTAAATAGGGAGTAACTAAAGCTTTATGTTTGCTTATAAGAAAGTCCAAGACTTTTGCCCGCGGCAATGACTCTACTTCGATAAAATCGTCGGTAAAAATTGATAGACCTTCTTCGGGATTATCTTTCAGTACCCAATCAGCGAACTCAAAAATCAGCGGCAGATGATCACTGCCTAGCTCCTGCAAATAACGAATAGTTCGCTTGCGACCTTGCAGCACTGATCCTTCGATATTTGCCTGCTCTCGAAGAAGTTTCAGGGCATCCTTGTGCTTGCCTTTCATCTGGTACAGGATGATCAACTCCGATATCTTATTATGCTTCTTTAGCGTTTTCTCCGACTCTTCCAGATGGCACTGGTTAAGTCTGAGGAGCGGTGCCACAAGAGAATCGTTCGTCTGCAGATAGCACTTAAGCAACGTGGTATCGATAATCTCTAATAGAGACTTTGAACTGCTCTTGGTGTCGCGCAACTTGACTACCTCTCGTTGGCGCGCCAAGGCCAAATATTCGATGAGTGCCAAGTAAGCGTTCTCCAGGTCTCCGTCTTCCAGCGCGGGAGCAGTGGATGTGGGCACAGGAATGTCATCGGCGCCTGGTTTAGGTTCAGGTACCAAGTTCGGAAACAGTCTTATTACATCGTATGGATCTATGGCCGCTTTCTCGAATTCCTTCATGGCCGCAGAGAACTCCCTTTTGGTAAAGAGCTCTTTTGCATAGAGCATGTGTATCTGACGAATGGTTTGGGCTCTTTCCTCTGCTGGTTCATCAGAGATTTGCTTAAATGAACACATTCTGATATCGAATTTTAAGACTCCTTTGTGTGACTTACCGTCAACTCAATGGCCAGCTGGAAATTTTTTTGCTGCAGTAACTGTTGTCGCTGCATGGGAATTTCCACCATCCGGATGCACCAAAGCTCCGAGGTGGCGGCCGCGAAAATGGTACCCTTTTCGGCATGGACCAGGAATCTAGTCTTCTGAAGCTCGGGAATGGTCTGCACAAGAGTGTCCTTGCCCACCAGGCTGCGCACCTCAATGGCATTGTTAACACGACCTACGGCGTAAGGCTCATCCCAGACTATAAAAAAGATTAAAATTTAGTTCTGCCCCTTAGTAAAAAAAAGTATGCATACCCAAATCCAACAAAGGACTTGACCAGAGAAGCGGAGTAAGGGAAGTGTTACTCTCCATCCCACTTGATCGCACATCAGTCGAGCTGTTGTTTCCATCGGTATCCTTGTACTTACTGGGATCCACTAACACTAAGTAGCTATCTTTGGAAATGCCCAGCATGTTGTTGCGTATAAGGCAAATGCATGGATCCCTGCTAATATTGGAGGAGGTTAGGAACAGATTGTGTTTTTTCGGATTTTGGCCGGATATCTGGAAAAGAAAATACAGCCTTACAGCATAAATAAAATATGAATATAATTATTTCCTCACGTCGTAGACCACATATTCGTCCTTGTAACCCACGCAAACAGCATGGCCCACCCAGCAGAGACTCTTGGGAAAATCGCTCAGTTCGATGCTCAGTTTCAGTGAGTCCAGCTTATCCTTTTTCCAGAAAAAGAACACTAGACGCCGTTTAATAGCGCAGCACACCCGAATGAAGGTGGCCACATCGCCGGTAGTTGACTTCTGCGAGTCCACGTCCATAGTAAACAGGGTGCAGCCCTTCGTATCCGGAGCGCTGTGCATGAAGGCGAAGTTACTTTCAAACCGGCTGATGTCGCACACCTGAACATGATTGTCAGTAAGGACAAAAAGTAGGTTTTCAGCCTCTATCACTTCCATTTGGGTGATTGGTTTCCGGCTGAAGTTCTTGTTGAACATCCGCATGTCTACGCCGGTCTCCTCGTCAACGGAGTACATGATCAGCTGTCCACTGCGGGTGCCTAGAATGACATGGTTGCCTGGAATAATACACCCGGTGAGTAATAGTCAGATATCCCAATTCTCACTCACCATACGCCGCTATGGACTCTATCTGCACGCCTTGTTTCAGGATCGAGTGAACACTATAGGCCTGGTGCATCTTGGCCAAGTTTAAGGAACGGTTAGTCCTCCGCCAAAGTTTATTTTTCAACAAAGCTTATAAACAATAGAGCTGGGCGTATCACTCACGACATTATCGATATATCGATTACTTTGTACATCTTGACAGTATTATAAAGAACTTGTGTTCCTAATCAAATAAGTAAATCTGTTTTGAGTTCAGAAATATCAAGTAGCTTTGATGCTGAAATCAAAAGTAAAAAACTTACTATTATTTCATTTTAGTTATCCAAGCAAAATTAAAAATTTAAACCGATTTTATTGAAACAGTGTTGCCACCCTTACACTCGTCGATTAGACCAGTTCGATACACTGGTTCCGCGCGAAACCGCCCACCTCTAGTCCTTTTCACTTTAGCGAGGCGAAATTGTCACATTTACATTTGACAAAATTGTAAGTTTGGAAGAGCAGAATTGACACATTCGTTAGAAATATGCTCGTTACATTAGTGCACTAGTGCAGACGGTTATTAACGGTTTCATTTCGTTTGCAAATCAGCGTCGACAACACCCCCATAGACATCAACAGTAGCAAGAGCAGCAGCAACCACAGCAACAGCCAAGATGCCCAAGAATAAAGGAAAAGGTGGCAAGAACCGTCGTCGTGGTAAGAACGAGAACGAGTTCGAGAAGCGAGAGCTGATCTTCAAGGAGGACCAGCAGGAGTACGCGCAGGTGACCAAGATGCTGGGCAACGGTCGTCTGGAGGCAATGTGTTTCGATGGCGTCAAACGCCTGTGTCACATTCGGGGGAAACTTCGCAAGAAGGTGAGTTTCTACTCTTCGATTAGCTCTCTCCTATGTTGGGGCTCCTCTCTTAGCAGACTCTCTTAGCTCATTCGCTCTGACATTGATTTGCCAGCGAATGCTAAGTATTTACGTTATTGTATTGCAAAAATGCAGGTTGTTTATGTGTGCGTTAGTGATTTTGGGGACTTTTCGCAATACCCCAGCTAAAACGCAATTTATGGCCCTAACTTTAGTCTTTAAATGCCGTAGTCTTCTCTCTTTGTTTGCTCTCTCTGGTCCACTGAGTGGGTGTCATCGTCCTTGTTCGATTGCATTAACTATGTGTGGGTGCGTGGGGCTAGGGGCTGCTGATTAATAATAAACAAGTGCATCTGTACTTGTGTATTGAGAGGCAAAACAGTTGCTTTGTAAATACAAGGTGTTCCATTATTTTCCTTACAATTTCAAATTTCTTTTCATCAAATGCGATTATATTTGTATTAATAAGGTTATTTTTTAATAAAATATTTGTAAACTAGTCATTTTTGTATTCCCTGAAATACTGTATATATCAACGGTTCTTAAACGTATATTTGCATTTAAATAGCAACTTTAGATACCTGACTATTTCTGCGAAAACATTTCTCTCTATCTCTAGTTTTCATGGTAGTAAAAGTAGGTCTGCAGTTGCAGTTGCCCCTTATCGTCTACCTGAGTTAACCTTGGTCGTGGTCGTCTTTAGGCCGATTAGATCAATTCCTTCGAAAGGTTTGAGCACATGTCAAATTTTGGAAGGTGCTTCACCCCGCAGGAGACGCATGTCATAAATAAGATTCCAAGTCGCCTACGTCAAAATTCGTAGCGTAAGTAGTGACGTCTTAAAGCTCTCATCGGTGTCAAGCAAATATACAATACCAGAAGTGGAGTCCAATCGAAGCGTACAAATCAAACATGAAGTTATTAACATTGCGACGCAACCGAAAAATTCCAAGACGGCAAAAGGCATGTCTCAGGTTAATTGCTTGATATAGGCAATGCAAATGCAAATAAACAGATCAAAATACCAGTTTCCCTTGGGAAAGCAAACTCATGATAGGAATACTATTTTTGCACATGAAATTCCAAGGAACCAACCACTTGATTTTAACTTTCATTATCTTTATAAGTTTAATAAATCGCCGATTAAAATTGTTAAAAAAGTTTACCAACAATATACAATCTATCTTTCTTAAAGTAAGTTGTAGTTTCCACTTTTTCAACAATGCTTTGTATATTAGTAGCACAACAATTTTTCAAATGCAATTCTAAATAAATAATGTGAAAGAATTTTACACAGTTCCTAAGAGCACGTGCTGCGCCATAAAATTAACCTCCTACAACATCCTGACTTCGCAATATTTTTCCGTACAAAATTGTTCAAAGGGTTGGGACATTTATCTAATCAACTGTTAAAAGTAATGTCCAAAGTATTGGAGTAAAGAATTAATAACTTAAACGCAAGTGCGACGCAGTTTTCTGTTTTTATGTTTGGGGTCTTGATCATCATAAATGGATTTTTAATCTCATATGATCGGTTATATAAGCTCTGGTGATGCGCCCGTGCAACACTAATTTTTGCTCTAATCTTTCAAGTAGTTCCCCCAAGGAATTTATAGGCGCTTGCACTTGTAGATTTATGGGGTTTGATTTTAAACTTGTTAAGGAGATATTCGTTTAGTAAACTCTATGCTCTTTGGCTTCAAAGTTGGTTAATTAAAGTTAAGTATAATGCTGACACAAAGCGATAGTACATAAACCCCTCGTATCAATAATTAATAAAATTTATTTTATTTTTTATCTTTACGAAGACAAAGACCACGTAATTGGTATAACCACACCATTAAATTTGAATACCCTGTGGGCATTTTCGGTGCTTCACTCACATTATCTTGGCCATCTGTCAAACGGAATAATAATTGATAATTGATAATTACTGGAAATGCGGAATTACAGCTTGCTGTTCCGCAATTACTCAGCTTTGGAGGGCTCAAAGTGCAACAGTTGGACTCAAGGTTCAACGAGCTCACTCTCAGATGTCTAGACCCAATTTTCATGGGAATATTTTTGCTCAGGCTGTCCTCAAATGTCTGTCAATCACACAGAAGTCAGCTGATGGCCCCAATTTAGCGGGTCTTTATGAGGTCCCAGCTAATCTGTATGTAGATCCTAATCTGACAGTCGTAACATGCTTTCCATTCCCTTTTCTTTTTGGCCAGTCGCTGCTCGTCGGCATGACTAATGCGTGGAGAGGCGCCAATTGCCCCCCAAAACTCCTCCAGCTCCCCGCCCGGCAACAGAAACCGAATATATCGCAAAGTCGTCTTATCTGACCGAGGGCCCCAGCTTATTTCACAATTAGTTTCGACTGGGCCAAAAGTGCCAGACAGTACGCACTTTTCAAATAAAATCTGCGCAATTTGATTAAATCTTAACTTCAAGATCGGTAGTTCTATTTTGGGTTCTTGTTTGTTGAACTATTTTTTGATCAAGAAAGTAGATAAAAGATACTTCTTCCATGTGATGCTCCAGGAATTGGGTCATTGGCACTATTTTTTGTTCCTATTTGTTTAGTTAGATTAGCTAAAAATAAAAACACAGTGGAGGATTTTTCTATTTAAATATTCACAATTTTATTCATTTTTTGTGGGCCTAAGCCACAAGCTACGTGTTAAATTACAGAAATCTGGGCAGTATATATTATTAGATATTTGTTCATCTTATTATCCTAGTGAGATTGTCTAGAGAATCTACATTTTTCTTTCGGTTTTTCTTCTTTTGTTGTTTTTTTTTCGTATATTTAATTTTTCGATATCGTGACATTCGAGCTCATTTGGTAGGAGGATCATTCAAAGTCCCGTCTCTCCCATGATCACTTTACATGATCTGGGTGGCTGTGCTTATGACCTGGTTGATCCAATCAGTAAAAGCCGAGACGCGGACAAAGACCGAGGGGGCGTTCTTCTGGCCGCAGGGCATCTTGCCCCACGACACGATGCCGATGACGATGTTGGCCTGCTCGAAGTGCTCCTCGCAGCACTGCTGGATCAGCGGACCGCCGGAGTCGGCGGTGCAGATGCTAACGCCACCGGTCAGTGGGCCAGTGCACAGGTTGGTCTCGTGCAGCTGGAGACCGGATCGGGCGAGGATCTGTTCGCAGAGCTCCATGTCCAGGATGGGCATGTTGGCCTCCTGCAGGCGATGCGGATAGTTGGGCACCGCCGTCATCGAGACATTGCCCCAGCCGTAGAGAGTGCCATAGCCCTCGGGTTGGGCATCCTGCTCCGGCAGAGTGGCTGGCTGAACGTAGGAGTCGAAGGCCAACGGCTCCTTGGTGTAGATCAGGGCAATGTCGTAGGGATTCACTCCGCCGAGGTAGAGCTCGTGTCGCACATAGTAGTCGATGTGTCGCATCTGGATGTTGCTCGCCTCCCCCTTGTGGTTGTGGATGTCGTGGCTGCCCGCCACAATGACGGAGTTCTCCACCGCCTGCGGTGAACTGAGGCAGTGGGCCGCCGTCAGGATCCAGTGCTCGTTGATCACGGTGCCGGCACAGTAGTGGACCAGCCCTTGGTCCGGGGTCATCATCTGGATACTGACCACGTACGGCGCCGAATGGGGAGTCGCCTCCCGCTTGGCCAGGAACTTCTTGCTCCAGTGCGTTTGTCGCGGTGCTTCCAGAGTGCTAATCCGGTTCTCCAGCAGCCCGTAGGCCGCCAAATTCATGGCCATTGTGTGGGCAGCTCCCGTGGAGCCGCCGCCGCACTTGCGCACGGTGGGCAGCTGCATGGAGCCGGAGGATGCTGAGCTGAGCACCACCATAATACTGGCTATGGTGGACAGCAGCACCGAGTAGATGCATCGGTAGGATAAGAGCATGATGTCCTCGCTCTGGTTGCACGCGCCGCACGAACTCGTCGAGTAGTAGTAGGTAATTTTGACGGTTTTCTGGGTCTCGGTTTGAGGAGGCGCGGCTCGTTTTGTGGATTCCGAGTCGCGACTGTCTTTAGCTTTTCGCCCTTGTTCTGGCGTATCGATAGCACTTCACTTGTATTCCGTTTCGCTTTGGCATGGAATTCACTTTATTCGGCCCGATTTTGCCGCGTTTCTGTTGTTCAGGTGTCTCTTGGTTGCTGTCGATTTTAGATTTGCCCGTCGCCGGCGAGTGGGGGCTGTATTTATAGGGAGCGACACTCCGGAGAGAGTCGCCTTGGCGAAAATGTGGTTGGTCGGCGGCTCCTTATCGCCAAGAAAGCGGGAGCGCGAGGCCCCCCATATATGGAGCGCTATCAGTGACGAGTCGAGATAGCAGAAATTCGGCGAGTGCCAATCGCATGCCTAAGGTTCTGGGCTCGGGTCTGCCCTGCCCAGGAATGCCCTACTCCAGGGAGATGGCTCTCCAATCGGGGCTAATCTGCACTAGCTTTTATTATGCAAGACAAGTGCGTAGTTAGTTCACAGATAAGAAAAGCGTGGGAAGATAATTCATATGGGTCCATTCGTGAGTTCAGGGTTTAAATGGTGAAACATTAAATTCGCTTATTTCGAGAACATTTTATTTAGTTTATGCTTGTGTTTTAGTTCTGAATTTTAGTATGACACATCAAAATTTCTGCCGAATAAGTGGTTAAACCCATGAAAGTATTATCTTTGCTTTTGCTTTTAAAAGTATATAAATTGAAAGCTCATAATGATCTGATTTAAGTTAAGCGTGTGCTTATTATGGTGTTTAAAGAACTCCAGTATTTTAATATCCTATGCAGATATCCCTTCTTTCAATTCAAACTGATCAAACCAGTGCGAACCGGCCCATTATAATCAGAAGTTCAATGATGTCTATAGCTAAATATAGTCTATATATCGAGACCTGCTGCTTGGAATGCCAAACCTGTGACGGAGCACACATACTCGCTAACTTACTCATTGGCACACTGCCGTGCAATCAGTCGGGGAATCGGGTGCTTCCCAGCCAGCTGGCTTCTTGGATAGGGAATGGGCCCATTAAAAAAGGGGTTCGGATTCGCTTATCTGCTGCCCAGCGTAATAGGGCAATTTCGATTCAATTTAGTCACGATTGTTCGCATTGGGCGTGATCTATCGTGTTGGTTTTTTGGCGACAGGGAATAATTTATAAAACAGATAGCAGAATGGAAGTACGGCGCGAAGCCATCCATTTAGTTTTAAAGGATGATAAATACTCCAAAGTTCGCACTTGTTTATTTCCAGCGCATACGTAATTTGGGAATTATTCCACAGTGGCTCCGATTCCGGTAAATTAATTTTAAAGCCACTACTGCTGGTATCTTCGCTTATCGATCTTTACGTGGTCAACGGATCCGAATATGTGTCATCTATGCATGGCATTGGAATTTATATTGCACCTACTTGAACGTAGTAGTACTACTGACAGGAAGTAGCTTTAGGAAGTGAATTTATGAATGGGCTTTGAATCACTCGGCAAGTGCAGCTTGTCCTAGGTCATTGACTCTGCCAGTTGAGTAAGATACTATTGCAGGGGGAGTTTTTCATCGCCTCTTAGTTTACTGCATTTTACACTTCCTACTTCTCCAATCTTCCGTTGACGTCACAATGGGAATATCTCAATCTGTTGTCAGGCCTCCTGCGTTATTCGCATCTGATTAGGTAAATGTTTTCCCAAGGGGCTTGTTATTTATACGTACTATAACAAGACTTTCTTATCACATCAGTACCGAAATTCGGTTAGCTCGTGATTGGATTTGAGATATCTCAAAGTGTCTTATCTCATCAGAAGCCAAATTCTTCGTCTTTCGTGGAAATAACCTGTAGCTTGTCATGTTATGCGCTCCATCTAAGTTGCTAATATATCAGCTGTATGTGCCTATGAACTCGTTTTGGACGGTCTTGTAGTCAGTAATTCGGTTTAATCGGGGTTTATCAATGTTTGATGTTGTACTTCAAGTACTGATTGTGATCCACGGGAAATTAATTACTTCGCAGCTCACGTGAGCTTCTTCCTGTCTTTGCGAAATTGTCCCAGGGGTAACCATTACCTTTCTGTTTTTTACATGTCTTTCTTGGGGCATAGAACCTTCTTGTTTGCCACACTTTTTCCACAAGGTCAGTTAGCATGGCGCTTCGTTACGCTCGTTTGTGAAATTCCCAGAACAGAGTCTCTCTACGCCATAGATCAGTTATCTTTTATCTATTACACGGAATACAAGCTGCAAAATTGAGTTTGCTTTTTCCCAAAGAATTAGTCATAAAACAATGAACGGCATTTGTGGCTTTCCCACAAAAATACAAAAGATAAGTTTATTTGATTGCGGATTTCGCTTTTTTCTTTCAGGTGTGGATTAACCAGGGCGATATCATATTGGTGGGATTGCGTGACTACCAGGACTCGAAGGCGGATGTGATCTTGAAGTACACTCCGGATGAGGCCAGAAATCTGAAGACGTACGGCGAGTTCCCCGAATCGGTGCGCATCAACGAGACGGTCACGTTCGTGGAGGATGGCTTCGATGAGGACATCGAGTTCGGCGATGAGATCAGTTCGGAGGACGATGCCGATTCCGTTGACAACATCTGATTAACAAGAAACAAAGTGGCGCCGGGAGGGACGACGACGGCGGGAGCGGCGGGTACGTCCGCCTCGGCAGCACCAGCAGCAGAGTCAGTTCGAGAATAGTAGGAATTTAACCAATTGTAAAAAGCAGAAAGCCTGAAACCCCGAGTCCTGTTCGAGAACCAATCAACCATCCAATCCAACCTATGAATCCAACATCCACAGAGCGGCGCAGCGGAAACTAAACAACATAGAGTTTAAAACAACAGAAACCAAAACTATAGCATCAGTTAAATCTTAGCCACTTTATTGTTCAATATTCTTAAAAATTCTCTAACTTGGTAATGCAAGTAGGTTCAAAAATTCTAACAGTTTGATTTATGGCAGCCGCAAAACAACAAATTATACAAAACAAATAGTACACTGTGCAAGTAATACAACTATGCGAAACATAAACTAATATTATTTGAATTAAAAGAAAAAAACAAAGAAAAACATATTAGTTATTATTTACCTAACAAATCTATCCATCTAAATGAAAAAAATTACAAAAAAACAATAATATTATTGAAATCTGCAACTCATACATATAAAATAGGAGTTTAGCAAACACTAATGTTTAAGACAAAAGGGAAGAAAAATATGAACAATAGTCAGCGAAAGGAAACAGAGAGTTTCGATTGTAGCTAGCTAGCGAGTAAGCAAAATCAAATCCATGAGTTTTCGACAGAAAAATCTATGCTCCATCCCCCAAGTGTTCCTTCTCAGCATTTCGTCTCATTTCTTGTTTTTATTATTCACCTGTGTTATATTTTGATGGTTTTTCATAGCGGTATCATATTCCAAACGTCCTTTTGTTTTTGCTGTCCATGCATTCAGTTTTCTTTTTATAGTTTTAACCTAATTCGAACCAAAACTATGGATGTGTAAAAAGTAATGAAAATATTGTTTTTGTAATGAGTTGAGCTCCAATAAATGGCGTTGATTAACCCGAATGCAAAACAGCAGATGCCCCAAAGTGTTTTCACTTCTAACCGCTTGCTAGTTAAAATTCAAGCTACAATTTATTATTAAATGCAGAAACTCGTACATTTCAAGTGGGGAAAAGCCCGACAATTTTTGGCACCGCTTACAGCTCCTCGTGGCGCGATGGGAACTTCTTGAGTATGGCATGATATAGGTTGTAGAAGGCGTACACCGAAACCGTGATGATCACCAAAAGAGCTCCTCCAAATGCGATGCTCAAGAAATTGCCGTCAATAATGCCCGCCGATCGGTGGCGCTTGGTGGAAAATATCTCCTCCGTAGTCGCCGGGTTGTTCTGCTGCTGGGTCGTCCGCTCGGCCATCAGCCGCTTCATGGTGCTCAGGCGCTCCCGCAGAACTTCCACGGATTCTGAGTCCAGGTCAGAGGTTCCTGAGGGAATTCAAATATTTATGAAATGTTCAGTTAAAGTTGGAGTTAAAGTAAACTCATTTTGATATACCTGTCGACTGGGAGGCGGAAGCACTAGGATAAGAAGCCATTGTCGAATTTGCTTTTATCAACTATTTGTGCAAAAACTGCAGCTTGAGATAATCGGAGCTATCTCAATCGCTTTGGGGTGGGTTTCTTGGAGTTCCCAGTTTCAAAAGCGCAGGCGCTTAACGGAAATCATTTGGGATGCCAGATAAATACAATGACCATCGCGTTGCCAAATACTTTTCATCTGCAAGCATAGCCAATAGCGAACTGCTTGCTGCACTGCTGTCTTTAAAATAGTAATCGGACATCGGACTTTAATAATATCGACTAGGTTACATCTCTAATAGTAAACACGTGAAACGCGGTTATTCTCGATTTTGATTTACCTTATGTGTTTTTAATGCTGAAATGGGTCTAACTAAGCAATATTTGGCCTACAGGGCTATAGATAGCTTTAATATAATCACCTCAGGCCGCGCAAATGTAAATTTTGCCATTGTGGACAAAACCGAGGGCCGATATGTGGCCGCTCCCGCAGCGGAGAATGTGATCATATGGGATTTGCGGTGAGTTTTCTTAGTTTTTAAATCATTGACAAACATGATTTACTTTATATATCCAACAGAATGGGCGATCGCAAGCTGACTTTACGCCGTGAGAAGTTCGAGGTCACCTGCCTTCGGGTTTCCCCAGATCACCTGCACATCGCTGTTGGCTACGCGGATGGCATGGTACAGATTTTCGATCTCAGTTCCGAGAGGTACTATGATCCGATTTGCTCGTTGGCGCTGCACAAGAACGCAGTGAGCATCCTTCGTTATGATCAGCAAGGCATGCGGTTGGTTAGTGGTGGATTGGATACTGAATTGGTTGTCGTGGATGTGGTGGAGCAGGCAGGAAGAGCCAGATTGAGTGGCCACAATGCCGCCATTACAGATGCCCACTTCCTGCAGCGACTGGTGGACGAGAGCATCGTGGTCAGCTGCTCTAAGGACACGCAGATTAAGTTTTGGAACCTGGAGACTCAGTTCTGCTTCAAAACTATTGTGGATAATCGGACAGAGGTCTGGGCATTGGCCCTTATTGGAGATCTAATGGTGGCAGGAGCCGGCGAGAGTGGCATGAATGTGTACCGCTTAAGAAAACATGATGGCACCGGCACTCTGGAGTCAGCCGTCGAGGGATTGTCCATAGAAGACGAGGACACCATAAGCCCCATTAGCGTGAGCAACTGCGGCACCATCCAGCGGGCTGGAAAGGGTCGCACCGTGAATTTGGTTACTGATCCCAGTGAACGGGTCCTCAGTTGCCACGGCACCAACGATTTGATCGAGAACTTCTACATCTGCACGCCGGAGGAGGTGAAGAAACGTCTGGCCAAGCGCCTGAAGAAGGAGAAAAAGGCCGCCGAGGAGGACGGTACAGACGAGGCCAAGTTGTCCACAGAACAGTCGCTTAGCGATGAAATAAAGCGTCTAGAGAGCGTCCGCGCCAAGCAGAAGATCAAGTCCATCGATGTGGTCTTGGGCCAGAATCAGGAGCTTCGTGTCTTGGTCAGTTTGGCCAACAACAGCTTGGCCTTGTATTCTCTGGAGGCGTCGATTAAGACTCGGAAGGCAGCCGATCCCAGCGTTAAACTGCTAAGGGCGCTTACTCGTCTGGGACACCAATCGGAGGTGCGATCTGTTTGCTTTAGCAACGATTCCCTGGCCGTGGGCTCCGGAGCGGGGGAATCCTTCAAGTTCTGGGATCGTGATGCCATGCAGTGCCTGCGAACTGTGCCTACCGACTACATCCTCTGCTCGAAGTTTGTCCCCGGCGATCACTACGTCCTTCTGGGCATGAAGAGCGGCAAATTGCTCATCGTAGATGTGGCAGCGGCTGATATTGTGGAGGAGATTCCGGCCCACGAAAGCGAGTTGTGGTCTATTGCACTCCTGCCCGATCAGAAGGGATGCATTACTGGAAGTGGTGATACTACGCTTAAGATCTGGACATTTGAACTAATTGATTCCGGCGAGGGTGCTGCCCAAACAAAAGTGCTGTCTCTGCTGCATAAGAACACGTTAAAGTTGGAAGAAACCGTACTCTGCGTGGGCGTCAGTCCGGATATGAAGTACCTGGCCGTGGGTTTGCTGGACGCCACTGTCAAGATTTTCTTCCTAGACACGTTTAAGTTTTACCTTTCCTTGTACGGTCACAAGTTACCAGTTCTGTGCCTCGATATTTCCTACGACTCCAATCTCATTGTGACCGGATCGGCAGATCGTAACGTAAAAGTGTGGGGTTTGAACTTTGGAGACTGCCATCGCTCCATCTTCGCCCACGACGATTCAGTGATGAGTGTACAGTTCATACCCAGGACGCATATGTTCTTTACGTGCGGTAAGGACGGCAAGGTGAAGCAGTGGGACGGTGATAACTTTGAGAAGATTCTCACTCTGCCTGGACATATTGGAGAAGCGTATTGCCTGTCCGTATCTCCAAATGGTCGGTATTTGGTCACCTGTGGCTCGGATCGGACCCTTAGGATGTACGAGCGCACGGACGAGACTATCGTACTAAAGGATGTGCAGGAGGAGGAGCGAGAGCAATTGGAGAATGAGCAACTGGCCACTGGAGAAGATAACACAGTTCCCCTGCTCCCTGGTCTCAAGATGCCCTCCCGCAAAACCGTGGGCTCCGAGCAGTCTGCGGAATCGATTCTCGAGTGTCTGGAGATTTCTAAACAGTTTGAACTGGAGGCGGAGGAGAAGCCGGAGTTGCATCCTCTGATGCAGGCGCTGCAGGTGAAGAATCCTGTGGACTTTCTGGTCAGCACCCTTATGCGGATCCGTGCCTCTGATCTGGAGGAGGCATTGCTTTTACTGCCCTTCTCCACTGTTTGCGAAATTCTCGAACGCCTGCCCACTCTGCTGACCCAGCGACCCGATCAACTGGAGCTGCTCTGCCGCGTCACCATTTTCCTGTTCAAGGTGCACATGAAGCCCATTTCGGCGGCCAAGAACATGAAGCCGCTGCTGGTGAAACTGCTCTCAATGCTTAAACGGGACATCGGACAGCTGCGGGATGTCTTGGGATGGAACCTGCACGGCTTGGCTCTTCTTCAAACTGAGGTGGAGCAGCGAGATGGTGTCCAACTTTTCCGAGAGGCTACACAGGCTCGCAAAAAGCGGGACAAGAAGCGGCGAGAGGCCAACAAACGAAGGCTCCAGATCCAAATGGTTTAAAACTATATCCCCTAGACATACATAGTTGTAAAAATCAAATTAAACAATTTTAAATTAACTGAATTTTATATCATTCTGTGAACATACTTTAATTTGACAATTTCATAATATTCCGTAATTCTTGGGCATTCAAGCACTTTCAATTTTCTGTATATACAAATAGTAGACAATTAGGATTAAGGACTAGGAGCAATTAACAGAGGGCGGAGCTGCGTAAACGGAGACAGATCCTTTAAAACATACAATGAAAGAAACGCGTTCATTTTAAGACTTGGACTAGACGATTTTGGTGCAACATTGAACGTGGAACACGGGACGAGATTGTGAGCAGAAACCAAAGAGCACACCTAGAAAGCAATCAAAATATATTTCCAGCTTAACAAATGCCGGCCTTAGGGAAGGGACCATCGCCAGCTCCAACTCCACAGGGACCTGCAGGATTTATTTAATTTAGCAAAATTTTAAAGGGCTTAAATAATTTTTAAGCTTACCGCCACATCGTTGGAAGGCACCTGGAGGTCCGTAGCTAAGTTTCTGGATGGTGCACTTCTCAATGGGACCGGTTGGCCGGCAGTAGGACGTGTACCTGGCCCATGGGAGCGGCTCCTTTGGCGGCACACAGTTCGGCAAGTAGCTGAGCTTGTACGTGGTGCACTTCTCCATGGGTCCCTCGTTCCGGCAGAAGCCCTGCCGCGGACGAACGGACTCCGCCCGCGGGAAGCAGGTGACATCAACCGGCATGTACGACAGCTTGTTCACCGTGCAGCGCTCCATGGCTCCTGTGGGGCGACAGAAGGCTGTTCGCGGCATGATCGGAGCCCGACGCACATGCGGCTTGGCCACAAAGTCGTGCTTCTGAGTGGTCATCGCGTACATGGGCCCATCGAAACGCAGTCCATTCTCCATCGGACGAATCGGAGGAGTACGTTCGGTGCAATTCGGTTGATAGGAGAGCTGAAAAGGGAAGAGAACGTAAACCCTTTTGGGGAAGGAAATATGCCACAGAAAATGGTTATTACCTTTTGAATAGTGCACCTCTCAAGCGGACCAGTTGGCCTGCAGAAAGTGTCCCTGGGCAGGACAGGAGCTGGCTTGGTGCGGGATGCGTCCACAGGCATGTAGCTGAGCTTGTAGACAGTGCCTCCCGATCCGGAATCGTTGCCGCAGAAGCGCAAAGTGGTATGTGGCATCACCGGAGCGGTGCGTGCCTCATTGCAGTTGGGCATGTAGCTCAGGTTGTAGGTGGTGCAGACATTCGAGTACCTCGGCGGCACACAGCGGATCTTGTCCGCCCAGGGAGTGGGCTCCTTGGCCGGCAGGCAGACCGGCATGTAGGACAGCTTCTGTACGGTGCATCGTTCCATGGGCCCTGCCGGCTTGCAGTAGTGGGAGCCCTGCACCATGGCCTTGGGCGGCGGATTCTGGCACACGTCGATGGGCATGTAGCTCAGCTTCTGGATGGTGCAGCGCTCCATCGGGGCGTTCGACGTGCAAATGGCCACCCGCGGCACAATGGGATCCCGCTTGACGATCCCCTTGGGCACATAGTCGTGCTTCTGGGAGGTCATCGCGTAGATGGGTCCCTCGAAGCGCAGACCACTCTCAGCGGGAATGATGGGTGGCGTCCGCTTCACCGGACATGGCGGCATGTACGACAGCTTTTGAATGGTGCACTTCTCCAGCGGCGCCGTAGATGCTCGAATCTGGGAGCATGGCATCACGGGCCGGGCCCTTATGTTGTCGCCACAATTGGCGTAGAACGATCGCCGGTAGATGGTATCCGTGTCCAGCGGCGCCGTGGATCGCATGAAGTGCGACTTGGGCAGAATGGGCAACGTGCGAGGAGGCTGCTGGTAGCAGCATCCCGCATAATCGCCGCAATCGCACGGCGGACATGTCGAGTTCGGCGGACAGGGCGAGAAGTCCGTGGGCGCCTGGCAGGGATCGCAGGCAGTGGGACAGCAATCTCCGGACATGACTGAGAACAGGACAATAACTTCAAGAAACTGATAGCCGAGTAAACCGAAATTGTCGGGGAGCCAACGAAAACTGGGCAAATGTCAAAGGAAATAATTTTGTTTGCTCGGAGCTGAGAGTCAACCGATCGAGTGGACGTAACACTTCCAAAACGAATAAAGAATAATTTAGCACAGACACTGGACGACGAAAAGTTCCCCGATGTGTTCTATATAGGTAAAGATTTTTTAATGAACCAATCTCAAAAGTTGTTCAGAAACTGAAGTAAAACGCCCAGGCAACCAACAACAACAAAAGTTTGCGATCATTTTCATTTATTTCATTTTACATTCTTCATTGCTAGGATATCCTGATATTTGATAAATGATAATTCCTACAAATTGTGAGAGTAGCACTCTTAAGAAGAAATACATTTCATCTTCACATTGAAATCGGCTAAACATTTTAAAGAAATATTAATACATAGAAACAAACGATTTGCATTTTAAATTGGAATCTGTAAATGTGCCTAACTAAGCGTCTAACTAAACTCAAATTAAATAATTAAACATTAATAATAATCACGTACATTTTAACTTATATACAATATTTTTTTGCCTGCTCTATTGGTTTGGGTGTATGGGGCTTAGGCGAATACTTTACGAATCAGCAAAAAACGTCTAATACATAAATATCGAATTATCCAGTAGACAAACAATTCCATTTGCGGGTTAAACATAAAATCAATAAATCGATCCAGTGTATATGCTGGGAAGGGGAGAGGCGTATTTTGATTGCCGCCATTAAAACATTTTTCGAGTTTCTTACAAACTAGTTGTCTTAGACTATATGCTCGTTTCTTAATATTTTTTTTCGCACAGAATATAGTAAAAATACAATATTATATGTGGGTGTATATGATTCAGTTCGCTTGACGCCTTCTCGCTTATCGATAATGTTCGGGTATACAATATATATTGATCTCTAAAGATCGCGGGCTCTTCACGGTTACAAAGTGGGCAGATTGGCAGGCACCTGGTCCAGGAAATTAGCCGGAAACTGCCCCTGACGACCCGCCACCTCGCCGTACAGCCAATCATCGTTTATTCTATAAAGCACTGTGACCAATTCGTTCTCCTACGGAAGAATAATTATTTTAACATTGAAAGTGGTGTTTAATTAGGTTAATGATTTACCTGTAAAACCAGATCTCCTTCGACTCCGCCGGGAAAGTGATACAAACAGAGCGCCGTAGGCAGCTGCTGTTGCGATGAACTGGAAGTCGGGGCTGCAGCACTATTACTTATAGCAGCAGCACCACCCCCAGTGGCTCCCAATGGCACCTTGATGTCTACGTAGTTGACTGGAAAGATGCCCTCACAACCGGAACGCGTGCGTCCGCGCATCCATTCCGGCGTGGGATGGTCCAGCAGATATAACTTCTCTCCCTCCTACAAAAATCAACAACTTTAGTAAGCCCATAAAGTGTTTAAAATCTACCAAAGACGTACTCGAAAACTGAGGTCGCCCTCCTCAACGCCATCGAAATCGTATAGTGCAATCGCATAAGGAATAACCTCCTCCTCGATGTAACCCTGACATCCGTTGCTCAGCGCCAGCGCATCCACTTTGCCACTGATCACGTCCAGCAGTGAGATACCACCGTTGGGCAGCGGTGGCGGTGGTCCCTTGGGCATCGGTGGCGATGGTGGCGTCTCTGAGCCTGCATATCCCGCCGGTATGCTGTAGCCTGGCGGTACACCACCAATAAACGGCGGCGGCTTGGGAGCCTTTGGTTTCTGCGATATCTTCGGCTTAATGATCGTGGGCATGGTAAGCGATTGTGTTGGCGGCAGTAGGCTCTTGCCGTTGCACAACGGATTGTCCGAGGAGCGGGCCTGCAACTGGTACGTCTGCCGGACCGGTGCGGAGCCAAAGCAGTCGACGCCGCCGAGTCCAGTGCTATCCACCGCCTCCCAGGGATCCTGAGGACTTTGTGTGGATGGCCGCGATCGGTGGTAATCGTCCTCGAATCCGCTCTCCGGTTGCGAAACGCTGCCGTTGTTCGGCGAACTGAAGTTGCTGTCCGAGCTGAAGCTGTCCACGCTGACGCAGTCACTGTTGGATTTCTGGGTGAACGTGGGCGACGACGGCGGCGAATCAAAGCTGATGAGCTGGGCATCGGCTGTCTGCTGGGAGGCATAGTGGGAGCTACTCGAGGTGGTCGTGGTCGTAGTGGTGGCCGTGTTCCAGGCCGCATTCCAATCCGAGTTGCTGAAGGCCGCCGAGGAGGCACTGCTGTTGCTGTTGCTGTAGCCGTTGCTGCTGACGCTGCTGCTGCTATGATGTGGTGGCCCGACATTGCCGCTGCTCAGGCCGTAGACGCGACTCTGCGCTGCGGCCTTGTTAGCAGCGGCCGATGCCGTGGCCGTGGACTTCTTGCGGTGGAAGATGTTCGAGATTAGACTGCCACCGCCGGCGGCCGCCGATGCCGTCGAGGAGGAAGTCTTGGTCATATTCTGCCCATTCACAAGCACCTTGGGCGGCGGCGGTCGCGGCGGAGGCATCTTCTTGAAGCGATCATTCCCGTTGCCACCGAATGGATCGTCGTCCCAGTTTGTGGCCGGAGTGTAGCGTGCCTGTGGAAACTTCCTCGTGATGCTCGATCCTCCCGTCGGCTCGTCGAAAAGGCTGCCATTGTTGTTGTTGATTGTTCGCTTGTGCTGCGAGTTCTGCGGCTGCAGTGGTCCCTTTGGTGGCGGTGGCAGCTTGATGGTCAGCTTTTGGAGTCCTCCGCCGGCCGCCTGCTGTTGTTGCATGTGCTGCTGCTGGAGCTGGAGACGCAGTTGCTCCAGGCTGGCGTTCGCCCCAGCCGCGGCGCACTGGCCTCGTGATCCAGGCGGAGCCGGCGCCGGTCTCGATGGAATGGTCATGTTCTCTGCAATTGAAGAAACGAAAAAAGCCATTTAATTATCTTTGCGAGTAACACAACACGCCAAATGGCGTTCTCTAATTAAACATGCAAAATTAGTTTTCTTATCGCAAACATTTGGGCCTGATAATGAATTTTCTAGAGTGCTGCCCTGAAACTGTTGAGTCTCACCTCAGTAGTGTAATCCCCGACTTTCTGTGGCACTTTTCTACTCAAAATTTCTAAAACAAAAACTATTACGAAACGTTTAAGAGTTTGCTAAGTTTTTCTGAGGAAAACAATCTGATACAACTGCAAAATAGAAAACAGAGATGCCTGACAGAAAAACGATTATTTTAAAGCGAACTTTTCTAGGCTGAAATTATCATAAATCATGTCAGATGGTCTTGATAAAAAGAGAATATAAAAAATAAATTTTTTATATTATTTTATTGTATTGTCTGCCTAGCTACCTACTTACCAAACAATAACCAAAATGAATTTACGATGCAAGATAAGATTTCAACTAAAGCAGTTAATACAAATGAAACTTCACTCAAGACTTTTAGATAAAATAACGTCGCACACCAACCGATTAAGTTTATTGATAGCCCAAGTGGCTTTTATGGTGGAAAATGGAATGACTCACGTTTAGTAATCACCTAGAAAAGCTAAATTAATAAAGCAATACTATCAACTTACACGCACAGAAAAGTTCAACCATCAACACCTGGGTTCCATAATCAGAACACGAAAACAATCAATCGTCAGACCCGAAATGCTCTTTTATTGTTTCTTATTTACGATGCAATAATTGGCAAGAGCAAAAATAAATAAAGAGTTTGTTTTCATTGGGGTTTCTCGAAGCATTTACGTCATCTTCCCCACTCACAAATGCTTTTCTGCTAATTACTGCGGTTTTGTCTATTTCAGTTTGTATTTTTTCACAAATCACACGTTAAACGATGGGAAAATCCATATCAGTAGCTGAGAAATGAAAAAGATTTCAAGTTAACGCCGGAACTGGAAAACAAGTAGGTGGATTGTGGATTGTGCCGCGGTGATGGGTTGCAGTTGCCCCACTTGCTGGATTCTCGGTGCCCGGCACATGGTGGAACCGATCAAAAACGCAGCTGAAATGGACTGACTGAATGTGCCACAATTGGGATATATTTCAGAGAACGAAAAACATTCACAATGCACAATGATAAGAGCAAAGCCAATGTCGCACTCTTTGGAGAACAGCAAAATGGATAGCGTAAACAAAAACAAACATATTAAGTCGCAAAAAAATATTGAGCAGCCAGAGGGGCGGTGGGGAATCGTTTGACACTGGTGTCATTTGATAAAAGCTTTTCGTTTGTATCATTTTGCGAATCGGGTTATGAGATGGAGGGGTGTCAACGGTCTGGTCTCGTTTTAATGCGTCACACGGAGAATTCCCTGAAGCACATTTCGCGGAAAAATAATTAATATCTAAAGATGGGAGGAGATGGCGCCACCAATAATATCCGCCTCTTTACGTATTTTTTCTAGTGGCACAAATATTCTAGCTTATGGCATAGGGAATTACATATGTTTATTGTTTGCCAACACGAACAGTTCACAAATATTTGTAATTTCTTCCTGTTATTTGAAAAGTGTCTTCCGCTGAGAATTGCAGGGAACTTCAATGAGTTAGCTTCAAAGAGCCTTGCGGAAAAACAGTTCTGTATCCAGAAAAATGTATAATTGTATATACAAAAATATCTACAGACAACTAAATTTTCAATATAAAGGAGAATTTTAGCTGCCTTTATTATTAATTTAAAAGTAAATGGTAAATTTCCACACCATTTGGTTAAAATTGATCAATTGAATTTTTAATTTAAAATATAAACGTATGTATATATGTACATATAAATTCGAATAGTCAACGCTCGATCAATAGATTGATCAAAGAAAAAGAACAATATACCATTTAACGGATCGTCTGCGTGTCTATTATACATATATGTACAAAAGAACAAAGATCTTATTTTTGGATTTTATGCCAACTTTCAAAACTTTCAGCTGGGTCAATAAACAACCTATCGTTACCAAATAAGAGTTGCATGCGAAATTAATGCAAAATTTCCATAAGCAGCCTCCCGTTGAAATAAAATAAACACAAAGGCGGGGAAACGAAAATCAAGCCAAATTAGCAACAGTGTTTGACTGTGGATTTTGTTTATTATTGGGTAACTTGAAGCCCAAACAATTGACTGAATGGGCGGCTGTGACGTTAATTATCACCGGTTTAAGCCACAACAGACCAGAATAGAACCTACAGTTGCAATCTAATTAAAATCACCTTCAGAAGGTGATGATGGGCGAAAGAGAAAGGAAGAACAGTGTCCTCCCACTCGCCCACCCACCAACCATTCACGTTGGAATTGTTGGGATTCTGAATGCCAATTTAATCATTTGCCGGCCCCTTTCTAACCGCCCCGCTTTTACTATTTGCTTTGTATGGGCATGTGCAGAAATTCAAGAGCAAGAGCAGCATATTCCGACAGAAACGTATAAGTTTGTAAGTGTATCACAATGGCAAACACGCTTTCCTCTTCCTATTTCCCCCGTGGCGTCAGAAAAATTGATCGAATCACTCTAATCATTGGTGGGGTAATGAGTGAATTAGACTAAATGTCTATGAGGTGCTCCACATTCACATATTTACACCTATTAACGGGGCATTTAAATAAATTAAAACTCAATTAAAATCAAATGTGGATCTGCTACATTAAAAGGCAAACAATGTATGCTTAAATAGCACCATTATTTAATGCAAACATTATGGCAGGCGATGAGTGAGTTTGACGTGGGTTAAATTAGCAAGTTTCTCTACCGATCATCTGTATTATTTTGGTATGATTGGACAGGTTAAATAAATACACCTTTTATTTGTTCGTTGTCAAATTCTGCTTAACAGTGACTTATACAATTTTTAATCAAGCTTTTTCTTAGTTCTATCGAAAACTTGAAATGTGTTGAGGCCTTCGGGAGTTTGTAATAAAGCTACCTGTATTTCTGCGGTTCAAGCTCAAGTCCATTCAATGCCAGTCAATGCTAACCGGTTTTCTCAGAGACTCCCTTTACAACTTTAGATGAGAATTAAGGCTGTGAACACGCTTGCTAATTGCTTGCTTCTTTTGGTTTTAAGTATTTAGAGACATAGGTTTTCATGTAACTGACTTCCAGTGAAACTATTGGAAAGGGTGTAAGATCCGATGATTCAGTCCGTTGACAGAATGTGTGGGCAAATACGTTTTGTGATGCGAGCAACTTGGGTTTGAGGCAACTTTTACTTTGGTATAGCCCATCCTCAAGCTTGACCGCACGTTCCAAGCAAACTCTCACGAACAATGGAAGTCGAACGAAAGCAGAACAAAAGAAAGTGACATATACATCGATCTCTCAAATGTGTATGTGATGTCGGGCGGAGCTGCAGCTTTAATGCCAAGTGAGAGCGATATTAATAATCGAATGGAGTGAAATGAAATGTGTGCTGGCTAGAGGAGTGCGTTTGAAAGACCAATTACCATGCTCTGTTTTCAATAGATTGTGCTCTACCCGGTTTGCCACCCCACCAACCGACTATTTCTCTCTCGGCGATCTCCTTTCTTTGGCCAGCCAGCCGCAATTGTTGATATACTGTTGAGATACTTCGACATTTTCGTGCACAGCGGCTACAAGACTGCCGTGACGACCTTGAATGCTTTTATTTTCACTCGCCAAATAAAAACTAGACCACAATCACATTACAAAGGGCTACAAATGCTCCATTAGTCTGTGACTTGAACGCTCCATGAGCCAAACATTAACCTCTCCAGACTACACAAGAAAAATTATATCATTTTAGTCGACAAGAAAGTTTTCTTTTTCAAGCCACTTGTCAACTTATATAGAGATACAAAAATAGATTGATCAAACAGTTTTGAATTGTTTTTTAACTTACTTTTAGTACAAGACACATCTTAGTAAGTCGATATGAATTTTTTAAAAATTTATTTTAGGTCCCCTTGTATGTTTAAAATAATCTTTTAAAATCGTATATTTAATTTAAATAAGTGTAAACGTAAACGTTTCTTATTGTGTAGCGTAAAAATAGCAAACGGGAGCAGCGGAATAAAAGCACCCGCCTCAGATGAACAACAAAATGAAGGCAACGCATGGCGAAGCGCCGAAGTCAAATGAATTTAATGCCTGCATGACAAGTTAAATGAACTTAACTAAAAACACGCCTCAATTTTTGGATTGTTTTTATTCTTTTAGCATTTTTAAACCTGCCCAATACATTGAAATGTAAAGAAGAATCGGGGAAACGTGACCGCAATGAGTTCATGCAATTAAAGCAAATTACTCAGAGAACAAAGCCGAAATCATTCAATTTACATCAAGTGCGATAAAGAAGAGTTCTGAAGATGGATGGAAACAGAGCCACGCTTTGTGTGAGGCGTTGAGGTTAAGGTTTATTGAGCTGGGCGTCTTTAAATGGGGTGTTTCGAATAATAAGAACTCTTTATCGTCAGAGGGTTAAAGATTAATTTGATTTTCTGTTTGGCTCTTCTAATAAGCAACTGTGGACACAGCTTGAATCTGGTGCGACAACAATCTATTCAAATGTACACGCATACACATGGCTGGTAAATATTTGATCAGCAAATTTAGCGCTTTAAGCAAATGGCCAAAATAAAACAGCTTCCCGAATCAGCATACTTAACAGCCAACCGAAAACTTTAGCGAAAAATCGTATAAGGGAGACCGGAAAAAGCCGGGGCGAAGACAAGTAAAGACCAAAGCGCTAAAACGGGTTTTATCGAATTTAACTCATGATTTTGCATTGTCTTGGCAAGTTTTCCTTCTTTCTGTAGAACAAAAAGGAATGGCAAAAACTAAAATAGGCAAAATAAAAGTTTGCAAAATCCACATCACCATTCCACATTGTCAGCACGTTTTCCTGTTCGTCGTCGCAGTTTTTGTTTTTCTCCCCGTCATTCCAGCTCGTGCAGTTTGTTCTAAAAGCGTATTTGCATACACATAAAGATTGATAGGCAAAATACAATGTATTTTGTGTTATGCCCAGAATTTCTAGACAAAGAATGCGGGCTAAAAATTGCACGTTCGAGTATGAAATGCATGAGGAACTACAGATGAAATCCATCAGACTCTCCTCCGCATTCAATCCACTCGTGCGTTTCATGGCGGGACACTCGTGAATGTGGGTCAAAGTTGAATACAATCAGAGCTGAAAGCTTACATCAGTACTCTTGTACAAACCCACATTTTGTGATGTACGTGTATCGAGTGTTTCAGTAAAAAGTAAAAAACACTTGCTTGCATTTGAAGTCCTAAAGTAAAAAGCTATGTTCTATTGAAAGGTACATAAAAAGGATCCTTTGTTTCAGTCCAATCCCTTTCTTTTTTATTGAATAAATGGAGTTCCAAACTAAAAATCCATAAACTTTAAAAGCTAATACTCCTACAAATGATTTCAATTATAGACATTAGTTAAAAACACAATAAAAGTTAAATACAAGTTTCGTTTTTATAAAAGCCTCATGATGTCATTTATTCATAAAGAATTAACCAAGTGAATATTATGATATTATGTATGTACATATTTTCTTTCTGTGGGTTGTACAGTTCTCTCTCATGTTTCCAGATTAACGTTTCCTGTTTTCGACTGGGCGATAGTTCTGGAAAGAGTTTTATCACCGAACAGGGGCGGAGAAAGGAGGGAAACTAGGCTACCACATGGCGGCATGTGAGGATCGGCCAAAAGTCAGTCAGCTGGAAAGTGCGGTAAGCGCAATGCAACACCTGCTGCGCCCGAAAGTGACAACATAAAAACGAAATTCCTTAAGTTTTCAATTTCGTGATCTGGAAATAATATTTTTTTCTTACTGAGAGGGGAAAACTTTTTAGTATAAATATTCCCATCTTAAAAAAAGGGGCCTCCAATCCATAAATGTCACCGTATACATTTTATCGCTAAGGCACAAGTAAACAGTCGTAACTAACGTACCATATCGGTTTATGCAATATTTTTGTGTTGTACAATAGCTGCAAAGTTTCTTCTCGCCTTACTAGTCACCCAGGCAAACATTTAATTAATTAACAAATGCGACCTTGACTGGAATTTCAATTAAGTAAATAGTTGTGCAAACTTCAATGGAAATGGAATAAAAGCCAAGTTGCCGTACTGATGTGGTTAAATATATATTGCGGGTAACTAACCTTTTGGCAAAGCTCGATTCGTTCCGATCCGATTCGATTCAAACAACCGATCCGTAGAGCTGGCTTAGTGGGTTTTTTGTGGCGACTTTTATGCGATGCGTCCAAAAAAGGTGGACCAAAAAGTTAAAAGTTAAAGAGAGTGACTAATGCCGCTCGCACACAGCTGCAGCTAATTTGTTGTCACACACACACACAGTAGAGCGCGGGCATCAACTTTGCACTCTTCTCTTCTCTCTATCTTTCCCTCTCGCTCGCTCGCACTCAAGGTGGTTAACGAGAGGTGAGCCAACAACAACAATAACAGCGGTCAGCACACGCACACACACTGAATAGCTGAACAGCAGCTGCAAATGTAGTAGCGCGAATCCGCAAAAACAAAAAGAAAACGGGAGGAGAAGGAAGTGCGCCTGCAGCTGCGACAATTATTGCTCGATTACTTCGCAGCGGGTATTGCAAAATATGCGCCTTTTGCTTAATACTTTTTATTAATTTTACGCACGCACACTCACACACCAAGGCACTTTTCCATAACGAACTTATTTTAACGACGTTCAGCCCGAATCATTGCGAAATATGTTATTAAATAGCGATTTTTTTCTGCCTTGATATGTTTCGATTTGTTTAAATGGTTCCGCAGAGAGTTAAGGAATAATTAAATTATTTTGGGATTTTACTGCGCCGCAACGAGTCCGTTATGTTGATTCTGCTTGAGTGACCGTTTCTGGATCATTGAAATATACTCTTAGAGGTGGACCAAATATGATGGCAACACACAGCATCGATATTTATCGATTGTATTTTATAACGTCTTCCCATTAAAATTGTGTAAAGATAAAACTATTTTGTAGAGGAAAAACAATTTTCTGCCATTTTTTAGCTTTAAACTTAATTAAATGGACTTAAGAAACATATATTTTTGAAGGCTTCTCTTTACAATGTGACCTAATCCAAAAAGTAGAAAACTTCTCAGAGTGCCCAAGTAACTATGGCCCAGAAATACCCCAAAATAAAACCTAAGCAGGCTTACACATCCCTTCGAAAAAAGACTGTCGACATATTTTATTTCGCCTGACCCAAACGCCGCCGTCGAACGAAAAACGCGCGCACAGCCGCAAGGACAACAGCTGCAACAACCAGGACAACAGACCAAAAGTACATACTATTTACCAGCTGTCGGAATAACTAAATCGAAGCTGCGAAAATGGATGACTCACGCGAAGAAAGCCAGTTCATTGTGGACGACGTGAGCAAGACTATTAAGGAGGCCATCGAGACGACCATCGGTGGTAATGCCTACCAGCACGACAAGGTTAACAACTGGACTGGGCAGGTTGTGGAGAATTGCCTGACGGTCCTTACCAAGGAGCAGAAGCCTTACAAGTACATAGTGACTGCCATGATCATGCAGAAGAACGGAGCAGGACTGCACACCGCCAGCTCCTGTTATTGGAACAACGATACCGATGGATCCTGCACCGTGCGCTGGGAGAATAAGACCATGTATTGCATTGTCTCGGTATTCGGACTGGCTGTGTAAAGTTTAGGACTCTGAGGATTCGGGGCAGGAGGACCGCTGATTCGGGAGATCATCCGGGACTGGAGGTCATTAAACGCAACTAACTGATAAGGGGGAGGGATTAACAAGATTGCCGTCGTATACACACCCACACAATTAAACACGAAAACCACACGCACTTTGGTCGGCCATCCTGCTTCAAGGACGAAATTAAGTGGAATGAAAACAAATAAAACACTGGATTAAAATGATGTTTTCAAGCAATTACCAGCAACTATTCGTTGCCAAATTACGCGCCTATAGTTATTCTTGATTTTCAACCTAAAAAGTAAATAAAAAATGTAAAAATAATAAGTTAAAAGTTTTGGTTTGGCGTTTCAATCAAGTTAAAAAACATGCTGAGCTCCACCGTCTTAAAATTGTAAGTGTGTTGCTTAATTAAATTGTAAAGCAGTTTCCATGGCAGCTGTTACTTTTTGAATCGATTAAATTTTCCATGCATTTTTTGTCAAGCAATTACCAAGAATTTTTAATTAAAAAGTTCTTATTCTATTGAAAAACATTTGCACAACGGTGTACAAGTCGATCTGAGTTATCAAGTCTTAAAATAAGCGGCTGATTTGTAATTTTAATCTACCCAAATAATTCTTTTCTTTACACTGGGGCTGCCTAAAATGAAAACATCCGGTGCATCTAGATAAAATAAACTTTATTGACCGGCCTCCGGCTTTGTTAAATCGATGAAAGGCGTGGTGTCCTTGGAAATGCTCCATCTACTTCTTGCGCTGGAAGCGACGGGCTGCCTTCAGCTCCGGGACTTTGCTGGGCAGGCGCAGGCTCAGGATGTCAGAACGGGATTTGGGAAGAGCGTTTACAATATGGGCGTACTGTTTTATACGAGCATTGCTGGTGGCTAGTGCGCGGGACAGGACATTGATGTCCACCTCGTACTTTTCGCTGATCAGCAAGGCCATTACAATAAAGTGTGTGAGGGCCTTTTCAGTACTGAAATTGGTGCGGGCTCCCCTCTTTGCCACATTGGGATCCGCAAATCGGTGCCGTATGTCGTTCTCAATCTTCTCCGTGATACCGGAGAGTTCAACATTCTGCATTTGCCGAGAACGAAGAGAAATCAGTGATTGCAGGGCGTCCATATAGATGATGAGTTTGATGTGTAAAAAGTCCTGCTTAGAAGTGACGGTCTTTTCTTGAATGCGGCCCAAACAAGTCTTAAGATATTCCGATTTTATGCTAAAAGAAGTGATATTATAGCTAAAAAAATCGGGTGAATTTCTTCAAATACTTACGGAAGAGTCTGAACAGGAGTGGAAAACACAACCTTGGCCTCCTCGTCCAGCCGTTCGAGTAAACCTTTTGGAATCAGATCCTCCACATCGTAGACTCCATCCAGTTCAGTGGCCTCCTTATCGAACTTGGGCACAATGCTAGCCAGGTACTCCTCGTTGTTTATGCTCACATCCGCCTCTGCATCTTCCTCTTCATCTTCGTTTTGCGCCGAGGATTTCACAGTCTCATCAAGATCCTGTCGCACCACGTCCACGTTGACCAGCATCTGTTCGTGGTTGTCTACATAACGGGATGCCTTGCGTCCTCCAAACTCCTTGAGGAGTTTCTTGTTCGCATGCTCCCTGCTCAACATGGGAATCTTTCGCTTTTGGCTGTCAAGTTCTTTGTAAATGTTATTGGACAACAATGTCTGTTGCACTGGCACAATTTGTACTTTGTTGGTGAGTTTGTTTCGCAGGCAGATGTAGGTGTCATAATTTTCGTTATCCTGCAAGTCCCCGGTATAAATCTGTTTACCGGCCACCACTAAAGCCTGTTTTTTATTTTCGGTAGTGTTTTCTATAGCGCAATACTCTGCTGAGCCCAAAAGGGATCCATTCTGGAAATCAACTACAGAAAAAATATGGGTATACATATGTGTTATTATAAGGGGTAAATAATAATATTGCATTACTTACGGATGGTGGGTAGTAGCTCGTCCCGATTGTGATTGCACACGGTCTCAACTTGTATTTTATCATCCATTTTTGTGGCGAAATAATTTGATTTTTCCGGGACTAAAACTCAAAACAATTCAAACGCGGCAGCACGTGTAGGAAAAATGAAACAGCTGGCTGCTTGCTGACACAAGCTGAATGCTACGAGTCACTGTTCACAAGATTTAAAAAGTCACAGTTGGGTAAAATGTGATTTAAATTTTCTTATGATAACAGCCCAACATTTATTTCACAAATCACCCTACATTTATTGCAATGTATTATTTGTTACATTTTTAAGTAAGATTTCTTGATTTTATATTTTATAAAAAATCGTTGAGTTTTAAAATATAAAATTGAAAGGTTTTAGAAAGACATTTATTTTATTAAGTGTGTTACTTAGTTGCAATTCTGGATCAATATTTTAGGGTCTTCTAGCAGTTTCCGGTACAATGGTGAATCCAGAAAGTGTGTAATGCTTGCTTTTGATAATCTTCACCACTTGCTGGAATGTTGAATTTTTAAAGATTCAATTCAAAAAAATTTATTTTGAGTGCATCGTACCATGACTAGCTTGATGAGAAAAACAGCGAATGTCAAGAAGTTGATGCTCATGAGTGCTGCCTCAGGCGGAAAATCTATATCCGAATCATCAAGTATACCACGGCGACGTCGCCTTTTTCGCTCTGGTGGCTGCCAAAGAACTGCAAATTGATTCTCTTTTGAAAACAAATAAAAAAGGAAATCAAAATAAAATAAAAGAACGTAAATCCCTTTTTTATTTAAGCTCACCAATTAGTCGCAGGAGATTGTCTCTAAGGTTTTGCAGCAGCTTTATTTTCTTTCCAATAGTCAAAGCTGATTTCTTAACCCAGGATTTCTGCATGTTTTTAAGGAACCTGAAAAACCCTTGCACGCTAGGCACCTCCATTCCATCCTCCTCCGGTGGTGGCTCTGTGGTCTCCTCCTCTTCAGATTCCTGACTTGCGGTTTCGGGCGAACTAGAGGAATGTTTCCTTGATGTGGTCTCCACTTTTGGGGTCACCACATCCACATTTAGGGTGGGTGCCTTGGTGGAACTGACCATCAGGGGATTGTTGATACCGAAACGTTCCCTCTGATATTCCAACCAGGCGGCACTGGGAGTGGTGAAGTCATCTCCCTGTTGACTCCTCCCTAAGATTATAACCAGAACAAAACACTTTACCACACAATAATGCATCTCTTCTGATGGGCTGTCGGAAACAGACTGCTGGAAAGTGCAGAAGAAGTCTTTCGAGAAAGGTGTCAGCCGTTGCAGGCCAGCAACTTCAGTTACAGTTTGGCACACTTAGATGATCTGTGGTGACAAAACACCCATGTGCATGAAAATATCTTTAGAGTGAAAGAAATTCAATGCATTAATAATAGGATATTTAAATAAACTTTTAAAGGTTTTATTTTCTTGCCCATGCCTGTAAATGAAAGAGTTTAAGAGTGCATATAGTATCTCAATTGTCAAGCGTTGTTTATTCAGCTATATTTTCTCCGCCAATCGTTTGGTTGGTGTTTTCTTTTGTGTATACGTATGGCGATTGGTTCTTCACTGGATCTGAGCTTCACATTTTTTATCTGGGCTTATGTATATTAATTGTGAAGAGTTATTCATAAGAGTTGCCTTTAGGTGGTTCACGAATTAAAGCTATCGACTAATTTTGATTCTAGAGAAAAATTTAGCACACAGAGTTGTAAGTGAGAAGAATCCATTTGTTTAGCAGTTATCGAAAAGCGAGTTAGAGTGATAGGATAAACTTATGGGCTAGGCAATAAGGTTGTACTGCTATTTGATGTGCCGGCAGAGATGGAACCGCATCCATTTTAGGGCCCTGTCGCTCATCGCCTCCGATTTGGGGGAGTTCCCGCAATCGGAAAGCCGATGGCATCCGGCACAGTTCGCCGGAGACGGACGATAACTCTCGGTGGTGGTGGTGCAGCTCATTAACTCGGTGGTGCTCTCGAGGATCGCTTCGGGCTCACAGCCAGGTCACATGTCGCCCGCGCAGTCCCACCGCAGGTCGTCCGCCTCGTGGGTCAGGTACCGCCCGCCGCCCACCTGGGTCTCCAGGTTCCGGAGGTCGCGGTACGTCTGCTTGTCCTGCAGCCAGTAGTGCAGCAGGCTCTTGTCCACCGTGTACCGCTTGCGCTGCTTCACCTGCAGAAGGTTGTTGATCAGGTCAATGGCTGAGGGGGGAGAAAAGGAGAACATCATTAAATATTGTTATTATTAAAATACCACACTTTTATAATATCATTTAGAAGACTTGCTTGAATTTAGAAACTTTTTAGGCAAAACAGAATAGCAATAAATAGTAAAGCAACCAAATGATTAATATTACTACATATTTGTAATTTAATATTTTCCTAGATTTTCTTCCCAAAGAAAATCCTTATCTAACTTTATTCAAGACTCACCATTGGAGGAGATCTCCTTCCACGGATTGGGTGGATACATGAAGGCCGCGTTTTGAATCTGGTCGTTGATGTCCTCCTCCTCGTTGAAGGGAAAGGTGCCGCTCAAGCTCACATAGATGATCACGCCCACGCTCCACATGTCCAGCGATCTGTTGTATCCCTTATTTCGGAGCACCTCGGGGGCAAGATACGCCGGCGTGCCCACCACCGATCGTCGGAAGGACTTCTCGCCTATAATCCGAGCATAGCCAAAGTCACAGAGCTTCACCTGCGGGAATTCGGCGTCCGAGGAGAGCAGGACATTCTCCGGCTTCAGATCGCAGTGGACTATGTTCTGGGAGTGCAGGTACTTGAGGGCAATCAGGATCTGGGTGATCAGGAATTTGGTGACCCGCTCGCTCAGCCTGCCCCTCGCATGCGAGAGGATCATCTCCAGCATGTCGCCCTTGAGCTTCTCCATCACCACGAAAATCCGCTCCGGCGTTTCGAACATCCGCTCGAGATTGACGACGCCGCAGTGCGAGATGTTCTGCAGGATGGCCACCTCGTTCTTGAGCTGCGCCTCTTGTTTGGTGGGGAAGCGCAGCTTGTCGATCACCTTGATGGCCACCTCGCGCTGCGTCTTCTTGTGCACTCCGCCGTAGACCACGCCGAATTGTCCGGAGCCCAGAACCTCGTCCGGGAAGATCTGGTACAGCTGGCCCATGTCCTGCACCTGCTCCTCCGATTCGCAACATTCTGAAACAGGTTAGGAAAGATTTTTAAAGGTATTTATTATTATTTTATAAAAAATTATTGAAACTACGTGTTGAAAGCCTGCTACTTTTGAATTTGATTGAAATAAGTAATTAATGAACTTAATTTAGTGAATTTTGTTCAATCTTCAGCAAAGCTATTTTATTGGAAATTCGGAAAGGAGTTGTATCAGAAAATTTGAAAAAATCGGCCAAAAAAAATTTAGAGGTATGCCACATTAAAATCGGATGAAAATAAGAAAAGTTATGGACTTCGTATTCGAGTTTTTTGTTTAATTTTAAGCAAAGGGGTTGTATCATTCCATTGTTTATATATATATTTTTCGATCGTTCCTTTGGAAGCTATATGATAATTGAGCTAACATTATAGTCCCCGTACTTACGCGTATTGGTGACGTGCATGAAGGCCTGTCGGATGCTGGTCTCCCAGCTCTTGGCGATGTCGCTGCCGATGCCGCTGTCCGGCGGAGGCAATCGGACGGCCTGCTCCTCCTTAGCGCCAACCTGCGGATCCTGTCCGACAAAGTAGCTCAGGTTGGGCATTCGCAGTTCGAAGCAGTAGTTGCAGTCCGGCCGAGGATCGCCCAGGTGGCTCTCGATGGACAGGAGCTCCGCCAGCGGCAGCTCCTTGTGGTACTTGCTCCCCTGCTCCGAGACGAAGAGCGTGATGGTTTTCGAGTCCAGTCGCCAGTAGTATCGCTTGACGGCCTTGTCCAGCGAGGTGAAGTGCACCAGCCAACCTTCCTTGAGGGCCTGTCCTCCGCGTTTCTTGGTGTGCTTCACGGACTGAACGATCCTCATCAGCGGGATGTTGGCACTGGGCGAGGAGGAGGTTGACGACTGGGACTGCTCCGACTGGCCATCGCTGCTGGACTTGCTCGTCTCGCCGCCGCCACTGGAATCGTCACCCAATCCACCGTTGACCAACTCGGGCGGAGAATTGTGGGCATTGGTCAGGGCCTTGGGTGCTTCTCTGGGTCTTCCGGCCACCAGATTCACGGCACCCGACATGGCGGACTTGTACTTGCCATAGTCGGATCCATCGTCGCAGTCGCTGTCGTCGAACTCCTCGCGGAAGAAGTTGTCCCGCTCCTTGCCACCGGCTTGGATCTGCAGCTGGCTGAGTTGCGCCTCGCCGGTGCAGTCGTGCGGCACCTTGTCCATGCACTTCTTGTGCGTGTTGTACTGGCAGTCGCGGCACTGGAGTCCCTGCTTGAACAGCCCCTTCAGCAGCTTCTTGCACAGCTGGCACACCGTGGGTATTCCGTACGTGTGCACCATGAAAGTGTGCGGAATCCGTAGGACAGTCAGCCCGTTTCGACTGCCCGACGAATGCGTCCGCTGATGGCGACCGGGAATATTCTGGGAATTGGTGGAGCAGAGGGAGAGATAGCGTTACTTAATTAGCAAAATTAAGGACTCCGGAGATGGGTTTCGCACAGGATTTTCCCCATGGACACCCCGCGCTTTCTTAATGGCGTTAATTGGGCAAAACTAATTTTCATAATTTGGCTGTCCACTCATCGTGCCTCTTTATCCAGATTCGAAGAGGTTTCTGGGAACTGGAATCAGGAGCTTAAGAAGACGGACGTTTTTTGGGTACAAAAAGATACAAGATAAGCTGCTCTAAAATGTTGTTATCCCCCGAATGTATATTCATAATCCCCCTACGAGTATTCAAAAGAGTTAACAAAGCATTAGAAGTGCGCAGTATAAAAGTTTATTAAAGAAAGCATGAAAATAATACAAAGTAAAAGTGTGAGCCAAGTTAAGTACGATTTTAAATACTCGCAGGATAACCGGAAACTGTCAACCAACACCCTTAAACGCTAACGCACTCGCACACACACACATGTGCCCACTCGCATTCACACAGACACGGACACGGACACTAGATGGGAGTAACACAAAAGGTCCTGCTGCCTGGCTGTCAATTCTTAATAATATCATTCATAAGGTCCGACATGCGCTTTACCAGAGAGCTGCTCGAGTCGTTCCGTCCGGTTGATTCCTCCGTGGAGACGAGCGACTGCTGGGAGCTGCCCGACGGACTGCGGGGCGCCTGGAGCGTGAAGGAGCGCCTCGAAGTGGCGTCATTCGAGCGGTTGCAGTTGTTCGGTATCTTCACCACGCACCGCTTGTGATAGTTCTGGCCGCATCCTGTGGGTGGCAAGCATTCGGTTGGGAATTAGTGTGCTGTGTTGGTTAATATCGTCCTTCCCCACACCCACATATAGTACACACACACATACCATCGCACTTGAGGCCCTGGCGCACCAGGCCAAACAGCATCTCGCCGCAGAAATCACAGAAGGTCGGTCCCTTGTAGGAATGCACGTTCAGGCTGTGCGGCTTCAGGGTCGGCATCTCGGAGGTCGGGTATAGAATGGCTGCAGGGAGAGAAGTCAAAGTAGGAATGCCACTTAAAAACCAGAAAAAGCTAACATGTTTTAAAAAGCAATATTCCTCATTTTCAACTTACTATTACAATCAAACTTTACTTTACTGTTTGCAGAAATGTTCACGACTTTTAATTGATAATCATTTGTATAATTAAAACTAATTCAATAGTTTGATTAATATATTTGTATTGTTATGCAGATATCATTTAAATAAACAATTAACCCGTTTTTTCTGCTGCATTTATAACAGATAAGATAAGAAGGTATAGTTACAAGTAACTTAATTAAATCTGAATGCAAACTGAATACTAATTAGATGATTACTTTTAAGCTTTTTTCTTGGTTAAAAAAAAACAGTTTGATATTTTTGTTAAAGCCAAAGAGGAAGTTCTCACTATAAAAATCGGTAAACTACAAAGTTTTGAATGCAACCTTTTGGTAATAAAGATTTCCTCTATTCAAAGTATTCTTTTTTGTTACACTTTCGCCACAATTTAATAATGACACCGATATAGAAACGTCACCCTTCCGACATGTGTGAATTTGGTGAGTGATTCCGGTGAAAGTTTTCCCCGAATGGAGCGTGAAGTGTGTGACATTCTAGAGACACGGATTGCGGATTGCGGATTGCGGGCTGGCTACTTACGGCTGGCTGTCAGCACGATTTCCACAAGGGTCTCGTCGACCACCTCCGCTGCCGAGTTGATGATGTGCAGCACATTCGGGGTGCTGTAGTCGTGGACGAAGAGCAGGATGCGTTCCGACAGATACGTGAGTCCGCTGTCCGGTATCTGAAATGGCCAACAGAATGTGAGCACTTACGGGCGACAATGACAACGACAATGTCCATTTGCGATGTTCGGCTTCGTTTAACGCTTATTTTTGCATTGGGCCGCCCATTATCATATCATATTCGTATCTTAATTGATTGCCCGATAAGATCCAGCCTGCCATATGCACAAATTTTCATATTGATTTCAATTGATACGGAGCAACTGTGGAATTTAACACTGGGCTAATGTTTGCCTTGTGTCGACATAGTTGCAACTATTCTTACAAATTAGAAAATGCTATCGAATATGCCAACATTTAGTTTGGAATTTGCCTATCAATCTTAATATCCTTAAAAATGTATTCATATTATTTAAGTTATAGGAAAAGCAAGGATTATTGATTATAGTTGCCTCATAAATTACTAATATTTAAAGCTAAAGCCCTCCCAAATTGAAGAATGATTATTAGTATTCAAAGAAATCGATTCACACGATTTTATGAGTTGATGAAATGCCAGCTTTACTGGAGTTAATTGATGAAGGCTTCTGTGTGACAGGCAGGATATATGCGATTCATATAAAGGTCCAAGAGTCTTAGATCCCGTATAAACCAAATTAACCTTCAACTATACCCCCCACCGGCCAAAGTTGTACGCATTTCGAGGTGGATTTCGGGTTGGCGGGGCTCCGAAAGGAAGGAGTCGTGCCAGGAGCAGCTGTCGCTGGAAATGGCTGGTTACGGAGCTACGAAACACTACCAGTTGCGGCCTGGTTAATTGAATTGGCCATGGATAGCTAGCTGCGCCATGAGGGGAAACAGGCCATGCGGAAACGAGTCCGTGCCTATGGAACTTGGACTTACTTAATGAAATAAAGCAATTATTGTGCACACATACATTTATTAATCCGCCCCTGGCTCGAATTGTACTTTCTTCTATTTGCCTGATAGAAATACAGTGGTAAATAGCATGAATATGCTAAAAATGTTGATCTATTCTTTTGAATAAAAAAAATATATCTTATACTGACAGCTTACAAAATGTATACAAATAAAAAAAGCTACTTAGTTTTTTTTAAACTTTCTTACTCAGAAATAACCACTGTAAACTTATTGGCCAACTGCACCGTCTGTTTACTTGGCCGCCTTCCGGCATCCGTTCGAATATTCCACAATTGACATGTTTACTGGACGGTCCTTGCATAATTAACTAAATAGCAGGAAGGGTCGCCAGATGGTGACCTCCTTCTTGAGTCCCACAATTCGCAGCAATTCGCTCAAATAATAGTGATTATATTTGTGGCCTAAGATAGTTGTAATTCATATATTATTTAAAAGGGTATTAAGTTGTGTCCTAATTGTGAAATTAAATAATGATTCTTCAATAAAAATTGTTACTTTTTTGCTATCTTTACACCTTATTTGGTTATTATATTTAACTCTTTGTGAAACACGCTAGTAATAAAGGTAAAAAACAATGTCATCCTTTTGTGTGTGAGATTAAGGAATCTTTTTGACCTCACCTTTGTGTTGATGAAGTCACAGGCCAGATCCTTGAGCGTTTTGAGTGTGAGTGTGTTGGCGGGCACACAGACTGCATCGCGAACGCTGCCGAATTGGAAAAGGAATGTGACTTCGGGACCCTCCATGATAACGGGAACGCTGCCGACGCCGCTGCCGACGCTGGCTGCGCTGCTGCCGTTGGAGGTGCTGTGGTTTCGTTGGGCCAGGATTGCAGTGGTCGCCCCTCGTCGCCGGAGGTCCTGTCCTCAGATCCAATAAAATTTCTTCTTTTCCGCTTCGCCTGCACTGATTTCTCGAGGTTTTCCCACCACCCCGAAAGTTGTTATTGCAAATGCCAAGGACGAATGTAAGTTTAATGCTGCTCCTGCCACCGTTGAATCCTTGTTGCTGTTTTCTGTTTTGGCTCCGGTCGAGAGTCGGTTTGCGGTTCAAGGATCCCAGTCGGTCACGGCTTTATATGTCCAGGAGAGAAATAAAACGGATTTGCCACCACACCGCCGCCTCTGAATCATGGAAACTAACTGAAATTATATGAAAGGGATATTAAATACTTTTTAGATTGATGAAAAGTTATTCTTACTGCAAAGAACTCTGTTTAAGATACAAATATTTTGATTCGTTTATAAATTCTCGTTAACTAATTATTTATTATTAATTTATTAAAGTCAACTCGAATTGATTTGGAAACCTAACTAGAGCCAGTAAATACCTACTCACAGATAGCCAATTATAATTATTTACTGTGTGCGGATTAGTAAGTTAGGTCATGGAGCGTGTGTCACAGAGACAATGGAGCCATAAATAATCCGACTATCGATTCCCCGATTCAATTGCCATTACTTAGCCCTCGATTGGCCATATGTATACCGCACACCCGTCATTATATTTATATACAAAAAACTGGTTGCTAATTGTGATGAGAAAAACTAGAAAGATAGGATCGCTCTGGGAAACTGCCGGGGCGATTTGAATTCTTTCCAATTATTTTGAAGTGCCCTGCCTGTTTGTGACCCATTTATGGAGTGTGTGTGAGGCATTAAAAAAGAATTAAAAAATCATGACGGAAAATATGTGCTGGCCATGAAAGGAATGCCATGAGATGTCGAAGAAAGGGAGAGAAAATTGGAGGAAAAAAAATGTAAAATGGAAGAACAACAAAGCGAAAGCCAAGAAAGAGACTCCGGAGAGCGGCAGCCAAGCAACTTTCTAAATTTGTATCTCAGCGCGTTTTTTTTCCCATCTTCTGGATTTTGTGTTGTTGTTTTTAAGTAGGTGTATCAGTCAAAAGTCGCAGCTGGGAGCTGAGTGCGTTTTGAATTTCAATTGAAGTGGTTTGGGAGAGGGGGGGGTCTGTTTTTCCTGGCATCTGAAGGCGGAGGCTGGCTGCTCCAAAGTCTTCAAGTGTTTTGGCACAAAAAGATACCATCAATGTGAAATAGCCGAAAATGGAGCACAAGCATGGGCGAATGACGCAGCGCAGAGGCCTAAAGTCAAGGCTAAAACACGTACACACTCAGATATTTGGATACTTTATGGTATCCAAGAGATACATTCGACATTTACATAACAACACAAGCAACAAGCTGCCGCTGGGCGAATTTCCGTTAATAATTTATTAGGCAAATACACACTTTTGAGAACCTTTTTCACTGCCTTGCATCCGATGGATGCCACTGGGACATGGTGACTAAGCCGAATTGCTGCTCTTGCTGATGTTTTTACTGCCACAGCTCTTGTTCCTGCCGTTCTCTATTATTCTATGCGCTGCAATTTGATGTCACTGCCATCGTCGCCGCGGCACGTTCTGAGTTTGTTAAGCCAAAAGAGCAACTGACTTGGCCAACTGACTGCCAAAGCCGCCGACGATGCCAGAGACCCAGTCCCCATTCCCTGTTCTCCTTTCCCAGTCTCGGTCCCCGCCAGAGACCCAGACACAAAACCCCAGCCCAACCCCGGCCCCAACCCAAACCCAAACTCAAACTCAGACCCAGTAGCCAGCGCAAAAGCAACTCAAAACCCGTTTTGCGGCACTGTCAAAAACAGCAAATTCTTGAACGTGGAGGTTTTAAAACTAGATCTTTACTTTGACTAAAAGATATACTACAAGATGAGGTAAAACAAAGAGAATTCCTGTAGGTATTAAGAACCATACATAAAAAGGATTTTTGAGTTTGGCCGTAAAACTATATGCTTCTATTTCTAAAAACAGTAATTGCTAATATTCACTATAACTTGATATTGAAATATAAAGCATTTTTAAACTCTATGTCTATGTTTAAACCTATGTTAGTCGGAACAATTTAATTATTTATTTTTAAAGTGGAGATTCATCATTGATCTGTAAAAACATATAATATTTTATTGTTTATTTTTAAAGTATTCACAAAAACGATAAATGCTATCAAAATTTTTTTTTGTGTTTCAAACATATTCGAATTTTCAAAAGCTTTAAATTTAAAATTTATATTTATTCTCAGTGTAGACAAATGTATAGAGAAAGACAGGGCCAGAGCACAAGAGAGACGGAGAGAGATAATCAAAAAGAGACAGGGCGAGAGAAAGAGAGTGAGAGACTGAGACGTGTGTGAGTGTGAGCCATGAACCAAAGCACTCGACCCGGCATAGTCTTACCACCCCGCCCACTCCGCCCCTCATTTGTTGCCCAGTTTGTTTGTTTCCTTTGTTTGTTTGTTGTAACGGCCGCACTCTCCAATTCCCCCGCCCTATTCTCCCGCCCCTAAAGGGCTTTCTCCCCCCCGTTCTATGCACTCTTTCTCCGCATTGAGCGCGCCCATTTAGCGCCCATTTTCTTCGCTCGCTGTCATTGTCAAGGCTGTGTGAGAAACCCACCTGACGGGGGGTTGGGCAGGTTGGCGGTGGCCGGGGGCTGCGGCTTGATAAGCGATTTTCCCGTTACCGTTAGCCGGCCCCAGGGCCAAGGTGATTTCCTTTCAGAGTGACGGGCAAAAGTTATGCCAAGCGTGCAGATGTGAGTGCGCGACTTTACAACAACATTATGATTTTCCTAAAAGTTTATTTATAATTTTCTTCCCAATATCAGCAAATTTTTCTTGTAATGCAAAAATAATATTTTGTTCATCATAATTTATATATTCTAAGTTTTTCGGTAAGAGAGCAAATGATATACATCATAAAAAAAATTAATAATGATATAAAAATTATTAAATTGCAAACTTTAAAACAATATTGTTTTTTTTCTTACAATACACAATAAATCAAATTGATTTTCTACGCACTCTTTATATTTCCCAACCTTTTTGTACTCTGTCAATTGTGAAGTTAATTATTGGTAATCAATCTTGACCTAGTGAAGGGCTTAGTTAATGGAGGTCATTAATCAAACGTTTTCAACTGAGACAAATGAGGGCATCTCGCCGAACAAGTACAAACGTTTTAAATTATTATAAATTAATTTAGCATCAAGAACACCATTCAATTTTTATTTTGGCTATGTTTTTAAACTTTAAATTGACCAATAAATTAGAGTAGCTTTTTGCAACCAACATTGTGTTCATTAATTGCGGAAAGCAAACAAACAGCGTCTTTGTTAATTTCAAAGAGACTTAATATTTGTTTGTTTAAAAAACTAAAATACACCATAAAATTCTTTTATACTTATACTAGGAATAATCGATTTTACGCAGTCGTCTCCAGTTTTAAATCATAAACACTCGCCAAATAAAAGTTCGTTGAAACTTGCCCTTTATGATTTTATATTTCTGCCCCCACTTGGTTATCGGATCGCTTTTTTTTGGAGGTTGTGCCACTCGTACTCACATGTTTATTTGTTGGAATATTATTAGAATTCTCGATTCATGTGAAATGAACACAAGCGAAATAAAATGCAAATAGGCAAAGGCGACGCAAAAGTCGCGCGCTCTGTTCTGATAAGAAAATCGAATGAGACGGGGCTTCGGGGTTCTATAGAAAGGGGCTTTCGGGTGGCATCACCATTATAATCGAAAGATAATTAGCGAGGTGATAATAATTCCGATCTGAGAACGAAAGCGAGAACGAGATGCGATGATGATGCCACGACAAGTTCAAATTCCACAGAGGGTGGAGCCCAAGTAGATCCACTGTAGTGCAAAAACTAGTATTTCAGTGGATTTTTAGGACTGAATATTGAGTTGCAAAACAAATTTCAAAACGTTTCTATCGAAATGTTGTTTGGGAAAAATTAATTTAAAATTCTTAGTTTCTTCCTGTGTAAAATCCCGAGAGAACTAGATGCGATAATGGCACAAGTTTAATGGTATTCCATGTTAAGTGTGTGTGCCACAGGCTGACGCACCGGCCATAAATACAAGGCCAAGGAACAACTCGAATGTGTTTTTGTTTGTTTTTCTTACTCAAGTGCCTGGTGGACTCCGAAATGGGAGGCCTGCCACCCGCCTAAAGGAGCAAATAAATATTAACGGGCGCGGGCGCAGACAAACATTTGCATTGAAGCGTGGCAGGACATCGGCACAGTGAAGTCTTGCTAAATACGCTTTCCAGAAATTAAAATGATTTATTGTGGTTTGGAAACCAAACAACACCATTTACTTAAATGAACAAGTTAACTACTTGTTTAAAAATATTTACAATTAAAGGAGCATATGTAATGGGATACATTTTGTTTTAATATATTATTTAAATTGTACTATTTTTTATTTTGCGTTAACCAAGTCCTTGAAATAATAAATCAGTTTTAAAATACAAACTGTAGCAACAGTTTAAAATGTAATTTCAACAGTAATAAAAAGGTTAGTACCATCAATACACGTAGCTGATAATTGATTTATTTACAATACAAACCGTATTCATTCCGTATCGTAATTATATGTGTAGTAAATAAACGAATTAAGCACAAGCCACCACTTGCCAGCTGCGAATTCATCCCACATACGCCCAACAACAACTCGTAGAAAAAAGAACAACAAAAGCACTCCACTTATGCACAGGATGATATAATAACAGGAATCAGGAAGCTCGGGAAACTGCGAAGGAGCCGCCTGTGACACTTAAATTTTTATGATTCTCGGGAAATTTTCATTTCTTATATGTAATTTGTTTTCAGTTGGCGTCACCCGACGAGTTTGCCCGACTTTCTGTCGATTATTTTTTACACTCATTTAAGATGCAACACTTGGCGAGTATATATATAGACTTGTTGAAAATTTTCTTGCAATTAATTTGAATAATTAATATGCACACAGACAAGAGCTTGCTACCAACACACCTTTGCTCGTGCCCCATTTTCACAGGCGCTTTTCCTTAGAATTTTCAATATTTGTTTGGCCCGTGTGTATGTGTGCGCCGTAGTATTTTCTTTTTTTTTCCTTGTTTTCTTATTTGTGTGGCAGCATCGTGGATATCCACGTTGCGCTGTTTTTGTCGTTAAGGTTAACGAGAAAATTTCGCACGTTTGCACTTCGCCTCGACCGCCGCGCAACTAAAGCGAAATTTTCAAAAGCAGCCAGCAGCAATCGCAAAAATCAGCAGTGGCAAAGGCAAAATCCAAATAAAATTGCCGAGCTCAACTCAACTCTCAAATTCGACTCGGGTTTATTCTCTCTTCCTTGTAAATCCCCAAAGTTGTTCTCCGTGAGTACGAAAAGCCACCGGGAGAGAAATCGGGACAGAGCATTTAAGATTCTTGAGATGCTAATTCCAAACAAAGCATCACTCTTCACATTTCTGGCTTTTTTGATGCGCTTCCTCAGTTTGATTCTATTTTATTTTGCCTTTCCGATTGTTTATTTACTCTTCTTGATTTCGGTTGGGCGTTTGTTTACAGTCGGCGATTGAGGTGAAAGCCATGGTCGCCAAGCTTACTGACAGGTGTTTGGAAGCTTGGAAGTTGTAACGAAGAGAAAAAGGGTAATCTTCTCAAAGAGAGCCAAAGAGTGACTAGGGTTGACAGGTCATGGGAGCTTAGTTCTAACAATTTTTATTAAAAATAAATGTGGTAAAAAAACGTTAGCTCAAGTTCTTAATAGTTATTTTTTACTAAAAAAGTTTTTGTGTAAATAAAATTTCAACCTTGGATATAGGTATTTATTTAAGTGTCAAATATTAAAAATATCTTTTGGTTGCGTATACGTAATATTATTTGTGATAAAAAACTTGAGATAGAGCAGTCGAAACTTAAGAGAAGAGCACGCTACTCCAAGAGAGTCAAGTGAGTGTGCTTTTAATGGTCGACTGTTGCTTTGCCCTGCTCCCAAAAAGCTTGATTCTGCACTGGAAAAAATCATATAAGTCATTTCCCAAACTTGTAACGAATGCACACAGCGAACTACAGTTAAGCCGCCTAAGGAGCTCCGGGAAACCCCCTTCTGGAGGCAAAATTGGAGCGCGTAAACTGCATATTACGGTAACACGTCGCGGCGGAAAGGTAACCGGAAACGTAAAGCTTTTCGCCAGCAACGTAATCGCTTTTCCACGCTAAGAGCTTTTCATTTCGCAGCGTCAGAAAAATGGGGAAAATGGGCGGAAAAGAACTGGGGCAGTCAAACGAAGCAACTTCGAAAAGGGAAGCATAAAATTGCTCTAGCAACACATGGCGCTTACCCCGCCCGGAAAAATGTTGGGGGATGTGCGGGAGTTGTGGTGCGAGTGGTGGTGGGGGGCCCTTTTTCCAAAGGAGGAGGCTGGCTGCTGCCTTTTGTTGTTGGGACTGTGCCGCCTGCCAACTGACAACAAAAGCGTCGCACGTAATATAATAAAGAGATTTTCCATAGCATACAAAGCGGGGCAGCGTCGAGACAGTTGCATGTGTCCTGCTACATAGAAAAATATTTTGGTATACCAATATTGAACAATATAATTTAAAGTTCAATATTTCGTTAGCTTCAGAGTTTTGAAAAAAACGTTTCTGCCTAAATTAAATCTTATATCTATTATCATATCTATCTATCTATTCTATCTATCTATTATATTGCTAATTTTAATATAATGTTCAATCTTCAACTTGAGGCTGATCTTATTAACTTTTCCAAATAAAACCAATCATATAAGTGATTGTGTTTACCATTTTTGTTTCTGTGTAAATGGGGTCCAGGTCCTCGGAATGTACGACTGTCTGCCCCTGGCATGTCCTCGTCTAAGCCTCGCATTGTACGTTGTACACACAGTATAATGGAAATCGGTTTTAGCTGAACTAAAAATAATTGGCCTTGCATCTCTGGTTTGTTTTCCGTCCATACATCCATATATACTCGTATATGTATGTATATATAGCCCAGTAACTGGGTGAGTTCAAGTCCTTGTTGTTGCTGGTAATCAACAGTTTGTTGGCACGCGTTGCTATTTTGGCCCAGGAGGTTGGGAGGAACCAAATTTAGAGGGAGCGACAGGCATTTCGCAATTAGCTGTTTCTCCTCTCCACTCAAGCTTGTGTTCATTGGCTCCCCAGTTTTTGCTTTTCCAAATTTACGATTACAATTCCGGACAGCTATTTGGGATTTTATGTGGAACATGAATGTTGCAGTGGAAAATAAAATTGTATTTATTTAACTTTAATTTAAATGTTTGCTTTAAATATGTTTATTGTGAATCAAGTGTTTTAATTTTAATTAAAACTGTTATTGAGAAACTGATTTTATGCGTTATTTTGCAAATCTTTTAATGGCTTAGTCATTGATTTTATTTGAACATGCAAACAAGCAGACTGTTTCTCTTATTTCTAATTTAATTATGCTTAATGGGAATACAACACAAAAAAAAAGAAACACTCGCATGAATAAATATACCCATTTCCAATCTTCTCTTCCTTAAATCCCCATAAAATGCGCTCCTCCTTCTCTATTATTTACGCAAATTGCTAGCGACTGTCCATTCAGGAGTCTGGCAGGGATTCAGCTCATCCGGGAGCATTTTAAATTGGAAATAAATCAAAGGACCAAGCACCAACATATTCGGCCCATCGACTTCAACGAACATCCTGTGCAAGAAAAGTACAAGCTCGGCAAATTCTCAGTGGGCGCACATTAAAGTTGCATTTATTTCTGGGGAATGATGGGAATGGGGGGCTATATAAAGTTAGGGAGCCATATAAAACGGAAAGGAGGCTGCCTAATGCGGCAATTGTTAAACCAAATGCAAATAGACGCTGCAGTTGGCAGTCCCCGAAGAACTCAGGCCGCGTGCCAGGCATAAATCACTCCAATGGCTGCCGTTGCCCCTCCTCTTTTCCCCCTTCCCCTTCCGCTGCCCGTTTCGTTTCCGCTTCCGGTTCCCGTTCCGCCGGAGTCTCCAGCCTCAGCTCAGAGTCCGTCTCCGTCTCCAGCTCCAAATCCATGCCGTACGCCTCCCTGTCGACGGTTAGTTTGGTAACGCTCTCGAGAGTTTTTATGGTTTGCATATACAGCTTCTTGGCCAACTCCTTGTCTTGGCCCAGCTCCGAACTTTCCACAATTTCGCAGTCACTGCAGTGGACGAAAAAAGGAAAAGAAGGGAAATAGTGAAAAACTGGCTGAGGGATGCTGTAAAAAGTGGCCAACAAAGTGCTGCTAATGCGGCCAACAGAAAGTGGAGTGGCCATGGCAACATTGCAACATGGCAACATGGCAACTACTCACTTGAAGTACTCGCCGGTGACTTCCTTCAGCTGGGGATCGGTGGCCAAGCGGATGGCGCACTGGGCTCCCTCGTAGGCGTTCTTCATGAAGAGCCACATCCACGGGTAGGTGACCGCCTTTACGCAGATGGACGACATCAGCGGGGAGCTGCAAAGTTAGTCAAGTTAGCCAATTATTGTACCCATTGTAAATTCAGATGAAGGAGCCAAATGGTCCTTAACTCCAACTTTCGCAGCAAGGGATACTTTTTAAATAAAATAGTAGCTTTTAAATGAAGAGATGAAGAGCTTTAATTTGGGAAACTAAAATTTGTTTCATGGCTGGCATATTACAATTCAAATTACATATTTTAATTGCTAGTACTAGAAAATCGTTGAACCTAAAATAAGTTCGCAACATATAAACTGAAATTCAATCACAACTTTTATAAATTGATTGCAATTTTGTTGGTTAGTTAGTTATTTTATAATTTAAATTGAATAATAAATAATAATTGACCAAGCCAGCAAATTCAATTTTATTATGGATATCAGGAGTAGAATTTAATAGTGAAACCAATATACATGTCAAGGAAGATAAAATTAAATGGTGATAACAAATTTTTGCTTTTAGCAGTTGTCAATTACATCTTCATATAAATAATATTTAAATAATAAACTATACTTTTAGATTTATTTATTTTTATTTATATAGAAGGAACTCGCCTAACTAACAGTTCAATTTTTTTGAATTTTTTTGGGCTATAAGCATTCTTCTGTTTATTGTTTAACCAGTGAAGTTGTTTGGTAATTTGGAAATTTTCTTTAAACTTTCAAGTTATGCAGAAACTTAAAAATAAAGTTTACCGCTTAAGTTTCCGTTTAATATTCAAAGCAGATTCCGTTTTTAATTAGCTAAATCCAAGCTAATTTTTATGTGAAGTTTGTACAAAATCTGGCCCCTGGCAAAACTTTAAGAAGTTCTTTTTTTGGTGCATTGTTTTAATGACATTTTCAATTGAGGCGATAAATGCCGGCAGTACCGCCAGATGTCCTCCTTACAATTCAACCACTCAAACGTTGATCTCCAGCTTTTGGCCATCTCCGCAGCTGGGCGTGGGCCAATTCCAGCGACTGAGCCAAACGAGTTGTGCGAAATGGCCACCCTCGAACACCCAACACCCAACCATTTTTTTAAACCTCTCTCTTTACTCAATACACGGACAAAAATATACGTAGCTGGTCAGCATTTAAAATGTACCATTCGTTTGTTTGTTATTAGTTAAATTTTGATTGCACTTTAGAGTTCTGTTATTGATTATTCGAGTTATTGAATTTAAAGCTTCTTTAATTAATACTTAAAAGTCATTGAAACCTTTTTTAAAATATTTAAAATTGCTCCAAGAATTTCTCTATGTGTAGCTCTGAGGCTGCCTTTTCAGGAAGGATTACGAACTTGCGCGCAATTTGCTTAGCTGTCGTTGTTAATGCTTTTCGCCCTCGTTTGCCGCTTTCCTTTTGTTTTTCCAGGCGGGCAACGAACGATGAACGGTGAGCAAGTTCACCGACACTTGAACACGATAAAACGATAAATAAATAATTAATGCGTTTAACTTTTCCATTTACGCTTTTTCCGTGACTTGAGCATTAACTGCTTTTCATTTTCATTCATTTCATAGTACGCAGAGATACGGGCCACGCATAAAAGCCCTAGCATGTGTGCCCAGTGATGGGAAGTATCTATATGGTATCTAGGTACATGATAGGTGAATATAATACTGACAGGATATACAGAAACTGAAAAAGATCTAGCTTCTATCTCACACAAACTATTGTTTCTGTTTATGTAAATTTATTATAATACATTTTTAAAATAATTATTTTCATATAGATTCATTTCAATATTTAAAATATTGTTATGAACGTCAAGACAATTTAAGTACTTAAAATGAGAAAAATGTAATCGATTAATTATGAAAACATTTGAACAAGTTTTTAATGAGGTATGTTTTTTGTACCTTTTGAAAATATCCTTTTTCACTTGTACCTTGTACCCCACCTCGTTAAAATATTACCTTTCCCAACACTGTCCACAAATGGGTCTGACCTGGCCCTGGAGCCTCCCTCTGACCCCTGGCACCCCCATTCCCCCAATCCCCCACACCCCCAGTCTCCCACAAAGTTAAATCTCCTTGTCCTGGGTCGAGGCTGGTGTTGATTCCATTCATCGTTTTACGCCAGCGTTTTCATAGATACGAGTATCTGTCCTTGCTCCCTTCATCCCTTCAGTCTTTACCCCACCACCCCCCTCCCCTGTTGAACCTCCTTCCCCACTGGTTGCATTTTTAAAGTGCATAGAAAGCTGCAGGGGCTGCAGATGGTTTGCTGGGAAAAATGGGAAAAAAGTGTAAAAACAAAAATAAATGTGTGTGGCTGGGTCGTGGCTAAGACTCGGGGGTTACTCTCTAGATTCATTGATTAATGGCTGTTTACAAAGACTGAAAATATCGGATAGCTTAGAGTGTATATACATTTTACGGATTAAATTGGGAAAATAATTGATTCGGCAGCCTGGTTTGCATTTCATTCAATTTAATGGTTCAAATTTGTCAAGAAAATGTTAAATACTAAACAACAATATTTGTATTTAAGCAAACATTCCTGGTTTCTGAATTTATGTTGCAATATTACGTATACGCACAGGTAGCCTAATATGCTCTCAAAGTTTATAAACCACAAGCAGAAGGGATTGGCGAATTTCAGCGTGACTCGCTAAGCTGCAGCGGTGCAAAGTTCATTTAAAGCTCCGACCTGCACCACCTGCTATTACCAACCTGGAAAATCCTTTGGCTCCACGTGTGAGTGCGCCGCCGGGCAAAGGAAAAGCGCAGCAAAATGGCTTGAAAGGAAAAGAGCATGGCTTTTTCCGACTATTTTCTTTTAATACCACAATAGATGGGCCACGAGCGGAAATTGAATCCACTCTAGGGCAAAAATTACACCGTATACGCTATGTAATTGTTTTTATTAGACAGCGATTTAAACGGAAAAGGGTTCAGTTCGGTTAAGTGCCCTTCTAGCGATTAAGTTTTAATGGTTTCTCTATTAGTTTGTGCTTGTAATTTTACTTGTTTTATACAGCTTTTGAATAGCAAAACAGCTATGTAAACTTCAAACTATCAAGTGCATAATGGGACACAATAAATCAGCTTTGATGCACAACCATAAGCTGGCCTTCCTGCCAAGAAGATTAAGGGTAAAAACGAAGCCCGATGATAAGCGTGCGAGCCACAATCTCGAAAGCCCATCAGGTATCAGTTTTTCAATCAACGGCAGCTGCAAAAATTCCTGACGAGTGTCAGGATGTGGGCGTGGCCAGGATGGGAATTTCCAGTACATGGGTGAGGCTGACAGCTGCTTCAGCACTTTTGCAGTTGCCAACGAAAGTCAGAGTTATCTCCGATATGAATAGTGTATGTTGCATGGAACGCAGCGAAGGAAACGAGGGAGTTGAGTGGGGTGATAAGGGTGCAGGGGGAAGGGGAAGGGGGAAAGTGAGGAAGGATAGCACAACAAAAGTTCAATTTGGCGCTGCAAAGTCTGTAAAAAGAAAATCTACTTGCAAAGGCAAAACATGTAACAGAATGCAGCAGCAAAAAGCACAACAGGGAGACATCCGATGGACAGGAAGCCAATGCATGTAAGCTACATGCACTGCAAAAAAATAGGGTCCACTTAACTGTAAGATTACAAGACATAAGTGAATGTTTGTTAAGCATGTAAAATCATGGTGCTATACTACTTTTGAAACCCTAAATCACTACTAAACAATCCTTTTGTAGCTATTAAAACATTGTGTACGCAAGAAATGCTTTCCTGTCTTATTAAAAATTTCTATAAATATTCTCAAAATCTATGGAAAATTTTGAAGTGCTCCTCGCATGTGCATCAAGTGAAGCAGCTCCCATAGATCCAAGCCCGAGCAGAGGAACCCAACCCACATTCACCTACCATACATGTACAGCCACTTGATGTCGCTTCCGCTGTTCATTTGCTGTTTTATTGCCGCTGCCCGCAGCAGTTGGCCAAGTTCTGGGCTGATGTGGGGGTGGCCTTTTGGCCACCAGAGGTGAGCATGTGTTTTATTTCGTTTAATTTGTTTTGTCTGCTCTTTTCTTTGCGCCGTTTACAATACAACGAAATTGAGCAATTTTTGGCGATGCGAGCACGCTATGAACGGTTGAAAAACTTCCACAAATATTTTAAACGTAGAACAAAGACTGCTGAGAATCAGACTTGAAAAGGGAAAATAAATTTGTTTAACTGACTCTATTATTTGGTTATTACATTCATATACAAATTAATGTATTTTGTATCTTTAAAAAAAATGTAGATCTTTTTTAACAAAGCCTGAAAAAATAACAAGTACTTGTAAGTACTTTTTGGAACATACAAATTACCAATTGAATGTTATAAACACCCAACTTTTTTGGTATTTTATTATATAAAGTGCACACTGAATATGACAAACTGTTCTCATCTCTTGTTCATGATTTGTGTCTAGTTGGCTTGGCTTTTCCGTTGTTCTTGGCGCTGCTCCTGGGTCACGTGCCTCGTCAATGGGAACAGGACCCATTGCCACCAGGTCCTCCACTTCCACTTCCACTTCTATGCCCATATCCTTGTCCACACCGCCATTCCACCTCCGCCTGCCAAGGTGCTGCGTTTTATGTCCAAATGATTTGTACGCTCGCCAAGGCATTTGATTTCCTTCGTTCACTTTTTGCCCATTTCAGGGCACTTTTTGCTGCCGTATTGTTATGGCATTTTGCAAATTGTAATGACGCATGTTAACAATGTTTCTGCTTCGGCTGGAATACGGAAATGGAAATGGAGAGCCGGCCGGGTAGTTGTACTCGTACATATGCAGACAGTACAATTTGTGTCTATGATGGATTATGCTTTCCTGGCTTCTGACAGCCCAACTTTTGCCTCTTCTTTTGGAGACGGAGGAGCAGTGTATCCAAATCTCAGCCTCTTTGCCGCTCTCCTCGCAACTTTACATCATTTATTGCCATTGAATTGTGTAATTTGTTGTACGTGCCGGTCGTGTTAACAATGTGCAACAATGTGAGTTTGTATCTGTGTGTGCCATACACTCGAGCACCTGCTCCATTGTCCCCGAACGAGTGGCTCCTGGCCAGCCATTGTCCTCGGCTTTGGACCCTCCACTGGGACCCCCCTCCAAAATCCCCATTTACATGTGTATGTCGCATGTGCGAACAGGCTTTATGAACAGGCTCATAATAACTTACAAATTCAATGGTCCTTTGCTCGAGTCTTATCTGTTTGCCTTATCCAAAATGTCTAAATCTTCTTAGATTTAGCAACTTCAAAGTTTTGACAAATTTTCTTCATTAACTGAAGGGCCACAGAAATTTTAGAATATTTTTAAATTATTTAAGAACCTTCGAAAATAGATTTTGAAAAGAATAAATGCTAACAATGCTTATTAAAAATTCATTACAAGAATCCTACACTTTTAAGTAACTTTTAAAGAAATAAAGCTAGACTTTCTTCACACAAAGCCATTTACTTGCTTGAATAAATAAATCTGAGAGTTTTTCCTCCCAAAACTCATCCACGCTGGACACTTTGAATAGATGTGTTTCCTGAGAAATGATTTCGCATTCAGGGTCAGCCAGTCCCTGGTACCCGCACATTGTCGGCAAATTCTAATTTATAACTGACAAAAAAAAGGAAGCACAAGAAAAACAGGGGAAAACTTTTGTGCCAGCTTAGAGAGCATCAATAAATTTCGCATTATTCTGGTCCCATCATTAGGAGACTGGGTCCCCGACATGTCCGTGTTCATGGCCAGCCGGCAGGGCTATATAGTTCACATTGGAGCACCAACTTGATGCTGGCCATCAGTGATGTCCACGACTAATCTTAGAAATTCCAGCTGAAGTATTTCTTAAATTTAAAATATTTATTGCAATTATATGATTTTGAACAAATTTGATAAATTTGTTTGTATTGCCACAATGTTATTTGAATTTAGTTAAAGTATTTTTACTAAGATGGGATCAAATTCTCTGGATGGGTTGATGGTTTAGCATTTATACCTATATTAACAAGTTATTCAACAAAGCATAATATAATTTGAATTATTCATTTAGTAAGGTATGGCTTAGCATTCTTGAAATATGTATACACAATTGAAAGGGTAGATATATGTGATATATCTTTTTTATCCAACAATCTATACAGAAATAAATCTTTCAGGAAAAAGTCAGGCTGTCAGCACAGTTGGCAGCATGAGGAGCGTCAACAAAAGCGGCAACTGTCACCGGGGTGTGTTACTGGGTCATAACTCAAAAGGACGACGTGGCGGGGCCAGCAAAGTTGGCCCAAACGGAGCCTGGCCAAAAGCAAGACCCGAGCTTGACCCGCCGCCATTTCAATTGCGGCCGACCCGCGTCTCTGACTTGGCCGCTTTTAATTACCGCATTTCACTTTGGCGCTGCCTTTGGCCCTTTCTCTCGTTTTTGGCAACGGCCACTCGATGGCAGCTCATCTGCATTTGATTATGAGGTGTGGGCGTGGCCGGGTGAAAGTTCATTGCAGCTGTTGTCGTTTTGGCCCAGGGTCTTACCAATTGTTTTTGCTTCATGCACGGTAACACAAAAATACTCCTTAGATTTTCCAAAAAAAACTATTCATGTTTGTCCAAATAGATGACTACATTTGTAACATGAAAGATTTATGTTCTTATATTTTATATTTTTTGAATTATAAAGTTCCTTCTTTTTTTTGTCAGTGACATTCTGGTGACGTGGCTGCTGATAACTGTTGTTGCCGGCATTTTGTCCTTCCGCAATTTGCAACTGTTTGTCGTGTTTGCACGTCCTTTTCTGTGTATTGTGCAAATGCCCTTCTTTGGTTATAGTTTTTCTCACAGTCTCACAACTAATTTGCATGCCTTAAAAACGGATTTAGAAACAAAATGTTGATCCCCTCGCATTGGGAAACTGTAACGCTCGAACATGTTTCACTCGAGTGTTGGCAACTAATGGCAAAACGTGTAGCATGAAAATCGATGCCCACCAGAAATGACCATGAGCCGTAATGAGTTTCTGCAAATGGCTTTTGGCTTGTAGTTAACTACCGCCCTAAAATTGTGTGTGTGTAGCATTAAGTAAATTAAATTTATTTTTACTAACCAATTTTCCTGTTTTTTTAATCTAATTGCTCTATACCTTAAATAACGCTTTAAACTACAAAATTCCAATTTCAGTTATGTAGTTTCTGTATTGCACATTCTAACACGTTTTTCCCAAAATGCATTGCTGCCAGTTTGCCTCTCACTCGTAAATTTTACACTATTCCTCTGGTTGCATTTAGGCCGGATTTTGGTATTTGACCAACTCATTTGGAATTTCCAAATGAATTCGGCCTTCGGTTGAAATGTTACCTTGATGCTGCTGCCAAAAAAGGGGGGAACTACTTAAAGCCCTGCCCGAATGACTTGGCAACTTTTCGATTGCATCAAAACTAGACGCCCCCACAACCTCGAAAGATATAGTTACAAAGTCGGAGAGGTGAAGTGTGAGTGAGAGGGAGTCGAGGGAGAGATAGAGACAAAACTATCGCTGCTTAATGAAAGTGCAAAAGTTTTCTTTCGCGCGACCACGAAATGAGCTTAAAATTTAGTTAAAGTTTCAGTTGCATTCTGCTCTTTTCCACTTTGCTCCCATTTCGTTTGAATTTCAATTTGGGTTGAGGCTTTTCCCCGGGTAACCAAGGCTTGGGGTTTTCGGGCGGAGGAGTCTTAGTCACTTACTTGCGAAGGTGGCGGGTTCCGCGGACGAGTCCCGGCGTGCAGCAGTTGACCGTGACCGAGGTACCTGTGGGGAAATTAGCGGGTTCTCGTTACTCGTGCCACGCAAATCAAGATTGCGCAGTGCAACCATCAATAATTCACTGTGCAAACTATGCAAAAATTGTCTACACTGCACGGAGAAAAGTTACAAATAATAATAATACTTATTAGGAAGTTTTATGATAATTTAAAATATTTTACAAATATTTAATGCTCATATTGGAATAGATAGAAACCCAACACTTGATAAATTATGTTTTAGATGATTCTTATAAGTTATAAAATCATGCTATGGTTTTAGAATTTAAAACTTCAAACCCAAATAGTTGTTGCTTTTCAAATAAAGTCAAAAGTAAATAAAGTTTATGATTTACGGTTTATCTCTCTCAAAAAAGTTTTGAATTATTGCAGAAGTGCGGTGAAGATACAAACTCATTAATTACATTTTTCACGCTCTAATGGCCACTAAGCCGGCAATTGAGATAGCCAAAAAAAGCGGTTCCTCTGAGTGCAGTTTCGCGTTTTCCCGCGGGGAAAAGCCATCCTTTCATTATCCACTTTTGGGCACTTACCTTTGAGTTCCCTGGCCAGCCAGCGAGTGGCCAGCAGGACGCACAGCTTCGAGTGGGCGAAGGCTTCGCGGGCGTGGAACTTCACCGACCAGGTGCCCACGTTGAGTGGATCGTCGAAATCGATTTTGGCCGCCTGATGGGCGTGGGCCGAAACGAAAATGATGCGTCCCTGTTCCGAGCGGTGCAGGTGGGGCAACAGCAGGTGGGTGAGCAGGAATGGGGCCAGGTAGTTCACCTGGCTGTGCCGCTCGAAGCCATCCGCCGTGGGTACCTGCGTGTTGGCAAAGACCACGCCGGCATTGTTCACCAGTATGTCGATCCGCTCAAACTCCGCCATCAGCTGGCCGGCAAAGTGATGGACACTGTGCAGCGAACAGAGGTCCAAGTAGCGGGCCTCCACGAAGTACCTGTCCGCCGGATTCTCGTCATCGTCCAGCGAACTCAGCGGGGTGTGGCATCCCAGCTCCCGCTTAATTATGGCCGCCGCCCGTTCGCCCGCCTGGGTGTTCCGACAGGCCAGGATTATCCTCCCTCCACGACCCGCCAGTGCCTGTGCTATCTCGAACCCAATGCCGCTGTTCCCGCCGGTGACCACCACGATTTGCTCCTTGATTTGATTATCGTTCGGACAGCGCTGGCCGCTCATTAAGGTCCTGGCATGCGGGTAAAGGATACAGATTAGATGGCAGGTCGACTGAATTACGGGGAGTGGCATGCGGCTTGTGGTTTATGGGCTCGCTTAATGACGTCCTGCATCTATGTCGCGTGGGTGCACTCAAAAAAATGTTTACAACAAGTCTCTTCTACTTTAAAAGGGGCATATGAATTATTTTCCCATTGAACTAAGCTCAAAATTCAAGAAAATTTGTTAAGGAAGTAAAATGTTATTAAATTTTGAAAAAATTTATTCTTTAGTACAAAGTTTGTATGTTTTAACATGCAACTATTTTGAAGTCAATATGTTTTGCTTTTGACGTTACAAATAGTATCTTTCTATATATTGACTTATTCAATAGTATTATCTATATCTGATCCTAAATTACTATTCATTTTGAGGTTTTTTAAAATAAAATATATATTTGTTGCAAGTGTTTATTGGAGTTTATTTGTTAAGGGTGGAGGTCGTCGGGGTTTTGGCATATTGATAGGCGTTAATAGAATCAGCATGGCCATTTGCATGCATCTGCCTCCGGACATTTTGGAATTTAACTGACTCCGCAACTCATTTTCAACTTTAATAAATTCGATGCGTTTGTGTAAGCAATTATTGTTCGTTCGTTTAGTTTCAGGCCTCGGGGAACAAAATGCAATCATTTACTTTAAATGAAACAAAGTTCCAAATCAGCACTGGTATAAAATTGACTAATTAGTGCTAATTCCCAGATTTACAATGCAACACAACATTTCAGCAGAACTATATTGACAATTACTATCACAGTCAATTAATTCGCATGACTTAGTTCTAATTCATTTCCAATTCGTTTAATTACATTTTATGTTCATTACGGCTATTGTGTAGAAATTGTAGATTATAAAATTTAGATACAATGCGTGAATGCCACCACATTTGAAAATTGGAAACTAAAACTGTAATTAAACATGCATTTTGGAAGCACAAACTTCATTATTTTGTGACTTTATAATTTTCCTATCTCTGAATAATTATTTACTGACAAAGTGTACCTATTTTCGCTTTTACGAAAAGTTAAATTAGTTGGCATTCGACAAAACAGGAATTTAATTCGAATTACCATATAATGAGCTTAAATGTGGCAAACACATTTTCTTGCAGTAAGCAAATAAGAGCTTCTCAAGGAAATTTTCTTTGCTGATTTTGAGGACACATTCTCCCACAATCACAGCCACTTAAATTGCATGTTTGCAGTCAGGCTTTTCCTCTATACCTTTTCACCGCATTCCATTTGCTCCACTTCATTTGGAAGCTACTTATTTTGGCACTTAGCTCTAAGTTTTCCCTGCCATCCTTCATTTAGGAATTCATTTGCCGTTTCATTTACTTTGAGCCAAACTTGCGCAAATCCACTTTGTAAATATTTTGAGGCGGTGCAGAGGAAAGGGTGAAAAGGAAAGGGGTGGAAAGCGAAAGGGGGAAGAGAGTGCCATATTGCAGTCGCTTCCATTTCCGTTTCCGCTTCTCGGCTTATACCAACACCTGCAACTGCGGAGCGACAGATAGCGAAGGGTCACAAAAACCGCGATGCCCAAAAATGGCAAATATAACAAAAAACAGACAGTAAGAAGGTGGTTAAGTACACCAACTATCAGATACCCTCTTATGATTGTTTTAAATTTATCTATAAACATTCGCCAGTCATCTGTTTTTAGAGCTTGTCCTTGTTTAAAAAAAGAGAAAACTTACATTCAAAATTAAATGGTTCTGAATTAATTATAAACACAATAATAATGAGATATGCAAAAACAGTAAACACCCTTTTGTTTTACTAATTTTATACACAGCTCTCCTTGAATTAAACCTACTCCCGCTATCCCTTAAGTAGTGGATGTAAAAAATGGAAATAATCTTTGGATATTACATATTATCCGGTTCTTCTCTGCGGCAAGCTCTTCCACTCCCACTTTCCCTATCCTTTTTTCCACCATCTCTGTATGAAATCCACTTAAAAAGTTTTTCGCGAATGGCGACAGAGGGGAAGTTTTTACTTGGGGCTGCTGCGACATTTATTTACGTGTGTCCGAGGCGAAAGTTTTTGTGCCCCAAAAATGGGTTGGCAAGGGGGTGTGACTGGGTGAACTACATAACGAAAAAAAAAACGAAACTGTTTCCGTTGACTCGTCGCACTCACCGCACCGTAATCACAATGCCCACCGTCAGAGCCGCTATCGTTGGCCACCATGTGGAGAAGGGATCCGCCTGCTCGAACATGGTCAACAGTCGCTCCATCTCCGAATTGTTCTTTATATCTTCTGCCGCTTGGAATGCACTTCTCCACTTGCTTTCACTGCTGTTTCTCTTCCCGACTATCGGCGAATGAATCAGTGACGTCGTCTGCACGGCACAATTGTTGAACCCGAACTGAAAGGCAACCGCAATAATAAATAAATTCTCATTGCGTGGTCACCCACTGCGAGCAGAACACTCATACGTCTAAGTACAGTGAGCACACGATAAGTGATACTAAATTAAAAACAATAAAATGAAGCTACAAATTATAAAATTTAAATTTATTTTCTAGTTTAGAAACTTCTCAAAATTATTAATTGATTTATTCAAATTTTTTCATATTTGTTGTTTCTCCTCTTTTTATTATTTAACAATTTTGTAGTTCTCTCTGAGTTTTTGTTTGTGTTAGTAACTTTATTTATTTGAAAATACTTTTACAATAATAATACTTTGATGTTTTGTGTGTTAATTAGTTAAAGTTTCCTAGTTCTTGGAGTTATATAAAATTGTATAGCTCTGCTTAGCGAGAGAGACCAGTTTAAATGCGGGCTAGTGAGTGGATTCGCTCACATTTAAGCGCAGATTTTTCCGAGCCGGCAAAAAGATGTCGCTGACAATTGAATTTAAATGACCACCCCGTCCAGCATCGCCTCGTATTTTCTCCCCTTGAAACGTCACCGGCATATTTTCAATTTACATAAATGCTTGTTGCGCGGCATACAAAATGAGAGCCCGAATGAGATGGCGGGTCTGTCCTAGCTTTTCATCTTCCGCCCCTTCCGGATTTTCCAGCATTTCCACCTGTCGTCGCTTTAAAGGTTAGGTGCAAATTTACACAAGCCACAATAAGCGAACGTGAGAGGGTCGGAAAATTCTGCTCGCTATTTACACGCGTTTTCCATTTTTTAATTTGTGTTTTTATTTCGCTTTTCAGTCATTTTTCCCCTCATTTTTCTGCGGTTTACGCATTCGGTTCGCATATTTTTGTATGCGAAAACGCAGACTAATGTGATTCAATTAATCTTCCCGTGGGTTCACCTCGGAGATCCTTTTTCGGCCTGAATTTATATGGATACTGGGTTTATCTTTTTTTGCCACTCGTCTGCGTGGCCACAAATTTTAATTACCGTTTAACAGCTGTTTTCTGGGAAAAGATATAGTATTGAAATATTATAGAACAAACACAGGAACACATTTAATTATATACGTATAATTGCAACACAACAATTTAGACCGTTATTATTTTGAGAATTAACAAGAAAGGAAGTTAGGTTCGGCGAGCAGAAGCTTATATACCTTGCAGTCGAGCAAAATGAATAAAGGCTAAACAGCATCGAAGAAATGATGACTTTTCTATTTATTTTTTATGTAATGATTCAGTTGGTTAAAGGATATAAACTTTTAGAGGTATGCCACTTTGAAATCTGATTAAAATTGGAAAAGCTATAGACTTAGAGATTTTGGGCTCTAAGGTGTCTCCTTCAAAACGTTGCAAACTTCTGACTGAAATTACGATACCCTATGCAAGGGTATAAAACAGATTTGTTATGTTTAATTTTTTGTCAGTTGTTGCAGCTTAAATCTGATATATTACTATTTGTAATGTAAAAATGTATCTGTAAAATGTTATGCACAAATAAATCCACAAGCTTAAAACTAATTTAGGCACTTTTACTAAGTGAATCATGTAAATATGGCTATTTAATTGCATAATTGGTTAATGACCCCACAAGAGGGAATTTAATTACCGACACATGATAATTGTCAATGGCCTCAACTCAACGGTTCAACAGTTTAAACATCATTGCAAAATAATTATGTGCGTTACACTTCTATAAACATTTAAATATAGTTTGCTATTTTAACTTTGTTTTAAAGGTGAGTTTTGATCCATTACTGTATAAATAAAATTTAAAGATGTTTTCTCGTTCTCTATTTAAGTTTACAGTGAAAATACTTATCTTCAATATTCTGCAACGTTATTTACCTTTGAAATGGCGTACACACGTTCAAATTTATTATCCAGAAAAGATCTCAACGGAAGGCCATCATCATTTTTCCCCTGAAACCACTCATTCGCTTTCAGTCCATTTCATGCCAGCCTCTCACCCTTTGATACTTCAATTCAATTACAACACATCCATAAAACATGCCGGCAACTAAATATATTTTTCGAGTAATTTAGTCCGCAGCACACAAAAGCTATCATCGTAGTTTCTATAGCCCCTATGGGAGCCATGGAAAGTGCACTCAGTGCACTCTTCGCCTCCACACTTCGTAGTTTGTTGTTTCCATTTCCGGTTTAACAATTGATTGAACATAGCCCCGATATCACCATCCCAACATCCCAATGTATTTATGGGGGCCATCCCCGTCATTCCCGGTTTTAAACAAATGAAATCGCACACTCAAATGAATCTTTGTACGTGTATTAATACTTTTTGTTATATTTTTCGCTTTCGTTTATTGAACGTTTCGTCAATTTACATACTCTGGTGTCTAATGTAGCCTATGTTTTTGCCAAAATTGCATATTCATTTCAATTTTCATCTGCGTTGCCTTTCGTGTCTCGTGTTTCGATTCGATTCAATTCGATTCTGGTTCATTGTTACATTGTTTGATGTTTTAGTCGATTTCTTCAGCTAGTTGGTTTTTTGCTCAGACAGTGGTTTTGTCCATTAATCTTTAATGCTAATTGGTAAATTGTTTCAGATATTATGCCACTTGCATTGATGTGCGTGTACTTATATACGTGTAAGTGTGTGTGTGTGGTGTTTCTGTGTGAGAGTGTGGTTGTATGATAGATATATAGATAGTGTATCTGCGTATTTTCTTAGATCTGCGTGGAACTTTTTCTCATTTCATCTGCAAAATATAGTAGTTTCCGTAAGCGAAAGTGCATGATTTTTAATGTCTCTATGTCTTTGTATTAATTTGTATACGTATGGACAATGCGTTTCATAACTATAAGTTGGGGAACATTTATCCCTTAGTACTAAAAACAAAACAAAATAAATAAGAAAGGTAGTGTATTTTAAATATATTCACTTTAAAAACTAAATGCACAGGTAAAAAAATTAACGTACAATTAAAGAACTAACAACAAGAAACCATAAAAAACTTTAAACAAACATACTTTTTTTTGTAAAAATGATTGATTAATTTTTGAAACGCATTGCAGGTGTTGTTATCTTACTCTCTATCGTTCAATTATTTTAAGATAGCTAAAGCATCTTGCTGATGTAATCAAGAACCTTATATACAGATGAAATTGAAGTCAGTTTAATAACAAAGAATCGCTTAACAGAAATGTTTTAACAATTTAAACTTTAAAGATTCGCTAACGTTGTTTGTTTTGTAATTAATCATTTGCTTTGCTGTTTTCCCATTTAAAATTAGTATCACTAACAAGCTTTTGTTTTATTTTTAATTTTGCTATGCTGCGAGAGGTGAAAAGAAAATTGGGCTCTTCAGGAGCCCTCACAAAAGTTCCTTTCACCACCTTTAACATCTCATCAATGTCTTAATATTCAATCGAACTACCTTAGTGTTTTTTGTTCAATTGTGTAATTTTTGTGTTGACTTGTTACTAAAGTTAAAGTTTTACTTTTGCTTGGTCGTCAATTGTAAATATATATAATTATATTCATAGGCATAGAATTTGTAGTATCTATAAATAGGTATATGTAATCGTATATACGCACAACTAATCTCAAGAATCTATGCATTATTGCGATTTTCGTTTCCTATACAATTTGAAAAATGACCCAAGTTCTTGAGGGTGCAAGTGTTATCTACTTAGGGTTTCCTCTCGAGAAAAGTAAACTGCCACGCCCATCCGCCCCTAGCCTTACCTATTCCAATGTGTATAAATGATTTACAAGCTAGAAATTGTAAATTTATGCTACGTAAAGTTGAAAAGGACAATAAAAATAATCTCTTGAATATTTACAGCGGACTTTTTGGGGTGGGCGGGGGTGTGGTTTCGTTTTTTGGGTGGATATGTGGGAACTACCGGGGTGCTATCATTATTGCCATCGTCATGGCCTCGACATATGCATACTAAACTGGAAAAATGTTTTGCAATATTTGTGTATGAATAAATTCCCCATCTCGTCGCTTTTCGCCCGGAACTTCGTTTGTTTTTTTTGTTTCTGTTGATGTTCAACTTTATTTGACGTTGTCAACTTTTTGTTAGAGCTTGTCCGCAGAAATTGTTATTAATAATTTATTGATACAACAATTTGTGATATTTTTAGAATCGTTGCGTGCCTCTCAATTTGTTTATTTATGCAGTTTTAGTGTTCGGGCCGGCTATCAATTGTACCTAGCTCGTGTATAGTTAATCGATTCTGGCAATGTGCGGATTTGGTTATATACTATATACAAATGGTTTCAATGTCCAGACTCGCTGATTTATGCTGCAGACTTTTCCGTATTGTTGCTTTTGGGTTTCCAATTTTACAGCTGCTTGTCGCGATGCTTTCACATGGCCGATATTAGGGTCATAAAATCTGCAAATAGCAAAGCGGACAAATATGAAAATTAGATTAGCGGTCGTGATGGTTGCGGCAAGGCAAATACATAATTCCAGAGCCTGTCGATAACGCTCGATTGAGTCGGATATCGGCATGTATATGTTTGGTAAGCATATGTGTGCATAAACTCAATGAATATCATAGTGGGGGGAAATATTAAATTTGTGGTTGAAATTCATAGCACTAGTTTATTTACGTTACCCGGAAATATAAGTTTCACTCCTATGTGTTTTAAATTTGTCTCTTTTAAACTACATATTTTTAAAAAATGAATACGCAAATAAACTATTAAAATTAATAGACATATAAGATAGGTATTGACCTTTATTAAATTATACTATATCATTAATTATATGGTTATCGTAAATTTTATGTACAGATATCAATGCTGGCTGACTACCTCTTCAAATGAATGATCTTTTTGTCTTACAAACCCAACAAATTGTTTACAGAACCCGGAACTAACTATATTTAATGGCTCCAATAAATTAAGTTCATGACACCCAAATTAATGAACTTTTGCTGGCAATTAGCTCATATAAATTTATTACGTAATGCACGAGAGTAATTTCGGGTAATGCGAACGGGGCAACCATGAGCATACTATAATCTACTCCCGTTAGGATGCCAGCCCCTGTTTTGGTTATAGCCATTGTCAGGACCATTGCCATTAGCCCTCAACACTTTTTGGCCATGACTCGGACTCGTTTCGTATAATGGACCATTCGGTTATTTGTTATTAACCCAAATGGGCATTCAACAAACCTAAAAACCCGCCGGAAAATATGGCACAACACTTCGGCTTCGTCGAGAACGGAACAGTAGCATCCAGAATCCAATCGATTTTAATAGTCGGAAACCAAAAGGTTTTCTCAAGGGAGTTGCCGGTGAATGTTTGCCTCAGTTTATGACAAGTACAGTGTGTGTCAAGAAAGGAGAACATAAAATGTTTTTATTGCTTATTTATTTTGATCAACATCTCCAAAATAAATCTTTCTTTATAGACCTAAAACCACTATTTTAAATAACTCAATAAAATGTTCATAAAAGGGATGAACCTTGAGAACTTGAACTTTGAATAAAAAGTGACCTTGCTTTCTTTATTCCACTCTCACACTGTATTATGGAGGATCTAGAGGGCCATGAATTTTCAGAACCTGACAATTTTTTAATCAACACCCAGATGGCCAACAGCAACAAATGGCCCGAGGCAAAAACTCGGCTAGGAAATGTCGCTAACGCAAATAAAAAACAAATGCAAAATATTCCCTGGCAATTTTGGCACGTGCAAGCCCCACATTGTTGTTGTGGGTTTCTGTTGCTGTTGTAGTTCTTGTAGTTGTTGTTGTTATTGTTATTGTTGTCGTCTGCGTTGTTGTTGGCGATTGTGTGAACCTTGATTAACGCAACAGGAGGGATGAAGGAGGGGAGGGCGGCAGGGGTTTTTGGCTGGCAACATCAGCGGTAGGGATATTGTTGCTGTTTGCCAAATCTCTCGGCGCTGTCTCTCTAAATTTTAACTATGAATGTCCTGGGCCCACAACAACAACAACAATAGAAAATGTACACTTAAAAAATGTAGGATACTTTTTAAAATGTTAACAAAAAACTCAAGACTAACTAACTCTTTACTCAAAACTAATTTAAAACTCTTTATAAAAAAATAAAAAAATATTTTTTGTCAATCAATTTCTTTATCTTTATATTGTTTTGCTACTTAAGAGCCATTCTTTTTTTTTTTGGCTAAGTGTATTTGCCTATTTGTGTGTGTGGGCTGTTTGTGTGCCAGTTGGCAGTAAAATTTGTTTACCAAAACCTTCTTAGCTTGGCTTAGTAGCCCCCGCACCGCCATTGTTTGTGTATTTGCATTTCGGCTCCCCTTGCCCTCCGTTTTGTGCACCCCGAAAGAAGCCCAAAACCAGCCATCAACCCATCAACCCGTACCCCTTCACCTCCGCCCCTGGGTGTGAAATTTCATGCATATATGTATCTATGAGTGGCAGTGGCAGTGCGAGCGGTCTTGTTTGTGTGTCTGTTCGTGTAAGTGTGTGTGTTTGTGTATGTTCGTGAGAGAGTTTGTGCCCCGCCTTTGGCCTTTTTTGCAGCTTTTGCTTTTTAGCCACTTTTGTTTGCCTTGCTGTTGTTGCCTTTGTTTGCCGCTCCTTGTTCCTTGTTCCTTGGCTTTGCGTTTTGCGTTTTGGACAGCCCGGAGTCCTTTGACCAGGTTGTCAGCTAAAAAAAAAAAGGGGGGAACAGATAGCCCAGAGAGAACACGGCGCCGCAATAAAGCATCTCAAGCAAGTGAAATGTAAATCGTTTTCCCGCCACTTTTCTCTTGTCGCAGGGCATGAAAAATGAATGTGGCCAAGACGTTGTAAGCAGCTCAATAGGAATATTAAAACAAATTGAGTGGCCAGCAAACTAAGTTGGGAAAACAATAAATATTTTCAATTTACAAATGGAGTATAAGAGAGATAAAGGATTTTTGAGTCTAAAAAGTTTTAAATGCTTTTTAGAAAACTATTTAGTTTACCTAAATAAAATCTTAGTTAGAACTCGAGGTAAGCAATTAGTGTGATTTTATTTGTCTGTCCTGACCAATTATTTATTCAAAACTTGAATTGTCTTTATGCAGGGTAAACCATTGTCGAGGTCAGTCGATTTCCATGGCTAACGATATTGCCAGAATTTTATATTTCGCGGCAGCCAGATGTGGATAGAGAAGGGATTTCTGGGCGAGTGGAGGCTGAAATATATATAGTAAATCCAGCCGCAACTGCACGGCGGGCTTTGGGTGGCAGAATCTCGGACTCGGCTGTTTTTTAGCCATTGAAGCCGCAATGTGGAACGTGTTATGCAAATCTGGCTTGGGCTTTCCTCTTTCCGTGTTTTCCCCACCGGTATTTGGCCTGCAATGGGGATCTGTTGACCATCTGCAGTGCCGACGGTGGCATCAAAAACAATTTAGCTGCTCCACTCAGCACTTTTTGTCACCTGGCTCTTTTCCGCCTTTATTTGATTCACTCAAAATGTTAATTTAAATTGCAAACAGTCCATTGTTTCGTGCTTATTGTTCTTTTCATGTTTACCGTCGTTCTGGTTTTTTCGCTGCTCCGCAATTAGCATTGCAATGAGGCAGTGGCTTTTCTCTGGGTGGTCGCATTAAAAATGATATCCTAAGTAGATTGTACAAATTGCTCGCAATTATATTTAATAGCTCGTTCAAGCGGGCCCCATAAACGAGGAGCGGCCGTTAAAGCTCCAAGTTGAAAAAAAGGAAATAAGAAATGGGATGGGTTCTCGAGGCGCCATTCTATTCCTTTCGCTCAAAGGCAAAAGCAATTTATCAAAAATCGGTCAAGAACACTCGGGAAACGGAAATGGGAAACGCGTGACCTTTTGCCATACAAAAACTGACAAGAACTCTGTGGTTGCCATTGAGAAATAAGTGAAAGTGCACTTTGTATAAGCTTTTTTGTGATAATAGTGTCGATTTCAGGGCATTTATTCTTAAGACAATTTTGTTATAAGAAATGGTAAAAAAAAAACAATAAAAAGTGAATTTATACTTTTATAAAGCTTTCTTTTGGTTTCTTGTTTGCTCTTAATTTGTATATAATTTTGAAGGAACTTCTCTGTCCTAATCCATTTAAATAGTTTTCATACAAAAAGTTTTTTACTACTGAAAAACAGAAACTTCAACTCGTAAAATGCACTTTGGGTTTTGTTTTAACGGCCAGTAAAATAATTATTGTATTGCAGAAGTTCGCCAAGTTGTTTAAAATTCCTGAAGCTAGTTCAACAGCTGATACCCTCTAGAAAAAAAGAAAGGGAGGAAGGAGAGTAGTAGGTCAGGCATACAGTATAATAAATGAAGCACATGTCCAATCACTTGTGCCATTTTGTTCGCCAATCAAAGTTTCCAGAGCGCTTGAAAAGGGAACTAAAACAAAAAGACTGAAAAGTTTGTGAACTTTCTGCAGGCCAACTTATCGACGGTCTCCGGGCCACAAAACAATCAAAGCGACCCCTTAACTACCAAAAAGGGAGGCGTCGGGGTGGCGGTGGGGGCGTGGCACACATCCGAGGGTAAACAATAAACTTCAATTATGAATATTTCAACAACTGGGATGGCAAAGTGCAGGCGAAAGAGTTGAAACATGCTCAAGCTGCGACGGCGGCAGGAAAAGGACAAACTTTGGGGAAACTCTCGCTGGGAAACTTGGCGAGAAGGTGAGGACAGTTCAGGGGCATTGACTTTGATCTTTCTGCCCCGGCTATTTGCTTTGTTTGCCATTCCAAGGGAAAATAGTAAAGGGGCCAAATTAAACAACGACAGCTCGCCGTTCGAGTTCGAGGCAATTAAATTGGATTTGCGCCTGGCTTAATGGCCATAATACGCCGGGCCCAGCTAATTAATAATTAAATTAAATTTCCGTCCCGACCGTAAAAGTATTAATTGCTGTCCACAAAATCTGGCTTAGGGCAATCCCTCAAGTGGCCAATAACCCACCGAATCCACTGAACCCACCGAACCCCAAACCCTTCAAAGCCCGTCAAACTTTCATTCCCGAAGTGTTGCCTTGTTGCTTCCGGTGGCAGTTTGAAAGCCAATTGCACCTCCATCTCCTCCGAGGAACTCGGTTCCGAGATTGGATTGGGCGATAATAAAAAAATGAGCAATGCCCCCCGCTCTCGATGTAATGCGATGCTCGGGCACGGCGACGCTTCCGCTTCCCGTTGGACAACTTCCGGTGGCAGCAGTTTGGCGCCATGTCATATTGACAGCCTCCACACGGTCTTATTAATATTGAAGTAACGTGTTACTACTGTGTGAGTGAGTGAGGGTATGTGTGTGTGAGTGTGTGTGTTTGGCCTCCCAGTGGCCGCATAAAATGCCTCAGCAATACGGAGATGGCAATGTGTCTTTAAGTATACTGAAATAAATATCATTAAACTAGTTTAGTTAACAACTG